CCACAAGCTAAGGAGATCCCCGTAAAGAAAGAAATCACACTGAACCCCCACCCCAGTTTCTAAAAGGCCATTTTCATTTGGCCTTTACCTGTATCCTTACCATTAAACACGTCTCATTAGACTCAGGTTAACATGCAAGTGTTAGAACACCTGAGTAGTGTAACAGTTTAAGGAAAACTATAGGACAAGCTGCAGGACATGATCTATAAATTTCATATCAAAACATCCAAATCATATGAGTAAGAGGGAACAAACTCTGAAGCCAGTCTAATTAGGGGTTCATTCTCAGTTCTTTAATTTAAAGAATTCTGCCAGCCAGAGTTGTCTTATCTATACACGGAGATAGAAATCGTATCTTGCAGTGCTATAATTATTTATTTATTCAAATAAGTTATTCACAGGAGTAAGCTATATTATGAATCTCTGTAGCCATTTTAAACTAGGCTATCAGTTTTGTTCAGTTGGGGTTTTGATGTTCTGAGGAATGGGAAAATCACTGACGGGTGGGACAGCTTGACACAGAACCTGATCTGCTTTAATTTATTTATTTATTTATTTATTTAGAAAAATTGCAGGCTCAAAGCTTATAGCTGTGTAGGAGTGTGTAATACTATCTACAAGCATTCGTACATACTTGACATACTTTGCACCTTTCAGTCTTGATTACAATAAAGGCAGATTATAGCCAACACACCTTCCAACAAATGGAGTGAGAGAAATCCCACCCCCACCCCTGAACAGACAGTCGATCTTTAATTATTATACATTATCTAGACAGGTGAGAACACTTTGTGATAATGTATGATCATGGCATAGAAATAAGCACATACCCAAAAACTGTGAAAATTAGGTTTCACTTACAAGAGAAGTAAAGAAATCAATCCAGTTCCCTTTTACTACCATGGATTTGGCTGGCTGACAGCATTAGTAAAGAACTAAGGGAAAGCAGCCTTCATCCTATTAGATAGGACATTCATCTAGAAATTCCCTTAGGATATAGCCACACTTTACGTGTCAGATAGTTGCTCCATTCAGAAACGTTTCCTCTATCAAACACTGTAAAATGGGGAAAGGAGTCATGTGGCAGAATAAATACAATGGACAAATGCACATGCTCTCTGCTACAGTTCTCCAGCACCTTTGCACCAAGTATTTCCAATCTTTCATGGTATCCATCTGCCATTCATTCTCACAAGGCACAGGACAGTCTGAATTCTGTCTTTGGCGAATGGGGCGGCATAGAAATTTTCTAAATAAATAAATTGGGCCTATGCTTTTGCACTGTATTTGGATTGAAGCATTTCTTTTGGAAACCACATGGCGACACCTACTGGAGGCAGTATTAATGACATATTATTTGACAGCAAAGGGAAAATGTCCTGCTGTGCTCCCTTTCCATTTTATTCAGTTAGTCACAAGTACAAAATCCAGGATAAACCATTCCCTCCAGAACCCCTACTATGGTAATTGCCTAGGGTTCCTTGCAAGAGAAAGAAAGGCAGGATATAAATGCAATATTATAATAATAACACTTTGGACTTTTCTTCTGATTTGTAAGAAAACAGACCCTGAGGTAGGGTTGTTCACATTTTAATGTGCACAGTGTAAATGGGATATCCAAAGGCAGCAGTCTGTCATTTTAAGAATATTTAAATGTCATTTTGTATACTTTTCTCTCTTACTAAGAAGTGGAGCAACATACATGAAATTGTATATCACTACTTACACCCCTCTCTCTCTGGTTACAATTTTGCAATTCCTTTCTGTTTTTTCATGAAGGATGCAGATTTTTCAACAATCTATATACCCATCACTGAAAATCAGGTAGTACAGGATAAGCCTCCCAGTTTCTCTAGCCATTTATACACCGAGGAACAATATATTATCTCCTTAAGTACCATATTCTCCTTCATGGATCACTGCCTTGTTCTGGTGAAGGGGCTTGCATAGCTCAATGAAGCTATGCCGTGCGGGGCCACCCAAGACTGACAGGACATAGCAGACAGCTCTGACAAAATGTGATTCACTGGAAAAGGAAATGGCAACCCACTCCAGTATCTTTGCCATGAAAACCCCATGGACAGTACCAAAAGGCAAAAAGATATGACACTGGAAGATGAGCCTCTCAGGTCGGAAGGTGTCCAATATGCTACTGGGGAACAGCAGAGGGCTAGTACTAGTGGCGCCAGAAAGAATGAAGCGACTGGGTCAAAGCCGAAAGGACACACAGTTGCAGATGTATCTGGTGGTGAAAGGAAAGTCCGATGCTGTAAAGATCTGTACTCCATAGAAACCTGGAATGTAAGATCCATGAATCAAGGCAAGCTGGATGTGGTCAAACGAGATGACAAGACTGAACATCAACATCTTAGGAATCAGTGAACTAAAATGGACAGGAATGGGTGAATTTAATTCAAATGACCATCAGATACACTACTGTGGGCAAGAATCCCTCAGAAGACATGGAGTAGCCTTCATGGTCAATAAAAGAGTAGGAAAAGCAGTACTGGAATACAATCTCCAAAATGACAGAATGATCTCAGTTCGAATCCAAGGCAAACCATTCAACATCACAGTAGTCCAAGTCTATGCCCCAACCATTGGTGATGAAGAGGCTGAAGTTGACCGGTTCTATGAAGGCCTACAACACCTTCTAGAATTAACACCCAAAAATGACGTCCTTATCATCATGGGGGATTGGAATGCTAAAGTAGGAAGCCAAAAGATAACCGGAATAACAGGCAAGTTTGGCCTTGGAGTACAAAATGAAACAGGGCACAGGCTGGTAGAATTTTGTCAAGAGAATACGATGATCACAGCACTCTTTTCCAACAACCCAAGAGACGACTCTACACATGGACATCACCAGACGGTCAACACAGAAATCAGATTGACTATGTGCTCTGCAGCCAAAGATGGAGAAGTTCTATACAGTCAGTAAAAACTAGACCAGGAGCTGGCTGTGGCTCAGATCATGAGCTTCTTGTTGCAAAATTTAGGCTTAAATTGAAGAAAGTAGGGAAAAGCACTAGGCCACTCAGATATGACCTAAATCATATCCCTGATGAATATACAGTAGAGGTGACAAATAGATTTAAGGAATTAGATCTGATAGAGTGCCTGAAGAACTATGGATGGAGGTTTGCAACATTGTACAAGAGGTAGCAACTCTATGCGGGTCAAGAAGCAACAGTGAGAACTGGACACGGAACCAATGATTGGTTCAAAACTGAGAAAGGAGTTTGGCAAGGCTGTATACTGTCGCCCTACCTATTTAACTTATATGCAGAGCACATCATGAAAAAGGCGGGGCTAGATGAATCACCAGTTGGAATTAAGATTGCTGGGAGAAATATCAACAACCTCAGATATGCAGATGATACCACTCTAATGGCAGAAAGTAAAGAGGAACTAAAGAGCCTCTTGATGCAGGTGAAGGAGGAGAGTGCAAAAGTTGGCTTGAAACTCAACATTAAGAAAACTAAGATCATGGCAACCGGCCCTCTCACTTCTTGGCAAATAGATGGGGAAGAAATGGAGGTAGTGACAGATTTTATTTTCCTGGGCTCCAAGATCACCGCAGATGGGGACTGCAGCCAAGAAATTAAAAGATGCTTGCTTCTGGGGAGGAAAGCTATGGCAAATCTAGACAGCATACTAAAAAGCAGAGACCTCACCCTGCCAACAAAAGTGCATATAGTCAAGGCTATGGTTTTCCCAGTTGCAATGTATGGCTGTGAAAGTTGGACCATAAGGAAGGCTGAGAACCAAAGAATTGAGGCCTTTGAATTGTGGTGCTGGAGGAGACTCCTGAGAGTCCCTTGGACCGCAAGGTGATCAAACCGGTCAGTCCTAGAGGAGATCAACCCTGACTGCTCTTTAGAAGGCCAGATACTGAAGATGAAACTCAAATACTTAGGCCACCTAATGAGAAGGAAGGACTCCCTGGAGAAGAGCCTAATGCTGGGAACAATAGATGGCAAAAGAAGGGGACGGCAGAGGATGAGGTGGCTAGATGGAGTCACTGAAGCAGTCAGTGTGACCTTAAGTGGACTCCGGAGGATGGTTGAGGACAGGAAGGCCTGGGGGAATGTTGTCCATGGGGTCACGATGGGTCAGACACGAGTTCACGACTAGCAACAACAAAGTACCATATTTACCCTTCATTCTTCCTTTTCAGTCAATGGTGTTCACTGACTAGAAATCCAAAGGAAGCCTCCCCTTCTGTGGTTGCAGTTCAAATGCTGCAAAGGAAACAAATGCTACTCCCATTCTTTGTGGGTACAGAAATTTCACAGCATCTTTTCACTGCCATATCACAGATTACTGATGTGTACTTCCCTACCTGCAAAAACCTGAAACAGTTTAACATATACAAATGAAATTATGCCTCATGTCTCTAGAAACCTACACAAGTATGTTGGTGACAAGGATATCATTTTGCATTAAGAATTCAACCTAGTACAGAGTTATCACATCTAAGGTTGCAGAAAAGGCCCTTAAATTTGTTAGCGTCTTTAAGGCAACTTGACTGAGAAAAATAGTGTCTCTACACTGCTGCAAATGCTGCTTTAGAGTGTTTCATAAAACTGCTTTTTTGGCTCATTACAAATAAGTACCAAGATTGACTTCTTTGCTACAAATGAACAAAAATAGTGCCCCCCAAGAAGCAGGATGGTCATGGGCACTTGTTGGTTGAAACAAAGTCTGGGTAAAAGCATCTCCCAGATTAGCCATCCAAAATGTAATTCTCAGTCGCCTTTGAGCTGAGTATTGTTCCTAATGACATTGCTGGTGAAGGCAAGTACTTTGCTTGGATTGTGAATGAACTAGTTCTGTTTCATATTAATCTGTGAATTGTGTACTATAACAAATTATGTGCTATCTGTTCTATTTCATACTTTCCATGATAAACTGAATACTATGCATAAAAATAAATTGAATAGTATGCATCTTTTAAATGTTAATTTTGACTTCCATCTTCTTATTTCTGTTTTCAGGACAAGGTAATGTTGGGGACAGATTATCCATTCCCACTTGGGGAACACGAACCGGGGAAGCTGATTGAATCTATAAAGGAATATGATGATGAACTAAAGGTGCAGTTATTGCATTTTTTAATGTTTCAGATTTTGAGCTTTATTTTAGAGTTGCTTTATAAGTAACTGATGCCAATAGAGTTATTTTAACCTATTAACTCTGATTCAAGCCTAGCAAGCAATTCTGCCTTATTATGGAAACAGAAGGGGTCTCCCAGGTCATCTAGTCTAACCCCCAGCTCCAGCCAGCTCCACTCATGACATATCTCAAATAACTACTTCTCAGTGAAACTGTATGTTGGGCCATATTTCCACTTAAACTGAAATATGCAGCCAGATAGCAGGTGATCAGGTATATTTTATGAGGAATCCTAGAATGATTGAATAATAAATAATCTAAATTTCTACTTCTCCTGAACCCAATCTCTGTAATAATTCTTTGGGCTCACACTGAGCTATAAGACCTGGTAGCAGACCAAATGCAGCTCAGACTGAATGCAGGGAAAGATCCTCCAATGTAAAGAGACAGTAAACTTCAGAATATCAGGATCAAAAGTAGATGTGTTAGAAGAACCTATGAAAAAGATCTTCCTCATTTTTTTAATAATTAAAAGTAGCTAGGAAGAGGAGGTTTGGGATGCACTGAAGAGAAGAACACAACTACTGTGTTCCTCTGCATGGCTTTCCCAATTTATATCTGCCCAAACCAAAATGATTTGTCCCACAGGGAAAAATACAGAGGTTCCCTATAAGTAAGTATCTATAAGCTTCTTCCCACACAAGTAATTGAAGCTTGATGTGAGGGGTTCAGAGGGCAGAAATGCCAAGAGTTAACTACCATACCCCTAGTGCCATTTGCCCATTCTCTGAAGCAGCTACTTCTCGGTACTAATTAGTTAAAAAGGACATCAGATGCATGAATGAACAATGAGGAAAGCTCATCCTGTCTTGCTGTAAGAAGCCAAAAGCATCTGGCAGTTGGAAACAGAATGCTTCTGATCCAGCTGTGTGTCTCTCGGACAAAACTTGGGAACTATACATAAATAATTCCATTCACAGCCTGGCAGAAACCCTGCACAGCAAGCATCTTTCTTTGCCCTACTTACACTAAGTCACCATTTACTGGCATTCAAGATGAAGCTGCAGCATTCCTAACAGATAATCATCAGTAATTGCTGGCCACTAATGCCCCAGCTTTTTGTTATATTTCACAATTAATCTGAACTCATTTTTATGCAAGGACTCACTGGACATTTTATATGGAAAGAATTCTGATAAAGAAATATAAATTTCTTACTTCAGCCATTGTCCACATACAAACATTCACTAAATTTTTTTTTTTTTTGTTACAGGATAAGCTCAAGTTTGACAATGCGCTTGCATTTTTGAATCTTGACAGACATCAATTTGAATAGCATTAGAACAACTACATGTTTTATCAATAGTGTTAGATCATGTACGAACAGCCACATCATTCGTGTATGAATTACCTTACAAGTTCCAAACAAACATGCAAGATTTATTGATTTTCTACAAAGTCTGAAACCACCTTTATAAATACTGTAAATGCATTTTAGCCTTGATACTGATTGCACAGATTTGGGAGATATTTCACCTTTTCCATTTCTGACAAAGAGCTATAGATTTTCTGATTCCATATGCTGAATCTAATAAAACAATGGTGGCCCTTTTCACACATAGGTTAAAGCTAATGCTCAATTCTTGAAACACTGGTATGTTCCTTCCCATGGAATGTCTGTGCTGAGCCGCACGTGACAGACGCTTCCTCCATGCTGATACACACAAGGCAGAGCAGCTGCATGATACAGCTCTGAACTGAGGAAATATGTGGAGCCTTCTTGAATTTTCAATCTGTCACTAGTTAAATTAAATAGTATGTCCTTTCCCATTTATTTAAATAATAGGATGCAAAGGTCAGCATACCCCACATAAAAGTTACATCACCAACTTCATATTAGCATCCCTATAACCCTGCAACTACTACCATTTCTCTCTTTCTGTGTGACCACCAGGAGCTACTGGGATTAGATATTTCCATCCAGGACATTTGGGACTTAAAGCATTATTTTTCAGGGTTCTTTCACCCATCAGGTTTCCTCAGTGCCAGGCCTCTTGTATACAAGTTCCCCAGCTCTGACGGGCCTATGAAATCCAGACTTTTTCCATCTACTTTCTCTGGTTATTTTATTTGAGGATCTTTTATCTTTCCATCTCTGCCACAAGTAGAAGCCTTCGTCCTTGGAGTCTTTAGCATTCCTTGATCCCTGCTTAACTATTACTTCAATAGACTGTTGCTGAGCAACTTGATGGACACAGGGATGTCTAAAGCAAAGTGATTATGGTAGCCTGCATTAGCACTGTTCATGTATACTTAGAAGTAAGCCCATTATACTCAAGTAGGTTTGCTTTCAGGTAAGTGTGCAGAGATTCCTACCACAGAATAGCAGCAGCACAACTGGTCTGCATAAAAGTGGAGTATAGGAAGGGTCTGCATTCAGTTGAGGAAGGTGAGAAGAGGGCTATGGAAATGGCAATTCAATTAAATATATCCTATGTTTTGTCTAGCTATTCTGTTTTCCCAGTTATGGACTGTTTCTAGAATTACCATGTGATTATATCCAGTGATTTAAGCACACACTGCATTCAGAGTGAATTAACTTGTATATTCACTGTATGTTGTTTTGTAATCTGCTTATGTCTTGATAATATGCATACTCTGAGTACACAGCCTGCACGAAATTTATGAAGATGCCAGGTTCATCCTCCAGCACCTCCAGGTATATCTGGAAAATTCCTGCCTAAAACCCTGGCGGGTAGTTTTTGACTGGCAATGGCTAGATAGTCCCGTGGTCTATATAAAGAAATCCAATTTACTTTTTGAGATTTAGATGCATATAAAAGCTCCATTTCATTTATTAGCCACCTGTGCATGTGATTTCATGCTGTTTTAGCCTCTAAAACTTACAGGTCAGATCTGAAATTGCCAAAATTAGTCTGATTTATTTCAGCTGGGCTGTAGAGTTTTCATTCTCTTCCCTCCTGAAAGCCAAAGAACATATTCAGCTGAGCAGTGATTGCTGAAGGCTTGCCTCTGAGGAAACTATTCTGGGAGGCTTGTCTCTGATGCTTATCTTTGAAGAAATTGTCCAGCTAACTAGGGACTGGCTATGGAGGCTTACCCTATTTGACAAGCACCTGGCAGTTTATAAAGCAAGAGGAAGAGCTACTGTTGCCATTGGTTTTCATGTCTGACTTTGTTTAAATGTACTTCTGGGGTTGTGGAATGCATGAAATGTTATAATAATAATAATAATAATAATGATGATGATGATGATGATGATGATGATGAATCCTGGATTGGGCCCTGTCTTATTGGAGCAACCTTACTTAGGTAAAGTATGGAATAGGCTTAGGTATTACTGTTTTTGCCTGTTGCATTGTTCCAAGCAGTTTCTCTGATTTCTGTACACATTTTTATCTTCCCCCCACTTCCCTGTATAAATAAACTTAATGTCTGTCCTTAGATGTGTGTGTGCTTTCTTCCAGGTAAAACCTAAGTACTAATTCCAGAACCTTCTATTACATCTTTCTACTGTTAGGCCAAGAAACTTCAAATAGAAAGTGCTGGCTTGAACCTTATTTCTGGAACTCTAGAGGGTCCCGCAGGGACTGAAAATCCCCTGCATCAGGCTGCAGTAGATGTTAAGAAGTGGGGGCAGTCTTCTGAATAAATGCTTGCTCACTGCCTATACAACTGGGAGTTGGGTATCCACCCATCACAGTCTGACTCAGTTTACGTAAGGCAGCTTCCTCAAACTGAAGCATTGTTATAACCCACAGTTTATCAACCTAATCCCTCAATGAAATGCAATAATACAAGGAGTTTGTAACAGTTCCACAATCTGACATATGAAAATCATTATAGTGCATCTTTCATCATACCCTGCCCTATCCTCTCCTCTTGTAGATTCTTCCTACATTTAGGTCGTAGACTTCTCTAAGTTATTTGATATTTCAATTTCCACAGAGCCTTATTTCTTCTGCTTCCCTGCTTTCTCTTCCATACCTGCAGAAGTGATTGATGCCCTAAAAAACAATGAAAAAACCCAGAATTTCGGCCAAGCTGTGACTGAACAGCAATTCTTCTTTTTCTTTTTCTATCAAACAAAAGTAGCAGCAAAGAGAAAATGCTTTTTCCCACCTGGATCAGAATTATGTAAAGCTAAAGTTATCTTGATTTTTGGAGTGGAAACAGGTAAACCCAAGAGGACAGGCACTGAATTTGAGATGAGAGAGGGGTGAGAAAACTATTTAAATAGATTGGCCTTTGCTACAACATAAAGGAGCTTTGTGTGGAACAGTTTTTGCCTGAAGCCCAAACAAGCCTGGGATGTATAGAATACTAGAATAGCAGAGTTGGAAGCGACCTATAAGGCCATTGAGTCCAACTCTGCTTATGCAAAGACCCCAAGTTAAAGCATCCCTGATAAATGACTGTCCAACTGCCTCTTGAATGCCTTCAGTGTAGGAAACCCCACAACCTCTCTAGGTAATTGGTTCCATTGTCATACTGCTCTAACAGTCGTGGAATTTTTTCCTTATGTCTAGCCTGTAATCAAGATATGTCCACAGTGCACGAGGGAGGTTACCTGGTCAAAAAAATAAGATCAGTTTAGTCAGGCAAGATTTGTTCTTGATAAATCTGTGCTGACTTCCACTGATTACTCCATTGCTTTCAAGGTGCGCACAGTCTGATTTCTTTATCATCTGGTCTAGAATTTTCCCAGGGATAGATGGCAGACTAAGTAGTCTGCAGTTCCCAGGAACCTCCTTTTTGAAGATTAGGCAACATTAGTCCTCCTCCAGTTATCTGACACTTCCCCCATCTTCCATGATTTCTCAAAGAGAACAGAGTAGTTCTGAGAGCTCTTCTGCTGGTTACTTTATTACAGTAATACCTTATCAAGTTATATTTGCCTTCATGCATTAAGAGTTCAGGTTCTTCCTGTTTCCGATATTCTGTGCATTAGTATATAATCACTGAAACCCAAATGCTTTATGGTCGGGCTTCTTTCCTACGGTATTGAGAAGACTATTTGGAGAGTGTGTGTAAATCTCTTCTCTGTGTTATGCTGCGTATGCCTTCATTCACAGCTGCCTTCAAGTCCACATCTCCTTCCCCAGTCAGTCTCAGTTTAAAGCCCTCCTGATTAACATTAACTCTGAACTCCATTTCAGGACTGCTGCAAGCCATTCTTATTCAATATGAGGATAACTGGCATTGATATTAGGAGGGCTTTTTTTTAAATGTTGAAAAAATAAAACAAAGCTACCCCCGCACCTCCCCTAAAATCAGACTGCAATTAGCGCATGAGAACCTTTGCTATCTGCTCTTCTTGAGTGGACACGCAGCTGCCTATTCGTAACTACATTAAAATTCTGGCTTTCTCTATTTTCTTTGAACAGCTGTTCCTTTGGCCCAGGAAGAATACAAGGAGTGGATAGGCGAGAAAGGGTTTAAGGCAGTAATCTTATGCCCCAGCTTTCCCCAGGTTGGTGACCTTCGGACGTGCTGGGTTCCAGCTCCCTGCATACCAGTAGTCCAACACGTTTGCGAGGCCCCAGGTCGAAGAAGGCTGCTAAACGCATTAACCCTGGGGGTAAGACTTTGGAATATACAAGTATAAGATTGCACCTTAAAGAAACACGAAAGTTTGGATAATATACAACAGGCAGTTGTGCCTTTAAATTATTTGCGTCGCTGCGGAAAAAACCACCCAACGAAGACGTTCACTACAACCACCATAGAGAGAAAATCCTAGACCAAATTCCGGTTTGAATAGGTATCTCCATTTTAGTGTCTCCATAAGTAACCCTTGCAACTCTATGGTTTATTAAAGCCAGAGCGTAGCGGAAGCCCCGGCTTTGCCGCGTGGCTTTGAGTTCGCGCGAGAGAAGCCGCGATGGAGGAGGAGTCGGGCGCGCCGGTGGCGGGCGCTGCTGCGGGGGGAGGAGGTGCTGGTGGTGTCATGGCGGCGGCAGTGGCGGGTTCCGGACCTGGCGCGAGTTCAGCTTTGCGCGGAGCTGGTGGAGGCGGCCTGGGAAGTTCGCGCTGGTTCTTCAGTCGGGAGCAGCTGGAGAGCACACCGTCGCGCCGCTGTGGCGTGGAGGCCGACAAGGAACTATCGTACCGGCAACAGGCGGCCAACCTCATCCAGGATATGGGCCAGCGCCTCAACGTGTATCCTTATGGGCAACGGCCGGGGACGGTGGGAGGAGGGAAAGACGAGGCTGCGGTGGTGGGGAAAAGTGGGCACGACGCCCGCTTTGTGGTATCTTTGGACCTGGTGAGCAGGGTGGAGAGAGTTATTCCAGGTCTTTTTCAGGGCAGGCCCATTTGGGAACCGCGAAGGCCTCGCCTGTTGTGGCTCCTCCCCTCAGCATCTTTCCTGAGGTTGAGCCGGGGAAGGCGCCGCAGGCTCCCCCGGGGGTCGGGCAAAAAGGAGGCTTGAGTCCGCCGCTTGCGTTGCGGCCCAGCGTGGCTTCAAGCTACTCCGCAGGCGTACCCGCACGTAGGTGCGTCCTGTGGTGCCCTTCCTTCGTATGAGGGTTTCGGAATAAAGGGCAGATTTTACAGTTCCGACATCAGTACAGTCATCCTCTTGCGGATAGTCACGGATTTATAATAGCTCACAAAATACAGGATTGAGTTTTCCTAATACCACTGCTGCTCCGTTGTTTTAACCTTTATATGGAGAGTTATGTTGCTTTTAAGTTCGGAGTAATTGAGACAGGAAAAACTAACGTTCCATTTTGGGATCTCCCCCCCCCCCCAACCTCACTAAAATTTTGGAAATTTGTTGTGCATGCAGCTTTGGTGTTTTACCGGCCTGCATTTGATGGACCTGGATGAAATTAAGTAGGCATTGTATTCCATGTTCTGGGAAGAACCTTTCCTATGGTGAATTAAGGCCTGCTGCTTGCATGGTTGGCTGGTAGATGCTGAAATTGTAGGATCTGTACTTAAAGTCTTATTCTGGGAGATGTAAGAAAAATTGCTGTCTTTCACAATAAAAAGTCCAAAAAATAGCAAGTGCAGCATTTCAAGAACTAAGCCAATGTTAGAACTTCTTGTGTGTTCTCTACAACAGTTTCAATATTGAAATTGATGAACTACTGCAATATTTTTATATAGCTGTCCTGACCTACAGTGTGGAGCAGTCCTTTATAAGAGGTTTTTTTTTTAAGCCCAAAAAACAAAGGCAGAAAGTGCTTTCTAGACTTTCAGCAATTCTTATTACATTTGTTAAGCTGGACATTAGCAATTTTTTATTATGAAAATGATTTCTGCTGTTTAGACCAGCAGTTTAAAGTTTCTCTTAAGACTGCTTCACAAGTTTCCTGCAAGTTCTATGTTGATAGCTGAGAATGCAGTGGGTATATTCTTATTTGATCAGCAAATGTTGTTGGCACCATAAGAATATTTGTCTTGATTGGCAAACAGTTTCCTAGATGTTTTGTCAGATATGGCTTATTTACCATTCAAACACAAGAACTACTTGTAGAAAGTTAATCATTTATACAGCAGTCTACAACTTTGGAATACTGAAATTAAAAACCTGGCCTTTTCAAATTTATGCTTTGGAGATTCTAAAGTGGAATAATCTGAAAATCTTGTAATTAATTATCTCTGGAAGCAGCAAGGTTAAAAACATTCTAAAAGTAAATTATAAATTAATAGGTTGTCATCCAATCAGGATACAGTATATCACAGGAGTACACGCCTCACATTTTGTAAATATTTTATTATATCTTTTCATGTGACAACCCCGAAGAAATGGCACTTTGCTACAATGTAAAGTAGTAAGTATACAGCTTGTGTAACAGTGTAAATTTGCTGTCTCCTCAAAATAACACACAGCCATTAATGTCTGAACCGCTGGCAACAAAAGTGAGTACACCCCTAAATGAAACTGTCCAAATTGGGCTCAAAGTGTCAATATTTTGTGTGGCCACCATTATTTTCCAGCACTGCCTTAACCCTCTTGGGCATGGAGTTCACCAGAGCTTCACAGGTTGTCACTGGAGTCCTCTTCCACTCCTCCATGATGACATCTCGGAGCTGGTAGATGTTAGAGACCTTGCGCTCCTCCACCTTCCGTTTCAGGATGCCCCACAGATGCTCGATAGGGTTTAGGTCTGGAGACATGCTTGGCCAGTCCATCACCTTTATCCTCGGCTTCTTTAGCAAGGCACTGGTTGTCTTGGAGGCGTGTTTGGGGTCATTATCATGTTGGAATACTGCCCTGCGCCCAGTCTCCGAAGGGAGGGGATCATGCTCTGCTTCAGTATGTCACAGACATGTTGGCATTCATGGTTCCCTCAATGAACTGTAGCTCTCCAGTGCCGGCAGCACTCATGCAGCCCCAAACCATGACACTCCCACCACCATGCTTGACTGTAGGCAGGACACACTTGTCTTTGTACTCCTCACCTGGTTGTCGCCACACATGCTTGACACCATCTGAACCAAATAAGTTTATCTTGGTCTCATCAGACCACAGGACATGGTTCCACTAATCCATGTCCTTAGTCTGCTTGTCTTCAGCAAACTGTTTACGGGCTTTCTTGTGCATCATCTTTAGAAGAGGTTTGCTTTTGGGACGACAGCCCTGCAGACCAATTTGATGCAGTGTGCAGCGTATGGTCTGAGCGCTGACAGGATGACCCACCACCCCTTCAACCTCTGTAACAATGCTGGCAGCACTTGTATGTCTGTTTCCCAAAGCGAACCTCTGGATATGATGCTAAGCACGTGCACTCAACTTCTTTGGTCGAGCATGGTGAGGCCTGTTCTGAGTGGAACCTGTCCTGTTAAACCGCTGTATGGTCTTGGCCACCGTGCTGCAGCTCAGTTTCAGGGTCTTGGCAATCTTCTTATAGCCTAGGCCATCTTTATGTAGAGCAACAATTTTTTTTTAAGATCCTCAGAGAGTTCTTTGCCATGAGGTACCATGTTGAACTTCCAGTGACCAGTATGAGAGAGAGAGAGCGATTACACCAAATTTAACACACCTGCTCCCCATTCACACCTGAGACCTTGTAACACTAATGAATCACATGACACCGGGGAGGGAAAATGGCTAATAATGCCCAATTTGGACAGTTTCTCTTAGGGGTATACTCACTTTTGTTGCCAGCAGTTTAGACATTTATGGCTGTGTGTTGAGTTATTTTGAGGGGACAGCAAATTTACACTGTTATGCAAGCTGTATACTCACTACTTTACATTGTAGCAAAGTATAATTCAGGGTTGTCACATGAAAAGATAGAATAAAATATTTACAAAATGTGAGGGGTGAACTCACTTCTGTGATATACTGTATGTTCTGGAAAATACTCCACAGAGGTAACTTTGGGAAAATTTCCATTTTTGGAGTGAGAATGAGCCTCTGATTTAACAATATTTTAACATTCTGTTTGGATCTCATTCACCAAAGTCCTGCCATTTGCATTTCTCATAGTGTTTTGTCTGTTAGAATTTAATTTTTAACTACCAAAAGACATGTTTTAGAAGGAATTTTAATTTGAGTCATTATACATATGTAAAATTTCTTTGACTCCCTTTTCAGATCTCAACTTACAATTAACACTGCAATTGTTTACATGCACAGGTTTTATATGCATCATTCATTTACAAAATTTAATAGAAATGTAAGTATATTTAAGCTAGAACAGTTGTTATTTTTGGAATGGCACTTGTTAATATGCACCATCTTTTATCAGTTTTCTATGGTCTAATAGTTTAAGTTGTTTATAATTTCAGCCTGTAGAGCCACTTCCCTGTGATAAGAGAGTTTCTTTCAGGCACCCTCCCAGAAAACTTTTAGTGGTGTTGGTTTGTCTTTCACATTGCAACTGCTGTTTGCATAAAGTATATGAATTAGTAACTGTGTATTTCTTTTGTAAGGTAGTTTTAAGTTACTGCTGAGTTGTGTTCCCTCTTTTGCTCTCAAGTGATAGATCTAATAATTGGAAAATGAGAGCCACAAGCTCTAATTGCCATATACTTTGTGTGAGCAAACAATTCACAGGAATGAGGATGGGAGTTCATTAAAAATCAGGCTGTTAGGTAAATGAAAGTTATTCAATTATACCAGCTCAAAGACTATGTATGCTTTGAACAAGTATAGTGCCCTAACAGTAAGGGTGCTAGAATTTTCTGTCCTGGGATATAGAAAGAAGCTGCAAATTTCTAGGAAATAAAACTCCACTTAAATTTCCTTTGAGCGAAGGACTTTCAGTGTTGTTGCTTATGACTACATACAGAGAACAAAGCTTTGTTCATATTTCAATGTATTTTATCATGTTGTAAGCCGCCCCGAGGTTTCGGCAAGGGGCGGCATAGAAATGTTATAATAATAATAATAATAATAATAATAATAATTCATTTTTATCATTCTGAAATGATTGGAAATAAATGAGCATAGGTTTTTCCTTGGGAGACTCCACAGTCAAGCAGATGATGCTTTGAAGCATTAAGAATTAATTGGCTATCCCATAACATCTCCTGGAAACCATCATACCAAGGTGGAAGTTGTGGCTCAGAGTGAAACAAGAGAGAAATGAAATGTATTTCTAAAGACATAGGGAAAAGGGGGGAAATGTTCTGGAAAGTTCCTTTAATACAAAAACAATGAGACTTTTTCAAAAGTGTGTTTTGCTGGATTATATCAGTTGATGAAAAACTTGCAATGCTTAGGATAATACCTAGCTTTGTCATTCTCTTAAATTGTATTAGTAGAGTCAAGGTTCTAAACTGCGTAAGAGGAGTATTCAGTTGTTATTTTCTTTGAAATAAACTTGCAAAGTGACTCTGCTTAACTTCTGTATTACCTGTTATGTAACTGTGCAGGTATTAGGACTAGTGTAATAGGCAGCCATGTGTGCAACAGAAGGATTCAGGGGAGCTCCACTAGCAATACTTCATTTTGTGAAATGACATGGTTGAATACTGCCCTTAGGCTTTTGTAATGAGTATTTAAAATACATTGAATTGTTGAGTTCAAGTTTAATGGTTGCAAGTGGCAAACACAGACTGGTTCTGGATGATGCGCTATGGCTTGTTGTGGGTTATTTACCTTTGACAAGCAAGGACATCCATGGGGAACAGATTTCACATGCTATCCCCACTTGAAGCAGGTTCATATGACAAACAGCAGCATTTTTTAAAATCTGTCATGTTGTCCGAAGCCTGTCATGGTATTTCAGTGTTGGAACATTTGGTTTTGAGAAACCACAAAGAAAAGCAATGGTCTGTTCAATGGACTAGCAGTACTGTGATTGTTTGTCATGTCTGAACTGGAAAACATAACTCATCATGTTACCATCATGATACCAAAGCCACTTGGCAAGAACAGCCAGTTGCTGCACTTGCCAACTTGCTAACCAGAGTGCTGCTGACATTTGACATAACTGTGTCTTCACTTCTCCTGCCCTAAATATCTTATTTGGGGCAGGAGTGTGAAATCCTGATGGTCAGGAGGATTAAGGATTCAGCATCTGGAGTCCATCCGAGCTAGCTCTGCCCCCCCACCCCCGCTTTGTGCATGTCAAGGTGCTGCTCCTCATGAGCCAGCAGCAAAGACAAGAATCAGCTAGTGGGACTTGCAAGTGAGCAGTGGAGTGAGAAGCAGCTGGGAAGCTCTGTGGAAAGGAACAGCAGCACTGCACTGATTTACCTGCTGCCTCTTTTCACATGCCAGACTGATGCTTCTCATACACATGTGTATGAGTCAGTGGCAGAGGTGAAAAGCAGATGAGGGGGAGGTTGTATGGCCCCTATCTTTGTCTCTCTAGCTTGCCAGAGAGGTATCCCAAGCTGGCACCTGCTTTACAGGTGCTGGGTTGCAGACTTCTCTGTAGAATGCCGAAGTGAGAAAGGGAAGCAGTGGGGGAATTTGCTGTGGCTGCCCAGATGCTTCTCACGCCTGCTGCTTGCTTGGTGGTATGCATGAGGTACTTCGCTGTGGTGCATGTACTGTGAAGGGTCAGTAGGGAAATTAGTTGAGCAGTGCTGCTCCTTTCTGTAGTACAGCCCAACTGCTTCTTGCTTCCGCCACTAGCTTATGCTCTGGCATGTGCAAAAGAGTAGAGGGGGAAATCAGTTGACTGGTACTCTTCCTTTCTGCAGCGCTACCCAGCAGACTTTTCCTCTTTTGCCCAAGTGTGAATTGGGCAACCCCTCCTGCTTGAGTGATCCCTTCTGTAGCAAAAGGAGAGCTGTCTGCCAGACTCGTTTGCCTCTTTACTGCCTGGGCCTTCTTTGTGCAGCAGAGACTGCAAAACAGCCTTAGCAAGCCAAAGTTGTCAAAGCAAGGGGCCTCATTCTTCCCTGTGGTACCTCCTGAGATACCGCCTAGAGGCCTGAGAGGGAAGAAAATGGAATGTGAATTGCCATGCTGAGCCCAGTCGTCTTTCAGGAACATCCACCCAACCCCCCTATGGTTGAAACCACATAGTATTACATATTGTGACATATGAACTTGGCCTTGGCGTTGTTGTGTCATGCCAGCCTGGCAAACATGAGTTATCCAAGGATTACACCAAAAATCTTCATGCAATGCTAAAAAAGACCATGTGTTCCGTGAGGGTTTGTTTATGTACATCTGACTTCTCTGTGTGTACATTGAAGCCAATTTGAGTCATAGGTCTTCACTTCAACTTTCATTAATTATGCAGTGTTGCTTTAATATGTTAAATGACAGAACTTAATGCTTAAGTGATTTTCCACTTCTACAAGGCTGTTACCATATTTATTTGTTAAGATTCTCTGGTTCACTAGTAATAACGCTTATGGTAGATGTGATGTAGCCTTTTTTCTAACTGGAGGCATTTCTTTGCCAACAGATTATATCTCCTACTGCATTATTTTTGGCTGCAAAAGTGGAAGAACAGCCACGAAAACTAGAACATGTTATCAAAGTAGCACATGCTTGCCTTCATCATCAAGAGCCACAGCTGGACACAAAAAGTGATGTATGTTCACAGGAGCCTAATCTTTCAGTCTACCTTAACTGCACATAAATACTGGACTCATTTAGCTGTTATGAGGAGTCAGTAGAGTTCTGTGTACTTGTTGCCTCTCCAATTCTTGGAAGATAACATGAACTAGGAGATCTGTATTTATTGAAACTCTTCCAGGTTAAATATCCTGAATTTAGGTGGATCCAGTTGAAGGTAGAGATTATTTTGTTTGTGTGTTTCTTTTTCATATGAGGAGGGGAAAAGAAGGAAGCAGGGGAGGAAGTTTGTGAGCTCCAGGATCACTTATGATCTCACTGTACCTTAGAGGTAATGTTGCAGTGTAATGTCTGAACAGCCTTAGTAGTTCTTTGGCTGTTCAGGCAATGAACTAGGAACAGCAGCAAATTACATGTGCTCTCCTTGCTTCAGTGAAGCAGCACAGTAACAGATGCTCCAGAGAGCCTCATAGCATGGGTGATCTCCTGGGTCACTCCTCCCACAGTGCCTGAGAAAGAGCCAGGCACTTGACCCTAGCTGGTGCTCTGATCTTGTTGCTCCAGCCATTTTCTCCAACTGGTGGGGCACTGCAGAGAGTTCACCTGTTGTCTGGCTCACACTGAGAAAATCTTCATCACAAGCCAGAAGGCAGGCAGCTGTGGGGGGAGGGGGGATTATGGCTATTTTTGTGTGTGTTCTTATCCAAGGCAGCATGGGGAGCCTGCACCAGCATTGGATGTGGATTTTAAGTAGCAGTTTCAGAAGGCTTCAGAAAAAGTGGGCAGCTGAATAATTTATCTTGTTTCCTGTCACTGAGGTGACTAGATTTCTTGGGTGGTTTAATATGAGTAGCTCATCAATAAATATGGAATAGCTCTTGGTACTGTGAATTGATTAAAATCACATTGCTAATGTTTCAGCATTTTTTCTCCATTTTTAGGCATACCTTCAGCAAGCCCAAGAACTGGTTATACTTGAAACAATAATGCTTCAAACTTTAGGTAAGAACAAATCCGCATGTAATTATTTTTAAACTTTTGCAGAAAAACCAATCCAGTAATGGAATACCAGTATATTTGCCCCATCAACATATTTTGGAAGAAACTTAAGGTAGTGTCAGTCAGTATTACAGAGAGTGAACCCATTGAATTGAATGGGACTTCAGTTAGTCATGGCATATGTCTCATTCATTTGAATGGGTCTCTTCTGTGTACCACTTGATAATACCCTTGGAATCACGAACTCAATCCTAAATCAAGCTGTGGTAGTTGTTGTAACATTGTATGTATATCGCACTTTTTTTCTCTTGTGAGGAACCTAGGGATAGTCCTCCTTGGCTCCATTTTTATCCTCACAACAATTATGAAGTAGGTTAGGGTGAGAATTTGTGGCTGGCCCAAAATTACACAGGGAGTTTCATGGCTAAGTGGGAACTAGAACCCAGAAATAACAGGTGCCCAGACCAACACAGTGATCAGTATACTGGCTTTCAGTTTACAATGATTTAATGCCTGCCCCTCTTGGATATTTTAGTTATTCTTGTATAACTACAATTACTGAAATAATTGTACACTTTCTATAATAACGTAGCTGTGTGATGCCCTATGTAATTTGGCCAGCATCTTAAACTTAATGCAGTAGTTGGTAATGTAATTACTAAGCTAGGCATCTGAACAACACATGGGAAAGCCAGGTGTTCATAAAGTTATAGACATATATAATATAGCTTGTGAAATAAAACATTTCATTTTTCAGGCTTTGAGATTACCATTGAACATCCACACACAGATGTTGTGAAATGTACGCAGTTAGTGAGAGGTTAGTAACAATTTAACTGATTCTTTTCCTACATCTCTGTAGGAAGGTGGTGGTATGACTTACTAAAACTATTTCTGCAATATAACTTCCACTGTGAGTAAATCCTTTGTGTAATCTATGTTTGGTTTTTTCCTGGTTCTGTAGAAGATGTACCTAAAACTGAAGAATTGCATGTCAGAAGTAGTATATGTGTTTCTCAATCAAGAGTTAAAACTCCAGGGACTTATTTTGTTCATGGGCCACAGAGATAACTAGAGGTTATTTAAGTCAACTTGACATGGTAGTGGGAGAATAAGGTAGCTGTATGTATTGTGCTCATGTCCAGCTTGTTTGTAGGATTCTCACAGGCATCTGGCTGGCCACAGTGGTAGTAGACAGGTCTGGCAGATCAACTCAAAGGTCAGCTTTTATATTAAGTTCATAACAGACAGATCAGTGGAATAAGGTCATCTATTTCACAAAGCACCTTTTATGGAAGTATTTCTGCAAAGAATAACAGGTCATAGGTGGAATTACTGAATGTCTACAGTACTGTATAAAATTGCTTTGAAGTATTTTGTGGTCAGTTTTCATATTATGATTTGGACTCAATTACCTTTTTCTTTGGTGTCCCAGTTACTTGATTTGGGCTATTTTAAAACAATTTGGAAGGTCAGTTTAATTTCTCATCTGCATATGGCTTAACTGTTGGTCATATGCTAGAATTTTAGTGAGAATGCAGAACTTTTCCATATTTAAAAGACTCACCATACTTTCCTCAAGGTGAAGGAGTTAATTAGAGCACTTCTGGGAATTTTTTGATACAGTAACATACTGGAGGCTGGTTCTGCCCTTAACTTTAAATAGTCTGAATTGAGGGCAAAGCCAGCAAAGCAGCATTATCTATAGTAGTTTTTGCTTGTTGGCAGTATCAATCTTCTTGAATTGTCTTAGTTTATTCTCTTGAACGCTAACATTTTTTTTGTAGGAAAAGCGATATTGATGTGAATGTCACATTCTTTTAATGGTCAACTTTATATACTTTATTCTAAATTCTGGAGCAGATGATACACAGTTGATCTGCAAATACATTGAAAACAATGTTGTGATTACACAAAGTCAGCATGGATTTGTCAAGAACAAATCCATGCTGACTAATCTGGTTCCATTTTTTGATTGGATAACCTCCCTGGTCAACCGTGGGAAAGCAGTGAGCATAATATATCTTGACTTTAGCGAAGCTTTTGGGAAGTGTCCCATGATAACCTGATTATTTATTTATTTAAAACATTTCTATGCCGCCCCATTTGCCGAAGCCTCAGGGCGGCTCACAACATAAAATTAAAATATAAAACATTCAAATATACAACAAACTAAGTAATAGTGGGCTAGATGGAACAACTAGCAGGTGGCTCCATGGTTGGCTACAGAATTTGATTTAAAGAGTGCGCATAAACTGGGGGGAAGGTTAGGGTGGGGTACTGCAGGGTTCAGTCTGGGCCAAGTGCTCTTATTTATTTTATTTATTTATTTAAAACATTTCTATGCCACCCCATCGCAATAAGCCTCGGGGCAGCTCACAACATCAAAAAAAGTCAACCATACATTAAAACCCCCAATACAATAAACCCCCCAGTACCATAAAACTTCAATAAAACCTCAGTTCATTTTCAGCTAAAAAAAACCTAGTTAAATAAATAAATTAACAATTAAAATAAGTTTTAAATAAAAAGGTCTCAGCCTGCCGCTGAAAAGCAAATAACGACGGCACCAGGCGGACCTCCCTGGGGAGCGCATTCTATAAATGGGGCGCCACCGCCGAGAAAGCCCTCCGGGTACTCACCCTCCTGATGTCATTCACAGATGGTTCCTGGAGAAGGGCATCTGCTGCTGACCTCAAGGGGCGGGAGGGCATATATGGAAGTAAGCGTTCCTTTAAGTATCCAGGTCCCAAATGCTCTTCAACATTTTCATTAATGAGGAGGTACAGGAAATGCTTGTCAAATTTATAGATGACACAAAATTGGGTAGGATAGCTAATACCCTGGAAGATGGAAGATTCAAGGTGATCTTAATAGGTTAGAGCACTGTGCTGAAAACAACAGAATGGCATTTAACAGGATCAAATGCTGAGTTTTGCACCTAAGAAAAGGAAATGCAAAGTTACAAAATTCTTGAGCCAATACTTGGCTCAATAATACACAAGTGAGAAGGATTTTGGAAATATTGTAGATTACAAGCTGATTATGAGTCAACCAAATACCTAAGGAGGTTATGGGCTCAGCGATACTGGAGTCATTTAAGATGGAGTTACCTATGCATGATAGTTTAACTGTATTGAGCAGAAAGTTGAACTTCATGGCCACCTTGGTTCCTTCCTACTCTACTATTCTATATTAACCAACAGCCAAAGTTCTCTGGCAGTTCACAACTGTTCGCAAAATGCATAAAATCACAAGGCACTGATAAAATACAGCATATAATTGCAGTACAGGCAGTCCCCAAGTTACAAACGTCTGAGTTATGAATAACCCATCCTGACAAACGAACTGCCATAAAGTCTATAATTTTAAAGAATAACTTGAGAAAATTGTCATCACCATAGAGAGAGAAAAGAAGCAAAAGAGGAGGGGGCCTCAAAAGCATTCCTTTCTACCTCTGACCATCCAGAGAGGGAGATCTCTCTCTGACATTCGCTTGCTGCAAAGAAGAGACATTTGGGGAGCCTATTCATGGTTTTTCCACTTCCATAGTACTGTATCTCTAGCCCTCATGATTGTGCAGGGATGAGTATACGTGATCCAACTTACATAGAAATATGACAAAGATGAATTTCTATTTTCTCAGGAATGGAATTTGTTTGTAACCTGGAAACTGCCTGTATACAAAATGTAAAGCAATGTAAACCATTTTAAACAGCCAAAAAAGTACTAGATCTGTCATCAGAGCTCCCATCATAATGCCAGTAAATGCCTGAGACTAATCTGGTTCCAAAAAGATGACAAATTTTGTCCTAAATGGGCTTCAGTGAGAAGATGCTGGTGTAATGGAGGGGTAGGGAGCATCACTAAGAAGGTCCTTTCTCTTGTTGCAACCTTTTAAGCCTCCTTTGGAGGTGGCACTTGTGGATTATACTGTCTGTGTATGTCCAAGTTGGGAGAAGTGGTCAGTCAGATATTGCGGTCCCAAGCCATGGAAGGCATTGCAGTTTAAAACCAGCACGTTGAACTGAACTCAGAAGCATACAGGTAGTCAAGGTAAGCAAGCTAGCATTGGTGTTACATGAGCAAAGCTTTTGGTCTTGGTTATTGATCTGGCTGCCACACTTGCACAAACTGTGACTTCTGAGGGCAGCCCCACTTAGAGTGCATTGCAGTAATCTCACTTGGAGGACACCAGAGCATAGGTTACTGAAATTAGGTTGTCCCTGTCCAGATAGGAGTCTCACCACTGAGACTACCTGAGCCTCAACTGTCAGAGATGGCTCCTGAAGAATTGCCATGCTGCAAAACTGATACTCGAGGGGAGCGCAATCCCATCCAGAACAGGTTGAGCACCTTCCATCTGGTGCTTAAGTCATAGTAAGTCAGTGAAATGTAGTCTGTCATAAATGCATACAAATTTGGTCTGTACTTGTAACTGTTCTAGCCTTGCATATTTCCTCAGAAAAAGAGTAAAGCATGTCAAGCAGTCACTTTGTTTTGGTCTCTAGTTATGTGGGAAAGCACGCCAAAACATATTGATAACTGGGCTGCCAACTTAATAATATTTAGTGGTCTCTTTCTGTTCATGTGAAATTGATAGTGTTAGTCAACAATGGAAAAGCAAATCTGCTCATATACATTGATATACTTAAAGAGGACTGCTTCCTTTTTAAGATGACTTGTCTTAAAACCAAAAGAACTGGTCTTATAAAGAAGTTTTTGAATAGCCCACAAGAGACCCTTTACCTTTAAAGAAGGTAAGAAAGAGTTGAAGTATTTAAATTCTAAAAAGCACAGGTGAATGGAACAGATGTGCTGGGACTGAAGGGCTTTTTAATTTAATGGGGAGAAGTTTGGCTTTTTATTTCTGTATAGATCCTGCTCCAAAAAGAAGGGAACAATCTGATTGGAGGGCTTGTGTCAGTCTATTTGGATTAAAATATAGTTGATGTAACTATTGTGTTCAGCATTAAGTGATCACTTTGAATAAACAGGTGAAAGTAAATGCCAGTTTTTTGCTAAAGTAGTTTTGCTGATTCTAGTGAGTTGCTACTACAGTAATTAATTTTAATTACTAGGTAATGATCAGTGCTGTAAGATTGAAATGCAGCTGTGTTTGTAAACTAAAACAAAAGGCTTCTGATTTGATTATTCTGAGCATCTGTAATGGAATGCAAAATTATGAAAGTCCAGATTGATGCCAGGTGCTTGGGGTCAGCCTGATCATTTAGATGCAATGTATATGTTGTCCAGGTGATATTTTAATGACTCAGTTTACAAGGCTTGGGAACACCTGTGGCACTCTTGCTGATTTCAGGCTTGTAGCAAATGAACTGAAAGAATATGGGGTAAGAATAGTCTCACCCCATCTTAGTACCATGTCTGTTGCTGATTTTAGAAGGAAATTACAATCAAAAACTGTGCTAAGAGTAGTTTTTATGAAATGTATTTTATCCCAATCTTACACTTGCATATTTTTATATGGCATACATATAATAATTTGTTTTTAAGCCACTTTAGGGGTCTGGAATGGCTTGAATTGGGACGCATGTGACTTCTCTATTGCAACAACTCTTGATAGATTTCCAAGCCCAGTTCAAAGTATTGGTTACCACATTTAAAGCTCTAAATCAGGGCTGAAGGCAGTATTCCATTTGGAGAAGCTTTCAGGGACTGCATTACTATGGCTAGCTGTCCTACAAGAAAAAGATAAGCTTGTGGCTGAAAAATCCACTGCCTCCTTTCCATTTTTAGCAATGTATAGTTGCTAGAGTTTCTACTTAGAAGTAAGCCAAACAAGACTTCAGAGAAAGCTAAAATTAATCAGAAGCTTCATTCCTCCCCAGTGTCCCCAGGAAAAAATCAAATTCATGTACTTGTGCATGCTATCTTTGATCAGCAACTGATCTAAGTATTTTTCCCTGTAAAGCGCTAAGAAAGGGAGCCCTTTTCAGTGTTAAGCAGGATCTTACTACCTCTTGTCAGAGAGGAGAAGAGCTTGGGAAGAAGTTGCTGAGCTTATGGGCACTTTTGCAGTCCTGAGGGTTCTTATTCCTTTACTAAATGCTTTAGGGCCAGGTCAATTAAAAGACTACTTTAATATAGAAGCCTGATAGTGCATTGAACTATGGTGGAAGGGTTTGCCTGTGGATTCCAGGATTAAAGATATGATGGGCTGGGATATAGGCAAAGAGCACCTTAGCGGCTGGCCTAATTTATGGAACCATCTTGTCTTTAAAAGCCTGCTATGTCTCCTCCTTGATAATTTTTTACTATCCCATGGAGATGTTATTAATTTGGCAGGTATTTTGTCTGTCAGTAGAATCTTCTATTATTTTTCAGTGTCATCACTGTTTGTCTTAAATTGTTCATATTTTAATAGTGTTTGATTACACTTAGTGTTTTTAGAAACAGAAATGCTGAATATAAAATATCTTAATATATACTTTTATTTCTTTAAAATAAATATTTTTTCTAATATTTCTTTATTCACAATATAGATGAGAAGTAGAAGGATTCATACATGAGACCCTTACACAGATATTACCAGCTATTGCCCCTGTCCTAGCTACCTTGCTCCTCTGCTTTCAGAAACCACCAATGAACTAATTAATGAGCTTCTTACTAATTAATGTGGCACAAGAAGGTCTAAGCTGCTTCTGTGCCATAAATATCAATGTAGCTATCTGTCTAGGAATTTAGGTATGAGGCTATTTTTAATTACCTCCACTTTATTGAATCTGGGCTTTTCTAAACGTTCATTAATATGTCACATTCGTACTCATAACTATTTCCAAGAAGTTAGTTTCTTTTATGTTATCTCTTTCTTGTTGCTTATTCATATGATGAGAAATGTATTAGTCATTGAGAATTTTAGTGACAATCTTTAAAGCTGGGAATTTGGGAGTGCCTTTCCTCAATGGGAACAGAAGCATCTGTACAGATTAATAAAATTTCTACAATAATCCTATTTGGGTTTATTTATTTAGAATATTTATATGCCGTCCTGTCGTGAAGGCCTCAGGACGGCTTACATAAATAAATAAGAATAATATAAAACATAATATATTAAATTTAAGATCCACCCTGGCTGCAGATTAAAAACATATATAATCCAATATTAAAAGTTATTAAAATATTGTTGGAATAAAAAGGTCTTAACCTGGCACCGAAAAACAAACAGTGGTGCCAGGCGGACCTCTCTGGGGAGCGCATTCCATAGGCGGGGCGCCACCGGAGAGAAAGCCCTCCTACGAGTACAGTTAGAAGGTATTAGTGACCAGCTTGTTTGAGCTGTTCCTTTATACAGCTTAAAAGTTAGATTCTTTAACTATAGGAGAGATGGATGGATGGAGCTACTCATTCTGTACTATGAAATGATACTATGAACCAGTGTGTTCTGTTATTGAACGCTATTCTGTGGGTGGAATGGGTTCCATTTTCCCCCTGAAGCTTTTCTCAAATCTATTTTTTAAAAAGTTATAAACAAAATTTTTGTATGGGTTACAATTAATAAAGGATTTATATGGAAAATAAAACATAATAAAATCAAAATTTTCTACCTTTCTTACTGGGAAAGCTGCACTTAGTTTGGCTTACATAGGACAAAAATGTTTTTGTGTGACATGTTAAACCCAGGCTATGCAGAAAAGTCTCTTCAGTTGAATTGCCAGAAACAGCTGTAACTGCAGTTGATTAGAATTCACAGAATGAGATACTAGCAAGTTTCACCTATAACATTAATTTGACTTAAGGAATTAATGAACATGTGCTTCAGAAAACCCTAGCTGAGAAGTTGCCTTGAAAAGTAATCAAGTTTCTTGTTGGTAAGAGTAAACAGTTTGCAGCCTTAGCTTTTTAATTTGGGACAGTAACTATTACTGATAGCTAACTTCCTTGTTTCTCTTTCTTACAGCAAGCAAGGATTTGGCACAGACATCCTATTTCATGGCTACCAACAGGTTGTTATCCTGAACCTCTTTGTTGCACTGTTGTAGCACACTATAGCTTCCTTTACTGCAGGGCCCCCTACCTGTGTCTAACCCTTGTTGCAACAGGCGACTGGGCTGTCTACTGTGGTGGTACCTTCCTGTTTGCAGTGCGGTGTATTGTACAAGGGCGTAATGGCACAAAGGGGTTAAATGCACAATGTGAAGTGTAGTGGTGCTTTCTGGTGACATTTTCTCGATTGTGAGTGCATAAGTCTAAAATTGGTAGCCTGAATAGCAGCTAAAGATTACAGAGAGATAAACTTAACCTAGAAATCCGAGCTTATTGGTAAGTACAAAGCTGTTTCTAGTTTATCCTTGTAGTTAATGGCATTTTTCTTAATTAAAATAGAATCTTAGCATTGTTTATTTAATGAAAAATAGGAGTTTGTTAAAAACATTAGAACTAGCCTATGAGATATTGAGTCTTGCAGAAACTGGCTGATTCTGTAATTTATTTGTTAAAAGAATGGCCAGTGGGTTTGCAGTATTAAGTAAGGTGGGTAGCTGAAAAGAAGTGCAAGAGCTTGGTAAATAAATAGCAAAGATGAGGGGAAGGTTTACTGATGAGAAACGTTACAGAAAATATTATGGCCATGATGACATGTAAATTTGTAAATAAAATTAGTCTTTGAGAAGTGGGGATTGGGTTAATGGAGGTTTTTACCTTGGGGAGAACATGAAAGCAGAAAAGCAGGCCACAGTGGATTAAGTTGTTTGAGGCAGATACTGAAAGCAGATGGTGAAGTGGGAAGAACCTTGCAAAGAAAGTATAGAACCCATAATTGCTCTGGAAAGTAATTGGGGCGCCGGGGGGGGGGGAGACTGAGGGAATATTAAAATATTAGGAAGGAGCAAAGGATCCAGCACTTACATTAAACTGATTGAAGGAAAAGATAGAACAGAAGGCTTCCATAAATTAAATGGGATGATTGAGAGTATTAACGACGTTTTAGAAATAGACTGAGAAATGCAGGTGGGGAAGGACTGTATCTTAGAGATGCTAAGGTGAAGTAATCTGAAGGACTTGGGAAGATGTGGTTCTTGTGCAGCTAAAGGAAGAAAAATAATCTGTGTCACACAGTGATACTGTTGTAGGATTTGGGGTGGATAAATAGGAACTAAATAGCTGTATTATTATTTTTAGTTTATTCAAATAAGTTATGTTGTGAAGAAAATCAATAAGAATGGGTGACTTTACATTTGTAATTATTTTTGTGAAGCATCATTTCTGGGGTGAACATGTAGTTGTAGTTTGTTCTTGCCAAAACCTTTCAAAAGAGAAAGCATTTAGACATGAAATTGACATAGTTGGGCTGCTTCATGACAGTAGCTAATGTGAACTAAGTTGTAGCTTGGGCTGGAGAAGGCAAAATTTGTTTTCTTTCTTGTTCCTTTACACGTTATTTCAGTAGCATTTAGAATGAACCGTGTATGACAAGACAGTAAAAACTAATGAGGAATCCTTGCTGGAGTCTTGTTATTTGTAAATGCTAATATTTTGGCTTTCTTAAATATTGCAATGTATGTACTATAGGTGGAATAGCATACTGTAGTTCTTCAAACTGCTTAGCAGCAACAAATCTATATTCTTCTTGTACTTTAACATAAGTCCAAACATTGTACATTTTAAAAACTTTTACAACTTATTATGATTTACTTTGAATTGTGTAGTGATGAATTTTTTCTCCTTGTTTTTTGTTCTTTTCCATGTTTGGTGTTTGTTCCTCCTTTATGGAACATTTCCGACCACAGTCTGCACCTTACTACATTTTGTCTTCAGTACAAACCAACTGTGATAGCATGTGTGTGTATACATTTGGCATGCAAGTGGTCCAACTGGGAGATTCCTGTTTCAACTGATGGAAAACATTGGTGGGAATATGTAGATCCTTCTGTTACTTTAGAATTACTTGATGGTAAGTAGTATCCCCTTTATTTAAAGCTCTGCTTAACTGCATTTCCTGTGACCTTGATCTTCTCCTTATAACAGGTTGACTGAAAAGGCATAATCAGGCAGTAGCCATTTGCTTCATTTTTCTGCAGGCAGAGTTTTTAACTTATCAGCAGGTAGCATAAATCAGCTTGATTTTGCTTTAACTATTATGTTTATAATTTTGTTCGATGAATAGCATAAACTAGCAGGCACTATCTTTTAATGCCTTGAGAGCAAATATATTCCATAGTACAGTAAAAGGAACAATCTTACATTGAATACCTTCCTCTGAAAAGTAAGGCTTTACACAAAGCTTATGCACCTGTGGTGGCAGTATTTATGCATTTATATACATGTAATCTGTGATAAGGTCAACATTTTTCATCTCTCTGTGTGTGGATACTGGGAATTTTACAAGAGGAGCAAGGTCAGACTTGTTTCAAAAGCCTGACTTGGCCATCAAAGATGGTTGAATGTTAGGAATAGGTTGTCAGTCAGTTATATAGTGTGTTCAGCTTAATTTCATTTTCTTTCACAGAGCTAACACATGAGTTTCTTCAGATATTAGAGAAAACTCCTAGTAGGCTAAAGAGGATTCGAAACTGGAGGGTAAGACTGTCTTCTGGTGGAAAAAAATGGTACAACTGTGGTATTACATAAACATCTGCTGACCTACTCTCTCATTTACTTGAAAATGAGTGTCCTACTATAGTTCACGTGTTAAAATGGATCTTGATGTTCCAGTAACTTATCTGGCTTTAAAAAAAAAAGCTGTGTAGTAGTTTGAATCCAGAGTTGCCCTTCTGCAGAGGTTCCCACTGGTGAAAATGGAGGGGCAATTTTTGCCATTCCCCTTGTGTCTTTCACCCTGGGAGTGGATTTTTCAGGGAAAGGAGGGATCAGAAAAAATCTTGTTTCCTTCCTCCAGTAGGAATGTTCCATGAATAAAGTTGCTCCCTCAGGAACTCTGAACTTGAGCTGAAAATATACTGAATAATCTGATCTTCAAAAAATAATTATCATTTAAAGCTATATGTTCTTTATAAAAATTCAGTGGTGGATTGGGTTACAGAGGTATGTTCAATAGAGATCACTGGAGAAAGATGAGGAGCATATATTTATCAGTTCCTCTTTCCCTTGCAGCACCCTATCAGCATGAAAGAAGGCAAGTGGGGAGGGCAAATGGGAGCCTCCTCCCACTTTTTCAGTGTGCTTCTTCCACCAGATCTTACTACTTTCCACTTGTGGAACAACCAGTCTGGCTTCAATCCAATGTTCAGAGCAAAATCACTTATTAATTGCATCCCCTGTTCTGCTCTGTGGGAATAGAGTAGCTTTCAAATATGTCTGTAGACTGTACACTAAAAATATGTCCTAAGCTTAATTCATTTGTTCTTGTATAGGCTAATCAGGCTGCTAAGAAACCTAAAGGAGATGGTCAGACATCTGAGAATTCACTTCTTGGCTCATCTTTGGTTCAGAATTCTATTTTGGTAGATACTGTTGCTGGTGTATCTGCAAACACAAGTTTCCAAAAAACATTGGCATCCACATTTCCTGCCCCAGTTCCTCTGAACTCAGGAAGTATTTCTGTTCAAGACAGTCAAGAAAATCTTGCAATACTAGCTGCAGGAATACCAAGTACCTCATATACTTTGTCAACACACCAAGAATGGCCTCAACACCAAGAACAAACAAGGACAGAACCGATGTATTCTCAGAAGCAGGACGCTTCACTGCCTGGTGGTCAGTTCAACATAAACTTTCAACCAGGCACTTCATTGCAGTTACATTCGGGATTACATCACAGAGCTGATAAACTCTCTGAGCATTCTGCTGCACACAAACCAGGAAACAAACATCATGGGCAGGTTGCTGCCACCCCTGTAATAATGCCTCAGAAAATGTCACTAGATAAATACAGAGAGAAACGCAAACTAGAAACACTTGAACTGGATGTAAGAGAACACTATATGGGAACAGAACAGCAATACAAAAAGCACATGCAATCCCAAGCAACGAGTAGCAGTTCTGTAACTTCTCCTCTTAAAATGAAAATTCCCATTACAAATGCAGAGAAGCCTGAGAAACACTTGCTTGACAAAAAAGAAAAGAGTGGGTCACTCAAACTGCGCATACCAATTCCACCTACGGAGAAGAACTCAAGTAAAGATGATCTGAAAATGAAAATTAAGGTCTCTTCATCAGAGAGGCATAGCTCATCAGATGAGGGCAAGCACTCTAGTCCCCACGTTAGCAAGGAAAAGCACAAAGAACATTCCACAAACCGCCATCATGGTAGCAGTTATAAGCATTCCCATTCTCACACTGTTGGCGGTAGTAGTGGCGGCAGTAAACATGGTAGTGATGGATTAACTCCAGCTGTTCTGAGGAGTCCCGTGGGCTTGAGCAGTGATGGCAATGCCTCTAGTTCCGGTTCTTCAAGAAAGAAGCTGTACAGCAATGATGCTTCTCACAACCATCACTCCAAAATGAGCAAAAGTTCCAAAAGTTCAGGTAGTTCATCTAGTTCTTCCTCTGTTAAGCAGTATGTATCCTCTCTCAACTCTGTTTTTAACCTTCCCTTACCCCCTCCTCCCCCTGTCACATACCAGGTGGGCTACGGACATCTCAGCACCCTCGTGAAACTGGACAAGAACCCAGTGGAGAACGGTCCTGATGCCAGTCACGAGTACAGTACAAACAGCCAGCATATGGACTACAAAGACACATTCGACATGCTGGATTCACTGTTAAGTGCCCAAGGAATGAATATGTAATCAGTTGTTTAGGTCCCTTTCTCCCTTTTTTATTTAAGAATATTAGAATGGAAACCTTCATAATCTAAGAAGAGCAACCCCGGCAGTTGCTGCCCCACTTTATATAGATATATATAGATATATATAATATATGTAAGTGCTGCTTTATCCTTCACTCTGAAAAGAAGAGGTATAGTAAATGAGCCTATCTCCACATATGATAGTGTTATAAATACTGTAACGACCATGGAAGGCGCAAAAATCACAGTATTTCTACATCCACAGTTAAGAACAGTAGATTGAATGGCTGCTTCTAGCTGTATGGAATGCCTCACGCATTGATTATTTATAACATGCCAGCCACAATTTTTGTTGCTTAGTTTATGAATGAGTGTATTTTTGTGTATTTATACTGTATGTATGATTTGCATGTTTCAAAGAAGGGATATGTAAAGTGTACTGACAATGTTTACAACAAAAAGTGGAGAGAAATGTACATACATTTTTGTATGTTTAGATATACCATAAATACTCAGGATTGGAGCTGCTTGTAAGTATAACCAATATACCTAATTTTTTTCCCTTGTCAGAATCCATCAGTAATAGAAACAAAGTGGCACTTCATGTTAAACTGTGGGCCTTGTTTGGGAGCCACTTCCCAGGAGCAGTTCCCTACCTGGGGGTCACATACCGGCTGTGGAAGGATGGCCAGCCATGGCATAGCATAGCATCCCCAGTGAGGCAGTGTGGAATTTGCTCAGGCCTCCATTTGTGATTTATTTTTTATTTTTTAAAAACCCAATTGACTGCTGAAATGTCAGTAGCTTTCAGAAGGGGGAACGAAAATAAAGTTTATATAATCTTTTTGATGTGAAAGTGCATTTAAATGTTGGCTTGATGCAGTAATAGAGACACAGAGCTGATAATAATGGTTATATAGATTAACGTGATTTAAGAACTGAACTGCGTAAACTTATATAGTGAAATTAGTAAGTTTTTTTTAACTTAAGTTATTAGTGAACAGGGATCACTGTTTTCCATTAGCATTTCATACAGACAGCCACGTTTTGATTTTTTTAAAGTGTGTTATGTGAGTGAAATGCCATTTCTTTTACAGGTGGAATACTTATCTTTGCAATAAGTACAATTGTTGGTATCCCAACTTCTCCCTTATCTCAGACAATAAAATAACTGTCACGTATGCTACGTGAATTGTACTTGTGATTGTAGTAACAAAACTGGAGGTTGTTTTTCAGCTCTGAATAATCACTCTCCAATTAAACCACTAGTATACATTTTTATGGCTGTAAGTGTCATATTACTGTTTTCAATCACCTGCCTTTTTTTGAACAAATGATGACAGTTGTGAATGTTGATGGGTTTTTGTTAAAAGCTAATGTCCCATTTTTACCAGCTGTGACCTAAGTGCATGGAAATTACCTCAGCATAATTCAGTACAGTAGAAAGTGCTACTTGCTGGGTACTTAAATGCAAAAAGATTTTATTAAGTTATCCTCATGTCTGAGAGGGATCCACTACTTAGTAACATCTGTTCTTGCACAATTCTATGCTCTACTAGGTTATAAACATTTCAGAAACAAGTCTGAAGTTTTAAGCCCTTTAGCTACACTAAAAGTGCTTTAGATAATTGTTAAATGTGTATCCAGTTTGTAGTTACAATATATTGTAACTACTTGTGCATCAATTACTATGTAATATTCAGTTGCCAGTAATGCAAAACTTGTACTACATACTTGAATACGTTTATTTGAACTATGGGTGTCTTTTTTTAACACTTTGAACATGGACACTATGAATAATGTATCTTCAGATTTTAATCCAGTCCTTAGCCCTTCAGTCTGCTTCATCCAAAATTGTTACTATTTCACCCTTGTAACTTTCTACTTTGGAAAAATATTTCTTAAACCCTGTATTGTTAACTCTGATCCTGCGTTGTTGCATATTTTTTAGACTTTTTAGACTTTCTTCGCTACCTCATCCATGCTATGAAACCCTGAACAGCTTTTGCCATACAGTGTAAGCAAGATGTCTTAAATTGTGATTCCCAGTAGGAAAAAGACAAACCAGTAAATGTTTACTTTAAATAAAATTTATTTACAGTGCCTCATAGTATTTGCTTACAAACCTGTAGCTTTGCCTTGAAATGGATTTTATCCATCATTCTATGAAGATAAAACGGACTCATGGTCTATAGAACCCAATATAAATATGGCCCTTTTATATTTGCAAAAATTAGAGCAAATTCAGGTGCTGATTCAACAAATGGCCATAGTACTGGGTATTGGTCTTCTGCCCGGCTTTGCAGTAAATGTAAAGGTTAGTGCTTAAGTTTGAGTACTTCCTTTCACATCCATATTTTTGAAAGATTACAACTGCAAATGTGCCACAGAACTCTAAAATGTGAATCAAACACAACAGAAGTGGCTGTTAACGTCAGAAAGCATTGCTATACATGTCTACTCAGAAGTAAGTCCTATTGAATTTAATGGGATTTATTCCCATTTCAGTAGACAATTACATCCAAAATACTGTAACACATAAATACATTGACTTGGATTCCACTATGTTGTTCAACAAATGAAAGAACTGTTTGTGGAAGTGATTTGGGTATAAGAAGGATCTTGCTGGAGGAAGGGGAAAAGACTTTCAGGTGATTTCTTCCCGCTCCTGCAGTCTCTCATGCCACCACCTGTGTTGCTCCAGAAGGTTCTCCAGCCCCTAGAGCAGATTTTTCAGTGGGCAAGGGGCCTGCAGGAGAAAGGAGAATCAGCAAAAGCCATCTCCCTTTTTTCCCCATAGTAATACTCAGCTAATAGAAATCTGCTCAGCAACTTTGGATCTAGTGTATAACTTTGAGTACCAAATGAAAAAAAAAAAAACATGTTTTCATTTCTTAACCATTACCATTTTCTGTAGGCAATTAGCTTAAGATTGTGGTGCTTCATTGTTTCGCTTAAACAGCCATATTCAGTATTTTTAGTGTTCTTTTCTAATTTCAAATAATGTGATATGTATTATGAAGTTTTATGTCTTCCTTTGAATCTTATGTCAGACGTACTAATAGATAATCCAGTATTTTGGCAGATTTATTTTTACAGCAATTGAATTCTAGACATGCTTCATCTAACACTTTTTAGATCAACTAAGTCAGGGATTGGTGATATGTGGCATTTCAGATGTTGGGACTACAGTTCTTATCAGCCCTAGCTGAGGAAAGTTTTAAATCTCTGCTGGGAGTAAGGGGAGGATGATGACTGTCAGAGAGACACAGAAGAGAGAAAATGACCATTGTGGAAGAAGTGTAAAACTGAAAAATGTTTCAGCTAAGAATGTGTTCAGTTGTGCAATAATACTTTGTAGCATACATTGCATGTATTCTAGTATGTGCTTGTAGCAGTAGCATCTGATGTAAACAAAAAAGTGTAAACTTAAGTGGAAAAAATGAGGCAATTTTGTTTGAGTGGCCTATATTTTGTGCTGTAACTAAGGATAGTAGTACAAGGAATTGTGAAATCTATGAAATGAAAGGTGGCCATGTGACAATTATGATAAAATAAAGTACTTCAGTTAAATCTATTAAACTAGCATTTGTGAGAAGCAGATACAAGGATTGTCTAACTTAAATCTTATTTTAATTTGTATATTCTTTAAGTAGGACTAATTTAAATAACAACTCCATGTGAGAAATTTACCTGTGAACCTCAGTCATATTTCTGGGTAATTTATCCTAGCAGTTTATTTTGTCCTTTTTATCTCATGTTGCTAAGGATACTATATTGGCCTTTGAGAGCAGGTAGTACTCAATATTGCATTACTTTGAATGCTGGTAATTAAATCAACTTACGTTTATGCCTTTGCCATAAGCCTTAATTAATACTTTGGTGGTTGAATAACGTTTTTCTGTAATCTCATAAACTCTGGCATACTGAAGAAGACCATAAATGACCTTTATGAAAAATACAGAAGCTGGGAATTTTAGTAATATAGTATTCGGTATGCTATATAAAAGACCATTACATTTTCTGTGTCCCAAACTGTGTCTCTTTGTGGACAAAAATTTGAGTTCATTTGGCATTGCCTTGAAGTGCTTCCTATTTATACTTGGGAAATGGAGGGAGAGATATTTTCCCCATTCTCTTGACAGCTTCTGCTTCCTGTTCCTTGATAAATTTCCAGGAATGATAATTCCCAGAATAAGATAGCTCTCGGAGTTACTGTGCCTTAGTTGTGAAGTTTGGGATTACTCAAGAAACAGTACTTGTGGGCTTTCCACAGGCAGCTCCTGACTAACTACAGTAAATAGAATGCTGGACTGGTTGGGCCTTTGGTCTGACAACACAGCTCTTAAATTTTTAGGGCAGCTCTATTCATGTTGAGTTTAAGGATAAGCATGCTTTGGTGGAGTGTTCCTGGGAAAAGAACTGTCCAGGTTGCCGCCCCCCCCCCCCCCCGCTACATGCAAATGTCCATTATACACAGTTGGTTTTCAGAGCACTGGATAACTAGAGGAAGAGTATGTCCCCAGCTGCACAGATAAGTCAGTGGCATAATCATGCATTTCATGGTTGCAGACACCCCTTGGAGTGAAACATTTTCCTTGGAGTGAATGACTGTGTCCAGAAATGTAGTGTGCCCTTACTGGAGGTTAATTTCGTCACTAGATTTAATTTCACTTAAAATGCTGTTAGTGTTTGTGGCTAAAATCAAAGCATTCTAGAAAACTACATTCTGTAGCAGAATGGCTTCTAAGCATGTTTTGTAAACTTAAATGTTTGTTTTTCAATGTGTGTGTATGTGTTAGGATATCAGTGCAACATTTAGAGGAAAATACTAAGGATACCAGTGAGCTTTTATGGCTGAAGCAGTATTCAAACCATCCACTTCAGAAAACAGTTGTCACTACAGTATCATAGTTTTCTGGTTGTAAACCTTAGCTTGAAAATTATAAACAGTGTCTGTTTTTATGAGAAGCATTGGCACTGAACTCCAGCTTATGTCAAGGAAGACCACATTTTGCACCATAAATGTAGAGGTTCTGTATTCTAAATTAAACTAATTAAATATGTATAATTATGATTTGTATGTTAACTTGCCTACTTTTCTTTTGGTTGAGTTTTACTAGACTTTGAAATGTTACAGCTTCTGCCTCCATTGTAATGTGACTATGAACAATATGGGCAAGCAATGACCATTTGGGCTCCATAGTGTGAAGAAAGTGGCTTGAAGCAGTTTGTCTTCCAGTACATAGAAACCCTTCAATGTGTGCTTCTTAAACATGTCTGAAAAAGTACAATTGCAAGGTCTAGAAATGAGTACTGTTCTACTTACGAATTTAACTTTCCGCAAGCTCTATATAAAATTGAACTCGGGCAAAAGTATGACAACCAACTCCCTGCAATGTCCAAACAATACAGTTGACCTCACCTATTAAGTTAGTAAGAGTTGCTATACCTGCTGGTTCTAGTACCTGTGATATCAACATCATCTTTTGAATGACTTCTTCAAGATGCTTTGTCTTGTGAACCTGATGGTGTGGTTGATTTTTTGGCATACACTTAATACACAGCTATTTTCTAAATTACGCCAATTATATTTGAAGGTTGCTTTTCACAGCATTCAGGGAACACTTGGGGGCAGGGTTTGGGATGGAGGAAGTTCAAAAGGCAACTTGTTACCAGTACTTTGGCACTGCTTTGTACAGAATGAGTTGCACCACACACTGTTGAATAAGTCATGTGGGTTGGCTTCAATTAAAGCGGGGGGTATGGGTGACATAGATGCCCTAGAAACATTGTATTTTGAGTCTTGAATGGTTCTTGCTGTGTACTTGGACCCCATACAATATTTGAGCTTGGAACTTAAATCTGTCACTTCCCTCCCAATTATTTGACCACTCCAGGTATTACTGTGGGTAGTTTTTCTGTGAGACTTCTCTTGTAGAACTGGGGCATCTAGTGCTTTTTAATGCACTTTTTAATGTCTATTTGATGAGATCTGGTCTAGTAGTCTGGATTACATGGATAATTTTGTAGGGGGGGTGTCAATGTATAGAAGGCCTTTTATTGAGGGAGAGGCTTTGGACCTGACTTGTCTATATTCTTGACAGTCAGTAGGGAAGCTGGTGTTTGACATAGGAGTCACTCACTGCCAAATACCATCAGCATCAGTTCTTTGTAGAAAATGAAACAGCAGCAAACTCTAAATAACACATTGTACTTCGTCACTATTACATGAGAACAGGATTTTTAAAAGGTAAGCATATTTGTTGTATATGGACACTCTAGTTTCAGCACACTCTTTAACCGTAAAACCAAACTATTGAGAACCTCTAGAAAACAGTGCCTCATGTTACTTCCTGTCATGTCTGGAGTGCAAGTCCCATTCTGGGGACTGAGAGAAGCCCATTAAGTTCTTTAATAAAACTCTGAAAAACTAAAAAACATATTAATGACCATTCGTATTCCTGTAGGAATTGATATTTTATTCAAAGTTCAGAAGTGAGATCTATTTACACAGTGTCAAACCAGTTATAAATGGATATCAAACATCAGTTTACAAAAAATACAGCATATTATAATACCAGGATATGCAGAACATAACATGGATCTGAGGGTCCCTCTACACAATCATCTGAAGAATTAATTTCATTACCAAGCTCTTAAGAATGATTCCCCTTCTAGTAAGTGTGCTGACTGCATACAAAATGGTAACAAGCTGTTGATAATACCATTAAATTCTTTAAACGTAGGTGGTCGAGATACTTTCTAATTCCATAATATTTACAAAGAATGTAATGGGGTTTCCTAACAATCCTCAATAGGTTTTTGTTGTTTTGTTGGATTAAATCAGCCATCCATTAATGCTTCCAGCAAAGAATTGCAGCGAGGGAGCATAAAAACTATTCACAGGTTTAATTAGAACATTTAATTACTTATGTCTGGTAAATTTTCCAATTATCCTGTCCTAGTGGCTTTGGAAAGCCAATTTTTGCAAAATTGAACTTCAACTCTTGGAAAACATGCCCTTGAAAATTTGCCTGCTACAGGTGTTATCTCTCCTAGTAAACAGCAATAAGATTACAGAAAATTTCTGATGTATTTTATTCTGACCTTTTTCCCAGGTACTTGTGAAAGAGTCAAAATAACTAATGGACATTGAGGATTACAAAGGATTTACCGTTATACCCTATGCAACTGCTTGGAAGGAACTGAAGCTTGATTCGGGATTCAAAATTCCCCTTTATGGGCAATCAAACATCTTTCTCCAAAATAGTCTTTATGCATCTCTTAAAATTACTGTCACCATCCTCAGGTCAGGCAACAAGTCTGAATTACAGCTGGCGACAGTTGTGGCCATATACATCTGAAGAACAGCTATAATAAAGTGCCTTTCATGTAGGAAAAACAAATTATAGCTCTACATGTATTATGTCATCACAACTATAGCATTGGAATTTCCAAGTATTGCAAAGATTTCACTTACTCCAGCAACTGGTCATCTATACATTTCCTAAAAACAGTTAAACATCTGGAAAACACTACGTTATGAAGTATGCTACATACTTTATAATGAGTGTTTTGCTACTACAGTATAAAAACAATTGCCTTAAAGCTTTCCTAAATACATCCTTGATTGAAACAATACAGTATGATCTGCATACAATTAAGTGTTAACTGGTGGACTTCTCAATTTCCTGGAATGCCTCTCAGAAAAATTACATTTAGGTGTCCAATCATGTAGCTACAAATTGAATAAATATGGAGCAAAAATACATCCCTGGCAACCTCAACTTCCAAGATATAACGATCTCTGACAGCCATCCTTTTGATCCTCATCTAATGTGTAAGGTTTCTGAATACAGATATTTGCTGAAAATAGCAAACATTCATTGATTTCCCTTCCATTTCTTCCATAAATGGTCATGTGAAACCAAGTAAAACACTGTAAATCAAGAAAAGCTGTGTAGTTTATCTCTGGGGGATGTAAGAATTTCTCAGCCAAATGGAATAAAGCAAGATAATGCTCTCCAAATTCAGAGTACCTGATTCCTAAATCTCAATTTTGTAAATGTATGGCTAAGAGATAGGGCATACAATTTACCAATCGGTAAAACAAAAGTGATTGGCTTATAAGTTCTTATCTATTTTCTTCCTAATGTAAAGGAATGAATTACTGGAATTCTTCCTGCATTGTTTATAGCTGTAAAAGACATCAAGGGGAACGGCTAACCATTTTTGATTAGGATTTAATATTTCAGCTAGTGGGGCATCTAGTCCTTGTGTCTTAGCCACATAAGCACGCAACCCAATGTATACTTAGAAAAAATGCTGCAACTCCCAGTATTCAGTAAAGAGTGGGAAAACCTTGGAGTTGTTGTATCCTGTTTTCAATTTCTAAAGGGCTGATAAACATTTTAAATTAAGCAGCATTATGCAGACATGTTTTGTAACACTCTTCCACACATGGGCAGGGATACAAGATTCTAATTTCCTGAAATTAAGAGCCAGTACAACAGTTAAGGGATGCAGCTGGTGCAGTGGTTTAAACTGCTGTGCTGCTGGGCTGGTTGATCGAAAGGTCGCCAGTTCAAATCTGCACATCAGGATGAGTTTCTTGCAGGATGGGTCCCTTGCATTTGCATGTTCGAAAACATGCAAATGCAAGTAGGTAAAAAGGCACCACTTCAGTGGGCAGGTAACAGCGTTCCGTGCACTTCGGTGTTTAGTCATGCTGGCCATGTGACCACGGAGACTGTCTGGGGACAAACGCTGGCTCCCTCGGCTAGGAAACAGAGATGAGCACCGCCCCCTAGAGTCAGGCATGACTGGACTTAACGTCAAGGGGAAACCTTTACCTTTACCAACAGTTAACCCAGTGTATATTTTCTAAATATCTCTCCTGTTGTGGGACAAAGCTGCATTTTACAACACAACCCAGAGTTTTCTTTTTCTGCCTTTTTGTAAAGTTTTTCAACATAGTATGAACGGCATGCTTAGATACTCTGTGGTACTGCAAATAAAGGAAATTGAATTGATTGCTAAGTTCCCTGAATTCCTGCTCCAACCAAGTATTTCCTGAAGAGAAATTGCCTTTTCCAGCACTACTGTATTTTGGTTGGGGCAGAGTTAAAGGTAAATGGTAAACATGAATACTCTAAATCAGACCTTCACGAATTTCCTGAAAATCAGCCCAAGATAACTAGCTTTTTTGGCTTGGTACACTTTCTAACGCTGGTGCAGTTCGTAAGGTGGAGTGTTGCATCTCTTTGATGTGGAGGGCTTAATTCCATTTGAGAAAAGCTCTTAGGAGGCATATTTCAAAGACAAAAGAGGCAGACCTAAATATTTTAGGTTTAAGCTCCTACATCAATAACTAAGCCTTCCTGCATGAAATATTTGTGTATTTTGGGGATGCCTCACAATACATTGCCACCCTTCAGGGCCTTTCTGACGCTTTGCAAGCACTAGAGAGTGAACTTATAGGTATTTCCGAATAGGAAGGCTGGGCTTTGCATGTCCACTATAACACAATACTGCCTAGTGGTTGTGGCATCGAATATATAGAAAGACAGAAAAAGGAAAGCCCCATTGGGGTTGAGTGCAAATGGCTCAATAGAAAGTCCACAAAAATTCAGAAGACCCCAAGGTTTTAGGGGAAGCATTTCAACCTTCTAGAATGGAGTAGAACTGCACAAAAGCCAGGGAATTGCCAAATGATATGTGGAAGAGGTGGGATTAGGAGAAGGTGGCATGAACATGCGGGGGATGCCAGCTGGATGGGGTTTAGCACCCTGGCCTTCTGCACCCCTCTTGTAAGGCTTCAGCTGAATGTAGCAAGCCATTTGCAAGATACCCAAACAACTTGATTTTCTTTCTTCCGTGCCAACTTTTATTGTGGTCACGGAAGTGAGAATTGGAGCAGGGAGGCAAGGACAGGTGGCAGTCCAAGATACATAAAGCCATGACGGAATTCAGTGGGCAACATGCAATGGAAAGGAATGTGCAGTGAGTCAGCACAAATATTTTTCCAGGAGATAATAACTGACAGTGACCAAACATCTGTAACAGAAAGCATGAATTTTTGAAATATAAGAAGAGTGAAATGCTGGCAAAATGCCAAACATACAAGGTGAATTTAAGCAATATTCTAAGAGGAAGATGCTCCCAAGCATTGTACTGCACATGCTCAAATGAAAAACTGGGATAGGATAGGATAAATTCTTTCGATGAAGAGATGCCTTTATTTAGAACCATTGTCTAATAACGTGAAAGTATTCACAAGGGTTGTGTGAATACTAAGGGTTACTTCCATTGAACTCAGTAGCCTAGTTCTCAGATAATACTAACCTGTGATAAAAATTTTTGAATTCTTGGTTGTTATGACTATAAACACAGCTACAATAACAATCAACAACTCAGAGAACTCATGGGTTGTTGCTAGGCTATGAATTCTGAGCTATTTAAGCTATAGAAAGTTGTTATAATAATAACCCAAAACAGTGGGCTATTCATGGATTGTTTCAGCAGGCAACAGAAATGGTGATCAAAAATACCAGCAATACAAAGGGCTACAAGGAGAAAGCAGGCAAAAAAGAAATGTGGGTCAGGATGGGTGGATGGTAACATGAATTGCTTGGGTGAGAAGTCCAAAAAGTCCTTATATGTCCTGTTTTAAATTTTAAATGAGTGGGATATAGTCATTATATATAAATTTCCAAATATTCATAGCATTCTTTGATTTAAAAATTGGTTTTCCACACCTTGAAACAGTTAAACACATGAATCTTGGAAAACTAAAAGCAAGGATTTACAATTTATGGCTATTACAACTCTCATACCAACCATCCTTTAGCCTGGATGCTCTCATCTGGAAAGTTAAATTGCTGACTTTTTTCATCTGACCTCTTCTATAAGTAGTAGCAGAAATCCATTATCAAGAGGTTTTTCAAGAATTTTTTGTCATGAAGGGGTGCTGCAGCAAGTGTAGAGCAGTGGGCCGCTCACACTGATCCCTGTACAGGGCATAATAAAATGATGCACAGAGGAAAAAACAGATGCTTTAACAGCCAGATGGTTAAAAACCTTGACAATACTTCATATGTTCCAATTCTGAATCTGCAGTTATTGGTATGCAGAGATGTGTTCCCATCTCACAGTGCTTTACCTGGAATGAGAATGTAGATCCTAGCATTTCAGGACTCTGCATCTCATAGGAAAAGAATTGCATTGGCTTTGCCCCCAAGAGGTTTTGAAAATTAAGACCACCACCAATCTCTTAACATGCTTATTCATCAACTCCTTCTTCCAGCTGCAGCCCCCAGCTCCACTGCCCATGCTGCTAGGGAGTCCTGCCACCTCTCTGGAGCAGCTTGTGGTGGGACACCAGGGCAGGCTGAAGGAAAAGAGATTTTAAATGGGGCTGCTAAGTTTCAGAGTACTGTCAGGGTTAAGCATTTCGCCCAGATGTCCTTGTTAGTTTCGGGGTGGTGAATGGCTTCCCAGGACGAGAATAATTTTTCTGCTTGTGTAAAATATAAGCAGGAAGAGGTTGTGGTTATTTAAGATGTGGTTGGCAGCAGGTTTTCTAACACTGGCCATTTTTCGACAAAAAGAACAAAAGCAGGGCCATTCAGAGTGGCTGGGTGATCTTTGGGTGGTGTAAAATGGCCCAATAGGAACAGCGGCCTTCACGGTGCAGGGTTGTTTCCCATTTGACTATTCTGTGGCAGAGCTGTAAATCCAGTCCCGCTGTGCTTGAAGCAGTGGCAAATGGATGCTCTTGTTAAAAAATGAGGGAACATAAACTCCCTGCAGTCTCATTAACTAATGGGTTTTGGATAACCTTTCTGAAATTCGTCTGAAATACCCCTTCCACTTAAGATTTTCCTACACAAGGCATTTATTGTCCATGTGTGTTTCCTTAACTCACTTTATGGGCTCTTTAGAGGTCTCTATGCTCCTCTAGTTTCTTTATTTTCCCCAGAGCAATGTCCCTTTTTCTTTAGAATGGGGGACATCAGGGAAATGACCCCTTTTCTCCTCATGTATTTGCACTACTTTGCTGTAACACAGCCCTACCAGAGGTCATGTAGCACAAAGAGGAGCTCTTTATGCAGCACTCAAATTTCAAAGCTGCAACAAATCCAAAAGGAGATATAACCATTGACAGCTTCACGTAAAAGAGCTCTTACATAATTGACAAACATCCTTGTGAACATGGGAGAAGACTGGTCAGCTCTGTGCTATTTAGCCAGGAACGTTCCCTACCTGGAGATACCAGGGGTAGAACTATTGAATCACTTAAGCTCCTCTTACAGTTTTTAGAAACATGTTGAGTGAAACCTGATTATTTAAAAGGGGGAAATGCATGAATATTTTCATGTCCTTTTCAATGTTCAAAACCACTTACCTGGTTAAACACAGATGAACAAAGTCTGCTGCGGTTTTGGAGCAATGCTGGGGTAGGGAAGGCATAAGTCCTCTGTGAGCACCAATATAAAACATGGCTGCCATCCTGTCCATGGAAGCCAGTGGTGGCTTTCCCGTGGCCATCTCAAAAACCGTGCAGCCGATGCTCCAGATATCTGATTTTCTTCCATATCCAGATTCATTTATTATTTCCGGTGCCATCCAGTAGGGAGTGCCATGCACAGATCTGAGTGGTTCACTGTGTGTATTAGTCAGACTTCTACAGGTTAAGCGCTTTGCACATCCAAAGTCTATGAGCTTGATAACACCATTGGGCATAAGCATAATGTTGTTGCCTTTAATATCTCTGTGCACCACACGGTTTTCATGCAAGTATGCAACCCCTTCCAGAATCTGTTTTGTATATTTACAAAAGACAGTTTCAGGCAATGGTCCAAAGCGATGAATAATACTGGAAACGGAGCCACCAGGAACAAACTCCATGAAGATGCTCACTATGTTATCTTTTAAACTTGTCCCCAGGTACCCTACAATGTTGATGTGTGTTAGATTTTTCAAAATCTCAACTTCTTCCTGAAGCTTTTGGTATTCCTTTTCATTCACAGCTTGATCACAGGCATTAAGTGCTACTTGTTTCACGGCTATTAAATGTCCTTGGTTTGTAAGTCCACAGTATACCTGCAAATCAAAATGTCTACTATGGAAATGAAACTAGAAATCGACACATGTACTCCTAAAATGTTTGGATTTGAATATAGAACAACACTTGTCATCCAGCTTAAGGACTTCAATGCTGGAAGTTAAAGTGGCGTCTACATTTGGACCAATGGCTGCAAGACCCATTGACAGAGATAGGGCACAACTTTGGAGCAGGGCTGCAGTTGGGCAATTTCAGACCCTTGACTTGATGGTCTTATGGAGGAAGGCAGCCTTTATAAGCCTTTGCTCATTATTTCACCTGGGACGTGCACAACTAACATTTCTTTCCCACACCCCATTCCATGCTTTGTAACTGCTACATTCCTTAATTTAGCAGGTTTGCCAACCCTGCTATTAAAAAAAAACCTGGAAAGTGTGCAATTGTGCATTCTAAGTTCATGTAAACCAAAGCACCATCATGCTGAGATGAATCCATCATCAATTTGCTCTGGCTACCCTGATGCTGCTCTCTGGGTGACTATCTGAGGGAAGGGACTGGACTCTGGCCCCAAGGTTTAGCCCTAGCTGTGCCACTGCAGTTTGGGCCAAATAGTCAAATTCATGGAAGTATGAGGTAACTGGCCACATAATGAAAAGGAACAACTCAATGGACAAGAGCCTGATGCTGGGAACAATTAATGGCAAAAGGAAAAGGGGACGGCAGAGAATGAGCTGGCTAGATGGAGTCACTGGGGCAGTGGGTGTGAGCTTGGGTGCTCCGAGGGATGGTGGAGGAGAGGAGAGCCTGAAGGAATGTTGTCCATGGGGTCGTGATGGATCAGGCACGACTTTGCAACAACAACATGAGGTAATTGCTTATATACCAACTAAGACAGACAACAAATAACATTTTATTTTTCAATCATTCATTCCATCTTTTCTTCTCTCTCTCTCTCTCTCTCTCTCTCTCTCTCTCTCTCTCTCTCTCTCTCGTAAGGAAGAAAGGAATGTACTATAATGACAAGGTAGATAAGGGAGAGAGAAGGATGGGCTTGAGCGGCTCTGTGTATTAAGAACATGGAAGAGTTTTCTATTCAGCACAGATACTAATGTAAGTTACATGGCACTAGCATAATCAACTTCTAGCATGTCTATATTGTTTCCCGGTGAGACAAGTTTACTCAGAAAAACAGTTGCTCCCACAAATACTGGAGGACATTTACATTAGCACAATGGAAGTTAAGATAGCACTAGTGTTGTTTGGATACAGCCCACTATAGTGTTTAATCTTTGATCAACTGTAAGTATTAAAAAGTAAGTTGGGGTAACATTTAGTTTCTTCAGGTACAGAAGGTTTATGCTGAGATGGATTTAATATAGAGTTGGATCAAAAGGTGCCATTCTGTTCACAGGGAATGTCTCCATCAATCAACCGTCCTACCATTAGCAAAAGGGCACATTTCGGTCCAACTAACTAATATGTATTTTAATCATGCAGGGTTTGTTGTGTCGTGTTTCTGCAAAACATCACAAGTATTTGAGAGGTGGAGGGACAGACTATTTTCTTTACGCTATTTATATCTGACCTTTGTTCTCTCACAACACTCACAGAAGCAAACGTAGGCTTCCAAATGGTCTTTCATCCAGGCACTGGCCAGGACCAAACCAGTTTAGCTTTCATGTTTGTTGTGTCTACAGCTTACATTGCCTACTCTAGTTCTCTGTGGGTTTTGTTAATATATCTATTTCCTCTCTGCAGACCTTTTCATAGTTCTTCTGATCTATTCTCTGGTTTACCTAGCAGACCTCCAAATTTTTGTGGGAGAAAGTAAAATTAGAACAGTTGGGGATATGTAAGCTGTAGTGGGCTCCAAATTGTGTATTCTAGTAGAAGTATTTGCAAAGCCGTCAGAGTGAAAAGTGAAGGGACACTCAGTCCAAGTTCCCTGGAAAAAACACAGAATTATAGGAGCTACAAGCATGAGCTAGTGTATGCAAATCTGTCCTTTTTGATGCATCTTCCCTTTTTGAATGGCTTGTAGGTGGCCATCCTACCATTCACCAATGAGAGAAAATAAATCTAGATCATAAATATCAACAGGAACTTTGTTGGTAGTGATGGCCATAATCCAGCATTTAGGTCACAGAAGAATGTAAGGCCATATCCACTTTTCCTTTAGAATTCACCAGTCAGGGATGGAAATGAGAAATTCTGGTATGAAGTTGATATAGCTTTACATTGTATTGTCGCTTTATGCAGATTTATGTTATGATGGATCAAGGTTTATTTTGCACCACCCAGAACTGTTCTGAAAAATATAATAGGAATATTGTGAAAACAGTTTTAAATAACTGTAATGGGCTGGATGAGGGCCAATAAACTGAAGCTCAATCCAGACAAGATGGAGCTCCTGTTGGTTGGCGGATCGGGCTTCAGTGAGGGTGAACTGAACCTAGTCCTGAATGGGGTTGCACTCCCTCTTAGAGACAAGGTCCGCAGCTTGGGAGTGCTCCTCGACCCAGAGCTTTCACTGGAAGCTCAGGTGACAGCGGTGGCGAGGAGCGCTTTCTTTCAGCTTCGGCTGATCCATCAGCTGCGCCCCTACATGGAGTACGACTGACTGGCGACAGTGACACACGCGTTGGTGACTTCCCGCCTTGACTTCTGTAACGTGCTCTACGTGGGGCTACCCTTGAAGACGGTCCGGATACTTCAATTGGTTCAAATAGAGCTGCCAGGCTGCTGACGGGGACTGGGCGTTATGTTCACATGACTCCAGTCCTCCGTCAGCTTCACTGGCTTCCCATTGAAGTCCGGGCCCAATTTAAGGTGTTGGTGATGACCTATAAAGCCCTAAATGGCTTGGGTCCTGGTTACCTGAAGGAACGCATACGTCCGTATATGCCTGCCCACCCCCTGAGATCAGCGGGAGAGGCCCTTTTCCAGGAACCCTCTGGGAAGGAAATTAGGAGGATAAGTACTCGGAGGAGGGCTTTCTCTGCGGTGGCGCCCAATCTATGGAATGCCCTCCCCAGAGAGGTCCGCCTGGCGCTGTCGTTATTTGTTTTTCGGCGCCAGGCGAAGACCTTTTTATTCAAGCATCATTTTAGCTGTTAATAGTATTTTTTTTATTTTATTTTTTTGTCAGGGCGACTTATTTTATATTGTTAACTTGTTTTATATTGTTAATTTATTGTATTTTAATTGATTTATTTGTAAGCTGCCCCGAGGCTTCGGCGAATGGGGCGGCATAGAAATTTTCTAAATAAATGAATAATAACAGAACTATTTTGTTTGTTTGATTATATTTCACCTTTTTCTTACAAAGCATTCAGAACTGCTTACATCATTCTCCTGTTGCTGCTTTCAGTCTTATCTCCACAACAACACCCCTGTGAGGTAGTTTGGACTGAGAGTGTGTAACTGGTCCAAAGTCACCCATTTGGCTCCCTGGCTGAGCAGGCTTAGAACCCAGATCGCCTGAGTCCCAGCTCATAACGCTCTACCACACTGGCTCTCTTTGTTGTCTATTTTAGGCTCTCTAACATTATACATAAACTGTCTGCTTGCGAATGTTTGTAATTTTAAGAACTACTGTAGCACAATCCTATGACCACTAGACAGTGCCTAGATGACCACAGAATACTTGAGTCCCTGCTCCAACTTCAGAAACCTGTTTTAAGGGAGCTGTGGCTGCAAGCTCTGAGCACCTTCCTCCCACTCTTGACAGCAGCATGGAAAGAGCCATGCTGGCTACTTCCCAGAGTAACAAATGCATTCTGGTGGGACGGGACGGAGGGGACAAGCACCTCCATAATATGAAGCATCATGGTGGCACTCTGCATCCTTCCTTCGTACTCTGAGGTGCGACTCTCAAGACAGCCAAAACTAGCCATCGAAGAGCAGTAGCAGAATGGAGATGTTGCCTCCATGTCCCATCCACCCTGCATTGGATTCCCATAATCCTCCAGACCTGAAGAGTTACAGGCAGTCTGATTCAATTGTGCCCTTAATGTGTTTTGATTTTATGTCTTACACTATTATGTGTCATCCTGAGATGACGCCATCCAGAAAGGTCGCCTGTTTAAATACATTTACATTGTACATATGCAAAAACGACAACTTACTGTGCCATAGGCTCCTTTTCCAAGGATTTCACCTTTAGTCCACAGGACTGGATCTTCATGACTTAAGCTGTTTTCAGCCATCGTCGTGACACTTAAAAATCCATTTTCTCTAGTGGATTCCGGGAAGTTCAGATTGAAATTCTGTAAAAGGTGGCATAAGAACACAGATATACTAAAACAAGGGCTAATACAAACTAAAAAGGAACCTTTGTAATTTGCTTTGAGAATAATCATGTTTATATCATGAAGTATACAACACAGTGTTTGAAAAATATCTTGCTGTGTCACACAATCATTTTGAGACTGTGGCTGATGCCATTTAACTTACAATTAATTTCACAGAATTCACTGACACAAGAAGTAGTGATGTCAGCTACTCTGCATTTGTCCTTTCAAATGTTGTCAGCAAAAAAAAAAAACCCTAAATGGAATTTCTATGAACAATGATGGGTGTATCTCTGAGTACTTGATGGTAGACATACAAAATAGGGAAATGCTGTTACCTTCATGCCCTGTTTGTCAGTGTGCAAAGGCTGTGCGCTGGACTCGCCAGAGACTGGCTGATCCAGTGTTCTTGTTGCTCTCTGCAACTGGAAAGATGTGCTTGTGGGAAAAAGAGCAGCCAGGACTATCAGAAGAACAAGAAGGAACTGAGGCCTAGGACTCCAAGTGCAGCACATGCAGAACAGTAGACCATCCTTCCCTACTGAAGACAGGATACACAAATGCTTACCTTACTATTTCTAACACTTGTGGTACTACCATTATTCTCAACATTTCCATGTTGTGTTTCAACATCTTCATCCTTCATAACCGCTCTTGAGCAGCTGTCATCTGCACCATCAAGTGAGAGCAGTTCAGTCACTGAGCAACAAAATATGTCTTCTGTTATTTCCTCACAGTTCTCATAGCTCATGATACTTGGATATGTCTGAGAAACTGAATCGGCAGAATAGCAAGTCTGTTTAGCTGATAAGTTTGCTAAACTGACATTTCCAAGCTGGAGGTTTTGCAGAGGTGAGTTGACTCTCTCCATAAGGCAAGTAGTTGCTTCAGGTTCTTCCTGCACTGAGCTTTTGTTCTTCCCTGAATTTTTATGCTCATTTATAGCTTTTTCACAGCCCAAGAGAGGAGCGTATTCTGCATGAACTTTAACCTCTGGCCAAAGTAATTCCTGGACGGTGGTGGTAAATGCCTTTTTAATGGAAGACTCACCAAAAGACTCACCAACATCTGGAGTATATTCCAGTGAGACTTCTTCAATAGGTGACAAGTTTGAATAAGGAATGACTTCATTTTGTTTAGCAGGTTGCCTAAGCTCAGTGGAAATCAGAAGTTGCTGATCCAGAACTTCATGGAATGGTGCTGCATTCCCTTCAGTCTTTATTTGCTGCTCTGTACTAGAGACAATTACACCTTCATCCTGTTCTAGACACCTGTTCTCTAACTCAGATGCCTCTTTTGGCACCAAAACCTTCTGCTTCTGTTTAAGAGCAAGGGGATTCTTGTGTGATTTAGGACACATTATTTGCTGAACATTTCTCATTCTGCTGTTCTTCCCTTTGCAGTGGCTAGATTTGTGTTTTGCAGCATTGCGCCTCCCAGCTGGTGCAGAATACACATTCCTGCAATATCTGCTTTCATATTCATTAGGCTTACGGGAGTATACTGGCGTTCCAAACATCTCATAAATGCCAGGTCCTTTGTCATTTGAATTGATTTCCTTGAACATGTCGCTGTATTTCAGATCCAGAAAGCTCACAGAGGAATGTACTTGTCTAACAGGAATAGAAGTTATGCTTTCTCCTGAGCTAGCAGAGAATTTGGAAATACAGGGAAGCACCTTCTTTGGACAGTTCTGGTTGTGCTGGTTCAAGTGGTATTTCTCCTGATGGTGTTTCCTCTGAAACTTAGAAGAAATTCTAGCGTTTTCATGGGACAATCCTAGAGAATGGGAAATGGAGTTCTTTATTTTATTAGTTTGGTGTTGGATGGAACTTTTGCCTGAAATAATAAGGTCCTGAGACATCTTCGTACACATTTTAGCTTTTAAAGCAGAATTGATTCTCTTGCTATTTACTTGGTATCCGTGACTCTCTTTGTGAGCAATTATGCTGAAGCTTTGGCTTAGGTTAGGTGGCATGCTTCTTCTTTGGACTGAAGGTCTAGAGCCTTGGCAATTCTGAGGTGGCTCATGCCTGGGTGCGGTAATACAAATGGAGGGTGATCCAGTAATTTTGTTTTCAGTACTTTCAAATGCAGTGACATTTTTTTCCATTCTGAAGTCTGCTGTTGTACAAATACTGCTTTCAGATTGTTCAAGACCCACCAAAGCATGAGGTATGGTAATCACTAAGTCATGGTCCAATATAGGCTTGTTTTGCAAGTTTGAATCTCCATCTGCATTTCCAGGCTCAATATTCACAACATTGTTTACATTTACATTGTAATCTAGGTCAGGACCACTCTTGATTGCTAAATCTTTTCTCCAGTTCTTGGTTTTGAAACCTTGTGAATGTCTTAAAGGGTCAAATTCACATTCTTCTGCTTCTGTATGCATTATTTTGCTTGTGCTGAAAGAATTATTAGGATCAAAAACACAATCATTACTTATAATGTTTCCATTCTCAGAGTTTACCAAAGCTTGATGCATTTTGTTGCGAGTAACTTCCTTTTTCATATCTGCTTCAGATTTGTTCAGCTCAGGCTCTTTGCCTTTCAAATGCCCAATGGAAATGCCACAGTTATCCAGGGTACGTGGGTCTGGACCTCTGGTGACAGAGCAGCTATCAGACGTACCAATGGGAATTGGTTCCTCAGAGCGGTGAGGGACTCTTGGCCACCGATTATCTGACTGGGAGTCAATAACTTTTGCAGAAACAGATGGAGAGTCCAGATTTCTTGAAAGATCATTTCTGTCACTCTTTTTCTTCACGTTGTCTTTCAGAGGAGGAAGTTGCACCATTCTGAAAGGGTTAAATGTCACTGGTGTGGACGGGCTAAGCTGAAATATTCAGAAAATTATTATGAACATCATTATTTACATTTGAAAGAAGAAGTGTAACATGGATACTGTTCAATAAAATCAGTGCTAATAATCATTATTACCGTTAAGGCTCAGAACAGAAATAAGTAATTTAATTTCATGATTTTATAAAGGGAGCATCTATTACTATATATAAAGGATAAGAAAACCTATAGGGCCATAGGTGCATTTGGCAATTTAGGAAATTGTCTTGGGCAACACTAGCAGAAGGTGGGGACTGAACCCCAACGCACTAAGCAACTCCTTTGCACCCACAATTTTCAGCAGAAACAAAACAAAACAAACAATTTACATTGACAGCACTGGTTTTAATTTTAATTTAATGTATTAATTTTAACATTTTGTTGATTATATATATTGAGTTTATTTTGTCTATCACAATATTTTACTTGCATTCTTTTATTAAAGTTATTATTGATATTTTATTGTAATGACTGCCCAGAAAGCTTTATTTATTCATTTATTTATTTGATGCATTTGTATCCCACTCCAGAGCCAGAAGGCTCTCTGTGCAGCTTCAGCACAATCATGCACAGTGATACAGAAGCAAAATATAAAATACAGATAAAAATAGATGATGATGATAACTAAAACTATAAAACAAAATAAAGTAAAAATACGATATAAATACAACAGGAGGATAAACATAATTTAACCAATAAAACAATAAAACAATAAACCCGCAGCAAGACCAATAGTCATAATCTAAATATGGGGGGGGGCAGGTATACAAATTTAATTAATAAATAAACCACTTTCACTATGATTCCAACCATCAGTAAGAAAATACATTGTTTTTTTTCAAAAGAGCGGGAAGTGTAAGGCACCTTGGTGGATACCAAGAAAGGTGTCCAGCAGCACACTGGTTCCCATGGGCACCACATTGTCTATCCCAGCTCTATATTTAGATAGTATTCACTTATCTTTGCTTAAATATTAGTCTGAAAAATCTGAAAGCAAACTGGTAAGTATTCTTTTGGATTCCAGTCAGCTATGTTCAGAGAACAGAAGCAAAGCTGGAAGGGGCCCTTAAGTGAGTTCAACCCCCCGCTCCTCTTCCCCACGTGGACATCCATCCAGGTCCCAGTCGATGCCTTTCCAGTTTAGCAAAGATGACTCAGCATGCTAGTCTGATCATTAGCTATGCAAGTTGATGCCCCTGGGCTTACAGTTTCCCACTGGAATGTCGGCCTTGCATTCTCTGCGAAGCTGATCGCAAACTGGTTTTGAACCTTCCTCTGTTTCAGAAGCAGATTTCCATGTAGTACACATATGGCTGTTTGCGAACAACCATTTTGAAGTTCCATTAAGTTGTATGTGCCTGAAATTGAAGTCTTCTGTGGTTTAAACTAACACCGTATGATACAATAGCTAGCTCATAGAACTAGCTGTGAGGTTCTTTGGATCCTAGTCAGAATGTGTGATCTTTCATATTCCTTAGTATTGGATATACTATAGATCTGGACACAATTCCAATCAACTCTGCTTTTCCACACTGAAAAAGAGAGCTGCCACTTTATTTGCACATGCACATGGTAGGCGTGTCATGAGTGGAGCTGGCTGGAGCCAGGGGAGGCCCCTTCTGGCTCGCTTTGTTTCTATGTTTACATGGTTGCTCTCAGACGTAAGCTTGCCTGAAGCATGGCCTAGTTAATGCCCTTTCCACTCATGGCCAACACATTTCTACATCTTTCTGTACTTCTCAGGCACCAATTCCTGTCTTCATCCATTCCCCCCATGGGCTGTACCTAACATTAGTCCTATTTGGAGTAAACCTACTGAAATGAATGGTACATACATTAGCAATGGCTGACATAAATCCCATTCCTTTCAATGGGACTAACAGTACAGGCAGCTCCATGGTACCACCTGAGCCAGGTTGTTCAATTTTGTTGTATGGCATGGCCAATCCTGTACTTTCCTTTAGCCAAAATATTCAGTGCTTAAAAATTAGAAAATAAAACTCAGGTGAAATGGACTGGCAAAGGATTAATGCTGAATGAGGAGAGTGACCAGCAAAAAATACTATGGTTCCTAGAGGTGTGTCCCAAGACATTAAACAGGTTGGATGCCTTCTCCAGGGGCTGTAGGCCCTCAGGATAGGGAATCCAGCATTGGTGCCTTCCTTTCCCGCTCATAGCCACCATGAAAAGGCTGCAGCAGTGCTCGTCTGATAGTGTAGCCATGATCATGGAAAGGCAAATGAGGTGTTCTTAGTGGACGGAGAGGGGGAAAGAGTGGCCAGGACCTGTAGCATCCTGAAGTCCCTTCATTGCTTTTCCCTCTCTCCACTGGTAAGTGAACTAGACAGGATCAGAAGGCTATCCAGCTTGTTTTTGTTTATTTAGGAGGCAAAAGCACCTCTGCCATTCCTCCAATCCTGCATCATTCTCTCAATGTGATGCTTCAAATTACAGGAAAGGATAAATTGCCTGTTAGGACTGGAACATGGGAATCTTGTATGATAAATAGAAGGATGCCTATATCTATTCTCTTCAGGAGAAAATAATTTCATTTATGGTTGAAAACAGTATGTCTTCATGTTGTCCAACCACAGCCCTAATTATTAGTCACAGCAAGTGTGGTGGATGGTTGGAGTTTCAGATGACCTTGTGTACCACAGTCTGTCAGAATTGCTAATTTAAGTCTATTGCAGAATATTCATGCACCAATTAATTTGATAAGAACTTTGCAACTTGTTTTACACATAATTTTTTTAAAAGTGCAGCTGCCATCCTCTTTAAACAAAGCATGTTTCCTGCTTCCCAGATTTTTTTTTTTTTTTTCTGATGGATCGGTCATGACTGAAAATTATCAGCATTTATATTAGTATTTGTTTTACAGTTTCTCTCTCTCTGGTGCATTGTGATTTGATCTCTGACTTTTATCTTCTCTGCTAGCCATCTGTCATTAACCAATGTAAATAGCTGCTGTATTCTGGTATTCTATTTGTGTTTGAAATACTTAATACTTGCCTGGAATGAAGTCTTGAATGATTTAACTAATGCCTTACATTACAGTAGCAAATGCTCATGCTCACTGTCAAACTGTTTTCAGGCTAACATATGGCTAAAGAACATGTTATTTTTATTTAGAAATAAGGGGATAGGGTACTTGCAGTATCTGCCTACCACATTGTGTTGACCATATGGAAAGCAGGTTCAGCTTATCCCAGAACTTCAGTGTGTCTACACTGTCTCTCCCACCCCCACCCCCCTTTTTACTCTAACAATAATGAATGGATCTACCTAGAAGTTCAGTTACTGAATATCTCAGAAATAAAAACAGAGTGAACGTTTTTGAAGCTTTGATCTGTTACACATAGTTTTGTGAATTTAAAATGACAATTTATACACATAATGAATTTCACTCTTACAAGCTGGTGGTTTTCATTTCACAGGGTATTTTAATGTTTCCATGTGGTTAAGCACTTCCTTTTTTCCCATTAGAACCTCTCTGTGAGGACCAAAATGGGACACGATGGCAGCAGCTACCCAGCTTGTTTGCTCCTGGATACGCTGTGCTACAACTGCCACCAAAGCAGCAAAGCTCCACTCCATATAAGATCTAAATTCCCAGGAGTACTGGGAGTATTTCAAGGCACCTCCCTAGCTAAAGAGCATGACTTTATTTTTGGCCCAGTAATCCAGAGGCCTTGAACAGTGAGAGTTGAAGCAAATTGGCATCTGGGTCTGATAAGGAGCTAGTCAAGCAGTGGAGATTAAAGCAGTCCTTCAGAAACACAAGGAAGGCATGCCATGGCTAGAGGCATTCACCCTTAAACAACTTATGAGAAAATGGGTAGGATTATTGCTCAGTTTTCAGATACCACTACAATATTAGATGTAGCATTCTGACAGCACGAGAGCAAGACTTAAGCAACCCATTTGAAAGGTGTGTCAAAAGCTTGAGGATTTGGAAAACAAGTGCAGAGGACTGAATATTTGTATTTGTGACATTCTGAAGGAAGGAAGGGAGTAATAAGGCAGAATTGCTGGAGCACTGGCTGCTTGACATCATCCCAAACCTGCAGCTTTTCTCAGTAGATATAAAAAGGGCCTATCATGCAACAGTTCTGAAAGCAGCTAAGATTGCTGCCCATTTTTTGTTTTCCAACAGAAAACATGCATTTGGGAATAAAAAGTACAAAGCTTCTAGCAAATGCTCTAAAGAAAACAGGAGCTATGGGCAGAATTGCAGCATTTCAAAATGAGAAGGAAAGCATGGTGAGCAGCAGCATCAAAGAATTCACGGAGCAGAAAAACTTGTCTGGTGGGCTTCCAGCCGCTATGTGAAGAACACCAATATAGATTAAATCAAAGCATTACTGAGGATGAAATACAGCAGATAATAATAGGACTGAAAATAATATATCTCTAGAAACAGATTGTTTTTCCAGTGACTTTTATAAACAATTTTAAAATGAGCAGCTGCCTCATTTAGTGACCCTCTTTATTGATGTCTTAGCTAGCAATCCTATGCATAAAATGTGGAGAGGTTCCCTTAATATCGTGATCTGAAAACCAAGGAAAAAATCCAAGCTGGCCCATTCATACAGGCCCATAGGCTTCTAAATCAGGGCATTAAGCTTTTTTTTTTCATTCATTCATTCATTCAGGCAACCAGAGTTAGTGGCTTTACAACCCAACACAAATCCAAACAAAGCAGACATCACACTGGGCAGATCCTTAGCTGACTCAGTTCAATGGCTTCCCAGCAAACACTCCAAGAGAGAGCATGTAGTTCTAACACTGGGTGACTACAAGGTCTTTGATCACTTGGAATGGCATTTCTTAATAAGCTTGCTTAGGGAATTGCAAATGAAGATAGGCTTGTGAATGCATATGGATATTGTACTAGATGACTGACACAACTATCAAAACACCCATTCTAGAAGTGATTCCCATAAGGCTTCATTGCAGACTTTTCTGCTTTTATTTATTTCTCCTTAGAGCCCTTCACTAATATTTTGAGAGCCAATCACTCTACATTGGAGGTGGAAGTGAATTGCTCCCACTATTTTTCAGTGGTCAGATTTGTACATTTTACATTGTTAGTATGGAAACAGTATAGAGTCCCATGGAAAGAACGGCTGTGGAAGTTGCTGCTCAATTATCTCTCCTCTACAACCCTCAGCTCTGCAGCAACACACGTCATCACTTACTATTCCTATTGGCCAAATGATGTGCCCATCTGTTAACCTGCAGAAATCTGAGAAAGTGAAGGAAGGAATGTAAAAATGGGTGGATTGGGTGTCCCTAATATTTGTAACTAGCATTCTAATTAGAGCAAATTCAGGGAGCCCCTGATCACCCCTGTGCATAAATGAAACTAAGCACCCCCCCCCCCCAGTTTTCATGGAGGGGGCTTTCCTTTTCCCTAAATGCTCTTAATAAACATTTTATTAAGAAGACCAACACTTTCTCAAAGTGTGGAGATGGCATACAAATGTACTGCCTTAAATGTCTCCACTGTGACCAAACCTGAACCATCCCTCCTTCTATAGTCAAGATAAATAGGTCCATTTCAAAAATTAGGACACTTATGATTTATATCCTGGTGTTGTGCTAGGTCCCTAAATGAGCAGGCCCGAAAATAAAACACTGCACAAATTTGAATATACTAATTTACATGTACAAAATATGTGCATATTCCTGTACATATTTACTGGCAAGGAATTCACCCTAAACTCAACGGGTCTTAATTCTAAAAAGACGTGAATAACCTTGCACTTATACACCTGGTAGTTAAAAACCAGTTCTGGGAAAGACCTCTGTCTAGATTAAAACGTTAATCTGTGAGTGCTTACTCCAGGGTAAATCTTGTTGCAATTAGCAAACTGCACAGATGTTGCATGGGTGGGAACCGTAATTCCAGCAGGGTGCCTGAGGAGCACCAGACAAGGCCGAGGCTTAGCTGGCCTGGGCATCCTCTCCCTTCCCCACCATTACTGGCGCGATCTGGGCTTCCCAAGGGACGCTGCGGGCGGGCGGAGCCACTGCATCCTGCTTGGCAGGAAATGCAGTAGCCAACAGAAGACAACGACCCGCATCTTCTCTTGCTGTGACAAAAGCAAGCAGGGATTAAAAAAGTGGAGAGGGAGGGGAATATGGCGGAAGGGAGAAAAAGGTTTGGAGATCCAGCTGCCAGACTCCCCGAGGAATGGAGAAAGGGTTTCCTTGCCTCCCAAAGGGAGGCAAAGACTATCAGACGGATCGACGAAGGATTTCGCCCCGCCTCTACAACATCCTGTTTGCCGCCTCCCTCCCAGCTTCAGAGAAATCTGAATATGTAGCCGTCCGTGGGTAGGTTAAAGAGTAGCAGCATCAGAGGGGTGTACTTGGAAAAGCGCGAATCAGAGAAAGGTATTAGAAACCCCAGCCAGAGGCTTTCCATTTCAGCCACCAGGAAGGACGCCTCATTGATCTGCTCTGCAGACCTCCTATTTGGTGGAAGGAAAAAAAATAAGGAAAATGGGGAAAAGACAGCGAGCATGACGCACCTAACTCAAAACATCCAAGGTCCCCCCAGCAAAGATTTGTCAGCCAGCTCCTCCCGCCACCACTGCTAACTTTATTTAAGTTCAACTGAAATATAAGTAGCAGGAAATACCAGATGATTGTCTACAACCATACCAGGTGGGTTACCTTTTAGCAAACAAATGCATCGAAGATCAGGTAACCTGGAGGGCCACCTGCTTTGAAGATAATATTACTCTAGTACAGTATAATTCTAAAATTAATTAGTGTCAGGGATTAGTGGCAGAATGTTCAATGACTACAGAACAGTAAGGAAGGGCTTAAGACAAGAAGGGAAGAAGGTATCAATAAGCAACTCTCAGAATGAGATTTTCTTATTCATGTGAGAATCAGACACCATTATAGTCAGTCACTGCATGTAAAGGAATCAGTGTTTTAATCAATAGTACATTTCACCACATACTTCATCAGTGGACTTTTGCAATTGCAGATGTATAACTGTGGGAAGGGTAGAGGGAATGTGGCTGTAAAGGTAACTAATGCCACATACGGTTGCTGTGCTCCTTAGCAGAGACCCTGTGGGATAACATCTTCAAACATCCCAAACTAGCCTTGCTGGGCCTTTCAGGGGAAAGCATAAAGAGATATGGCATAAAGACCTAATTTTGTTCCTGTTGGTGGTAGCAAGATTAGCTTTAGCAAGGCACTGACAAAATAATACTGTAATTTCACCTTAAGTTTGGTACCAAAAGGTTTGGCAAAGTGTCATACCTGAAAAGTTAACATACCAACGTGGGCTTCTAAAATTACAAATAAGCTCAGATGCATTTTACAAGATGTAGCACCCTTTTCTTTCAGGCACATATCAGAAAACAGGTGTACACCTCCAGCCATTTTACACATACTGGGAAATCATCATCATTGGTTCAATTCTTACTAGAATTCTCATGGCACAATCCTATGGCCACTAGAAGCTGTCTGTACAACCACAGGATAGTCCCAGTTTCAACCTTGGAAATACGTTCTGAGGTTGGAGCTTGGACTCTGACCCTGGAGCACCCTTTCTCCACTCTTGGGACTAGCACAGTTCTTTCTGTGCTGCTGTGGCTCTGAAATCACACACTTGGCTTGGAAGCCAGTACTGGTGGAGCATTTCAGGTGGCAGGGAGGGGAAGAGGGAAGCCTTGCTGGAATATGAGGAGCCCTGATGGTGCCTCATACTCTCCTCTTTGTGAGCACAGGCAAATGACATGGATCTTCGTCTTTGCAGGGGAGGCTGGAGGAAATCCTTGCCTTGAGCTCTTCCAGGCCTCAACTGGATCTCCATAGCTTGGAGTGCTACTGGTAGTCCTATTAGACAGTGCCCTAAATACACTTGCATTGCTATGTTTTACGTTTTGTTGCAGTTATCTGAAGGCTGAAATGGAAAAATGAGAACTATAACGATATGAAAGTTACTTTTGTTCTTTTGCACATTCAAAGATTTACAATAAACTGTTTAAAACTTAAAAAGAAACCATATGTTTTGTCAAGAAGCATCAGTAATCCCATTAAGAAGAGGAAAGTAACTTGAAGGATGAATTTATATTAATTTCTGTTCAACTAAAAAAGTATTTAATCTTTACCAAATTGCTTTAGAAGAGCGGTTGCCAAACTTTTTTGAGTACTGCATCTCTTACAACACCCACTGATTTTTATACTGGATGCCCTCTTCACTGGCACCATGGGAATCTGCTCTGCTGGAAACTTTCCTCTGGCTGCAAATACCAGCTTGAGAAGTGCAATTTTTATCAGGATTAGAGCATATTGTAAGCATTATACTCTTCCCAGAGCTACTGAAACAAAATGTGTGTTAATTGCATTCAGACAATTAAGATCACATATTGTTAATTTTTTAGCTGTTGCCATCCCAAAATGACAGCAATAATTCTTCTGTTGTTATCTTTGTAAAACTTATTTGCTGTTTCTCTGTTTTCATGAGCCAGAGTTTGGAGTCCTTTCTTTAAGTCCCTGGTTTTCTTTTTTCACGCTGTTATTTGAGCTGAACTTACTGGGAAACAAGAACAGCTATCAGTATATTCAGGCCTTTTCACTTCTATCTCATTTGTACTGTCACATCTATGAAGAGAGGAAATTAGGGACAGCAGGGTTAACTTTAGAGTATCTGTTTTGCTGAAACATTGGGCAAAAATTGAAGTTTTCAATCATACTTCAAGCACTAAGGTTTAAGCAGAAAAAGAATGAAACATCTCACTACTTACAACAATATTTGAAGTCATCTGGTTGGGTTAATTGTGTCAATACTTCAGACTTGGAAATCATCCACCTTCTGTTTACAGATGACAGCCGTTTTCCCTACATATGGTGATCGAAGCACTTTCTAATTACTATGGTTACACAGAATAGTCTACCCTCCCCTTTTTCCAAGCAAAGCCAATCACCTACACTAGCATTTATAAAGGAGGTTACAAATTACAGGGGCTTCCAGTAATTCTGAATTTCCTTATTCCATTTTAAAAAGCACATGGTCTGTATAAAATAGACAAGTGGTGAGAAGGGTATGCTAGCTGAACAATTTTTTTTTTCTGTCCTGTATCTGCAACGTGCTGTCACTTGCAGATTTTCCAGAATGTAAATAGCTTAGTATTTACTTAAGTAAAATATATCATCTGAACCACTCAGGTCAGCATACAAGAATAAAACACATAAAAATCAAAATGCACATGTTATATTGATATTAAAAATCAGAAGGCATTTAATTATAAAAACACAAAACAGTGAGAAACTGATAAAAGCACCCATAAAAACAGCAACGAAAACAAAAGAGAGGAAGACCAGTGCAAGATGGTATATTTTCAGGGCCTTTTTGAAAGCCTGCAGTGAGGGCACTTGGGGGACTCCCAATGGCAATTTTATGTCTGTTTTTATTTATTTTACTGTTTTTAATACTATATATTGTTTTAAATGTATTGTGCATTTTATTGTTTTAACTGTTGTAGAAATATGTTGTGAACCACCCAGACAGCTTATGGCCAATGGGGCGACATACAAGTCTAATAAATTACCACTCCAGAGGTGTGAAGCCACTGTAGAAAAGTCCCTCTCATGAGAGGACATCCACTTCACTGCTTTCATAGGTGAGCAAAGGAGAAGGGACTCACTTGCTGGCCTTGAAGTTCAAAGGCAGGCTGATATGGGTAAAAGTGGTCCTTCAAATAATTTGGTCTCAGTTTAAAGTTTTAAAGGTCAAAAACAGGACTTAACATTGGACTCAGAAACATACCACTATCCAGTGCAGCTGAGACAGTATAGGCATTACATGGTCAGATACCTCACCAACACTCACGCAGCTTCATTCTATACCACCTCAACTTCAGAGGCAGCCTCATGTACAGCACATTTGGTATGTGTGAGGAATGAGATGGGCTGCATATGGACAAACTGAAATGGAACCTTCAATCAAGAAATAAGAAGAGCTGGAAGGCCATGAAGCTCATGGGCACTGAACTCTCACTATAGATGTGAGGCTATATGTCCTCACCCCAAAAGTTGGAACCCCACTCTCAGCCAAACTAAAATGTGAACAGAAGGTCATGCTGCACTATATGAACACCTCCCTATTCCCACAGTTCTGGAGAAATTGTGGCAATGCAGGAACACTGATCATATGTGGTGGGTTTGCCCCCACGTTTCTACCCTTCTGAGCCGTGGGTCTTGCAATTATGTTGGATGTGGTTATAAGTATTATTGACCTTGATCACCACCTTGATGACCTAAGGCTCCACTTCAGACAATATACAGGGGAATTTACCACAAGGTGAACTAATTTTATGTATTTACTATTTCATTTCTATACCACCCCATAACGGAAGCTCTCTGCTTATTTATTATGTTTATACTCCACCTTTTTTCCTTTCAAGGATCTCAAGGCTGCTTATATAATTCTTCCCTTCCTCTCAAACATATCCTCACAACAACAAGGTAGGTTGGACTGAGAGTCTGTGACTGGCCCAAAGCCACCCGGTTACCTCCATGGCTGAGTGGGACTAGAACCCAGATCACCTGAGTCCCAGTTCCACACCCTTCACCAATACACCACAGGGGCTCACAGGTCAATGAAGTGGGAGGGGGAACTTCCAGTGGACACACATTTATCTAGAGGATATGTCCAGGGCTGTAGGGAATAGATCTGGGGTCAGGGCCCCATGGGCTCAGACCTGGCAATGTCCCTGCTTTCATTTATTTATTTACCTATTAGCAATACTTTTTAACTTGCCAAGAACAGGGTCTCACCTGAAATCAAAGCCCACAGCACTTTCTTCCATGTCCCTTGCCACCAAGCAATACATTCCTATGTGACATGTACTCAGCTGACACAGATAGTTCTTGTACTTCGTTTCACAGGCACAAAGGAAGGCCTAAAAGCACATAGACAGTGGTTGGACTCAGGTATTCTATGTCAGAAAAACAACACATTTATCAAATATGTCACCCATAGGCTATAGAGTTTCATAGATGAAGAAGAGAAAGCAAAATAAAAGAATGGGGTACTGCCAAGGGTTCTGCCTTACCTAGTAATTGCTTCTCCTGACAATATCCATCCAAGAAGTGAAGAAGCCCCATGTCTGTTATTCTGAAATTGATGGTAAAGCCCACCATATTTTTCCAGTTAAGTCTTTCTTCCCCTCTAATACAAAGTGTCCTGGCTTCTACAGCTATGGTGTTCAGCTGCTTAGTTTACAAGGTGTTGCCAAGACAACTTTCCTTTGGGTATTTTGTATACTGAATTAGAAATCAAGCAGACTCAGCTGGCTGGAAAAACAAACAAAAAACCCAAACTGCTCAAACTGCTTTACTGCAGCAATGCAAACACTTTGTGGATTAGAGCCAAAGTAAATCAAAGTATACACACTTCAGAAGTGCATTGTACTTACCTTCTTTGTTCTCTGTTACCCCAGGAAGTAGTTTCCAAAAAAGCTGTGCTAGTCTCTTGCATGAAAACAACAAAAAACACCTTAAAGAGCCCTTTATTATGGCAAAAGTACTTAAAGTGCCAGCAGATGTTTTTTGTCCTTAAAGTAGTTGCTGATTTTACATGTAATGTAAATGGAAAGCACAGGCTGAAAGGTAACTGTGAAGAACTCCTTTGTGAATCTGCTTGAACTGGGCTTGTAACAAAGGGTGGGCTCACACAACACAACAAGGCACACAACATGGACAAACCATGATGCTAAAGTGCCTAACAGCTGATGGGATACATTGTGACTCTGGAGCCACCTCTCCCCCTCCTCCTCTTGGTTCTCCTTGAGGAATCCCAGTGGGCATCATAGAAGCACCAGACAGTGGAGCCAGGAGGGGGAGAGGGGACGGCTTTTCTCCACCAGCTCAAAAGTGGCAGGCAGGGAGGAGCCACTTTTGATGTTGGCAGAAGGGAGTTGGAATGTGCCCTCTGTCTGGCACAGTGCATGGCAACCAGCTGCCATGCTGAGCAGGGCGGCATGAGCTGTGCTCTGTTCAGCCTCCTCAAGAGAAAACCAATCACAACGCAAGTAACTTGCTGCCACATGCTGCCACCTGAGTGTGCCTGATGGGATAGCTCACAGACAAAGGGAAGCTGGTGGCAGCCAGCTGAAGGGTCACTTGGGCACTTTGTGGGTGGCTGTCATCAACACTTTCCTTCAGCCATTCAAGAAAAGTGGCAAAATTTTGCTCTTCTTGCTAAGCAGTTTGCTTGTTGTGGGGCTTGCTATCCACGGGACATGTTGTCTGGCTTCAGACAACACAGCAAGCCACTGTGGGGCGAGCAAGCATTACTAATCCATCCTTTGTCAGGGTGATGTCAAATTGAAACTACCCTGAGAAAAACATTCCAGGTTTGGAGAACATGCTGAGCCACTATAGCATCAAAGCCTTGGTGGCTTAGCATATTCTGGAAACCTAGTCAAAATGATCTGCCAGGTTTGGCAGCTCAGGTTAGGAAGATGTCTATCATGAGGAAGAACCTTACATGACAAAATGACAATGGTGGAGAAAACACACCTCTTCACCCTTCCTCAAATCTGATAGAACTTGTAACTTTGCCAGAGAAAGAGTACTTTACTCTAGAAAGAGTAGTCTGTCCTTTGGGAATATACACCAAGCAGGGAGGACTTTGAGTATGGTCTGTATACTTATGGCAGGATCCAGCTTGGAATGAAAAATGGACATAGTGTGGAAATGAAAGATGAGCTCATGTTGGTTTTCCCATCCTGTGTATCTTTCCTTATACTTTGCTCTTCAGGGTTGAGAGTTGTTGCTGCCTGTATTAAGAATTGGGATTAAGGTGTTGGTGCTACATTCTGTGCAGGTGGTTTATTTCCCAATGTACTTTTGAAATATGAGAGAGTGGCAGCTTTTACTGGTACTTGTCATATTTTAAAAAGTTACAAATTGAGATGGAAGCCTGATGCCCTTTTCTATGTTGCCTGCATTTATAATAGGATTGTTTAGAGCAGTGATTCTCAAACTTTTTTGCGTGAATGCTTGGAAACTGCTCAGGGTTCCTGGCAGATCACATAACCTTCTGTTATTGCTGTTCAAAGCACACAAGGATTTATTTATTTATTTAAAACATTTCTATGCCGCCCCATTCGCCGAAGCCTTGGGGCGGCTCACAGCATAAAATTAAAATATAAAACATTCAAATATACAACAAATTTAACAACAGTTTTTTCAGCACTAGCATTATTGGTAAAATCAGCATCATAACACAATCATTCTGCCAGGGGAAAAACTAATGTTTGTATCCAGTGTTTGTCTAAATCAAGTTCCAATCATTTTAACAGGTATACCCTAAGTCTATAACTAGATACAACTCAAATAATTTAGACTTCAGTTGCCACCTTAATGCAAGCCATAATGCAGTCTGGTATCTCTAGCAAGATCTGAATGGTGTCAATTCAATGTGCAATCCTATGCAAGTTTAGAGGAAGAAAGGTCTACCACACCCAGCCTGCCTTTGGCAGCTCTGCTTGCTGGGGCAGGTTGGGAGGCCCCTTTTCCTGTCTATACTTGTAAAGAATTGTGCCCTTGCTTGCAGGGGAAAAAGAGGAGAAATTGTTGGCTCTGTGTTATGTTTATGGGTATTCTCCTAGGTTCTGCTACCAAGTTGACACATAAATCAGTGTGCACTGTTATAGGGTCAAAAAGGCTGTGCAGCGTTAAATCCTCCTGATTGAGGACAAAACTCGCCTCTGATGCCATCTGTGGGTACTAATATCAGTTCCACGTAAGCAGCTTTCTAAAATAACATTCACTTCTGTGGGTCTACTCTACACAAAATACCGACCTGCTTGGTCCAACAAGAGTCAGTGTATTTCAACGCGTAGATTGCACAATTCTAGCGCTGCCGCAGGTGAATTTTCCATTTGCAAAATGAGTGCAGAACTTAGTTGCACGAAGTATACGAGTATTAATTGGGATATATACGCGAGTAGCGCAGTGCAAACGTGGAACACGGAATACAAGGAGTGAACTGACTGATATTTCTAGGCCAAACTGCAGTCTACTCCAGGCACCCACAGCGACCATTCATGACAATGGACATACGCAGCAAGGCGAAATGCCCTTATGTGGACACAGTCGCAGCTTCACAGTCTTGCTTCCCGCGGAGCTTCGCCACCGGTCAGAGGCCGGGCGGCCAAGGCGCGCGCATCCAGCAGCTCCGCCCACGCGACAGCGCAGCTCGCCCTCGCCCTCCCCGCGGAGCGCTCGCGCCTCACTCCCACAATGCCCCTCGGGAAGCTGCGCCCTCCCGCAGGCCCGGCGCTGCTCAAGATGGCGGCTGACAGTGAGGTGAGTCCGGGTTGTGAGCGCCCCTCCTAGGGCTGGGCGCAGGGGTCCCTTCCCCCAGACTCTGGCTTCCATCACATGCAACCCAGGGCCTCACTCTCCCGCTTCCTGCTCTCTTTCCGCAGCCTGAGTCCGAGGTGTTCGAAATCACGGATTTCACTACCGCCTCCGAGTGGGAGAGGTACGTATCCTTCCTTTCGGGAGGGCTGCCACCTCCTTTTCTTTCCAAAGCTGCCTGTGCACTTTCTGTTCCTGCTGATCCCGCTCGCTTTCGGTCGCTCCCAAGTTTTCCGTCGTCTAGCTCCTGTGTCATTTTCGGACCCAGACATGCGAGTTGTATGTCCAGAACATACTCTCTTCCTGCCCCATAGATAACCCTGGAAAGATGCTTGCTCGGGCTGCAGAATTGCTAAAAATCACTGAAGAATTAAGGAAAAGGAAGTAGATTACTAGGAGCGAAACTTGTAAAAAGCTCTTCCTTCTGTTTATGAGGGGTGTCATTGTTTTTGTTTAGAATCGGAGAGATTAAACTTGTAATCGTGCATAGCTGTTGGGTTGGTGAACCCTGATGTTGCGTAGGAGCATCTACATTTCTGCCTGGTTCATTACCTTGCGTGTGATATTTTATCCCTGGTTTTAAGCAAGGAAATTAACACTGTTTGCAGATATATTTATAGGCAACACTTGACAATTGGAGAGAAATACCAGTCTCCTTGTGTTTGTGGCAAGTAAATTAGAGAAATTGCTTTTAAAATGGGCAAGAAGGGGCAACATCCCACAGAGTAATACAGAAATCTAGTCTCTCTATCTCTCTCCCCCCCCACACACAAACACACAAAAACTACATACTAATGGAAAACACATAATGAAGTAGGATTTAGTGAAAATATATATTGACCGCAAAAACATTCTTAAAGGAAAGGCTTTGCTGAGAATCTATTAGTGATTCTTTGGCATCACTTTAATTTTAAATACTTTAGTAATAATTTAGTTTTAAAGCAAATATTGAATGAGTTTAAATAGCTATGCCCTGTATATATTAGGAATATGAACAAATGTGTATTACATCCTGCTTTAATTAAACTCAAAGGAGAATTCAGGCTTAGCATGTAGTACATTGTTTTCTTATAACCAGCAACTGTTTAAGAGCCATTAATTGGTAAGTGTGGATGCATTTTTTCAGCTAGTACTCGTTTGCTTAGAAATAGAAACTTTTGTGTTAAGAGAACAATTCTGGCCATGTTCACTCAGAAGTTCCATTGTGTTCAGTAAAGGCTTATTAGTGAACTGAAATCCATCTTTTGGCTTCTGAATGCTATTGCATTTCCTATAGTGGTATTACTATCCATTTATCTTAGGAGTTGATAGTCAAAGATTTTGTTTTTTGTAAATTGTATTTTTACATATCTTAAAATGTAGAAAAGTGGGGTAGTACTCACAGTGCTTACATGCTTGACTCCACTTCTTTTTTTTTCCATGTTAGGGTTGGGCCCATCTGTGAGTGGAGAAGTGGTAGGCAGGGTGTGACTTCCCCTTCTTATTCTTCAAATGCTACTGGAACTCCAGCGTAGCATCTTGGAAGGATGCTTTGTTGAGATGGGGAGCTGGATGTACTAGATGGAAAGGAAAAGGTGGTCCCTTGCCCCAGGGAGGAGGAGCTGATGGCACCTTGCCCACGGCTCTGGTACTGAACCTGAATGTTACAAATAAAAAGTACATGACTCGTTAATTACATTGCTAAGCTAGATTGGGTCTATGGGAATTATTCTGTAGAACTCTTCATGCTTTGCTAGTGGTTAGACTTAGTGTTTCTAGTTAGTAGTTCCTATGCTTTAAGCACCTGTGTCAAACTGCTGGATTAAGCTGTCCTTAGATTTGAAGTGTGATGCCACTGGCATGGTGATGCCATTGAGCTCTGTATTTCCTTTCCATGAGAGCAAGTGGACCTTTGTTTTCACTTAACCAATGTGAGAAGTCAGTAACAAACTACATTAGGGCAAATAAAACAGAGCTTATTCTAAAGGAAACAGATTATAGTTGAGGAGCTTAGTTAGGAAGTATTTGCTTAGCAGTTGGAGTTGATCAGTTTGGTTGGAAATATTTGTTCTTATTGAGGTAATGGTCCTGGTTAGGTTCATAGTTGCAAGTTCAGAGTACTGCTGGGCCTAACATTGCTTCTGGATTTCCAGTTGTTTAACTTTTGTTGAGAGATTAGTTGGACTGCTGCTAACCTGGCAAGGAACTGACTACTAATTTTTTGTGAATTCTGGATTATATTACTGTAATATAACAGTATTATAATATATTACTCTATGTTGGGATGTCCTTAAAAATCTCCAGAAATTTCATCTGGTTCAGAATTTTCTGAAGAGTATCAACTGTGATAAATGAATAATTTTTGTTAAGAATTTCTTAATTAGCTGTCAGTCTCTTCTTGTACCCAGTTCAAGCAACTGCTCTTGTTCTTTAAAGCCCTATATTAGCCTCTCTCAACTTGGTGTCCTCTGGTTATTTTGGACTTTGAGTCCCATCATGCCAGCCAGTATAGCTTATGACTAGGAACTCTGGGAGTTGTAGCCCAAACAGTTGGAAGGTACCAGATTGGAGAAGGCTGGCCTACATGTTTGTGAAGCCTTTTCTGTATTCCACCGTGAGTGCTAAGCTGTCCTCATTAGGGGTTTTTTTTTTGTGGTGCTCACTGTTCTTTGGAACCTTTCTCACTGAAGAGTCAGTAGGCACAATGTCACTTCCATTCAGCGTCAAGTATAAACATTTTCACTATGCATTAATTAGTAGATTCAGTAATTTATTTTTGTCTTGTTTTGTTGTTTTGCTTATTGTTGATGCTACTTTGTTGATCTGACACTGTTATTTAAATACAGATTGTTGTGTTTTGCTTCAAGGTGGGGGGAGTTGGCCTCCATTTAGACTTGGTTTGTTTTAACTGCAAATTCTTCAAAACGTATTTTGAAGAACTCTCTTGGGAGAGTTCTCTTGGGCAACTCTCTTAGGAGCCATTAAGTTTGAAAGATGGTAACTAAATAATAAGTTTATACCAGTGTATGTACTCATGATGTTCTCGTAACATCATTGTCATGATTTTCAGGTTATGTTTCTTTGTTACCTGCTGATATGTGTGAAATTGAGCTATAATTAATATTAAATAGCAATAATATTTCAGGCCTTCGATTATTTTTATTTTATGAAGCTCTGTCGTAATATAGGGATGGCATACTGATATATAAAAGCTTCTTTCTCATTAGATTTATTTCTAGAGTTGAAGAGGTTTTGAATGACTGGAAACTTATTGGTCCTTCTACAGGGAAACCTTTGGAAAAGGTAAAAACATCCACTTCTGAAATACTTAGAGGCCAGTGCAAACATAAGAATCGCAATTTATTAACCATATGGAAGAAAAGGCAAGGTGAATCTGAAGATGAATATTTACTCTTAAATAAGGAAACAATTCAGTTAGATTGTTAGGAACTAAGGGACCTTATTCCAATACTTTAGGAACGATGAACCTATGAGGTCTTACTAAGAGGTAGAAAGGTATTCTTACAGTATTAGATCTTACAGATTTGCTTAATATGAAACTTGTGTAACTCTCTAGTAATAACTGTGGAATTGTACTATAGCTCTTGTGACCTATGCATTGAAATTATATTATAAATTATTTTACTGCTATATAATTAATATGTATACCTTAATTGATATTCAGGGTGTATATACCACTGAAACATGGGAGGAGAAATCAGAGGAGATTGCTTTTGCTGACTTCAGATTCTCTGTGACACATCATTGTCTAATCCAGGAATCCAATGACAAGGATGCAAAAGAGGAACTAGTAGAAGGTAGATAAGTTTTCTGCTGCCTTAATATTCTTGAGCCAATGACTTTTACACCTTATTTTTATGAGATGTATTGGTATTTGAAAGTTCTGCAGTTTTCTTCAAAACGTATGACATGTAGTTAGGAATGTATAAGTTTTGTAACTTTCTCATTAGAGGAATTTGTAGATATCAGTAGTTTGATTTTCACTGTCATTTTAAAGAGCAACTTAGGGTACAGTCCAGTGGAGATGCCCATGAGCCTCAGTGTGCAGAGTTTTATGGGCATCCTGTGCAGAACAGAGGGAGTGTGGAGAGAGATCTTGCTTCTGTCACCTTCACAACAGCTGGATAGCCAGCTTCAGTCATCCAGCTGAGACACTTGGGACAGGGAAGGAAGGAAGCTAGAATTCCCCAGGATAGCTCTATCCCAATGGACCTAGTGACCTCCCCTCCCTTTCCACCTCACTGTTTCCCTTCCCTTCCCTCCTTCTCTGAGGTAGGTCTTGTGACCTTGAAGATGAAGATTCTATGGTTCTTTCCTCACCGGCTGTGAGTGGAGAAAGGGGATCTCATACCAATCCCTCGGTCCAAGATTGGAGCTCATTATGGTTGTTATTAGCTGTAATTGTTGCTACATTGCATTTATTTATTATTTATTTATTAAAACATTTTTATGCCGCCCCATTCGCCGAAGCCTCGGGGCGGCTTACAACAATAAATTAAAACATAAATAACAATTTAAAATATATACATTAAAATAAAATACAAATATACAATATAAAACATACAAGCATTTATATCCATTTTCCTCTTATGAAGAATTCAAGGCAGTTTGCATAGCTCAATTTTTTCCTCACAAGAACAGCACTGTAAGGTAGGTTAGGCTGAGAGTGAGTGGCATGGCCAAGTGGAGGCTAGAACCCAGATCTCCCAGATCCCCAGTCCAACACTTGTAACCACCACACCACACTGGCTTTAGAGGGTCATAGCATCCCTGTGCCCATAGGATAATGGAATTTTAATGTGGACATGTAATTCCTCTTCCTAATTTGATAATGGAGAGTTGAAAAGAATTTACATTTAATACTTCTAATAAAGAGTGGATATTTTATAAATTTTTCCATGATGTCATTTTCTGCAAACGTATCTTGAAGAAAAGACTTTAAATGTCATGGTATCTGAAGTTAATATTTAAATAGTGATTGATTCCCGTTGTTCATGTCTCACAGGTTAAATAAATGTTCACCTACGAAGGTTATTTCTGTATTGTATGCCACACCCCAAAATTCTATATACATAAATATATGAACAATCATATTTTTTTAGTCATGACTTCAAAATTGAAGTCTTATTTTTGCACTTGCATAGAATTATGCTGTAAGTCCCATTGATTTCAGTGCAACTTTTTGCTAGGTAACTGGGTATAGGATTGTGGTCAGGCTACACATTATTTGAGTCCTCACTCAACTCAGGAGGACTTAATACATGTAGATAGGTTCAGACAGTTATAATCCTGGTAACTTGGTTCTTCTCTTGTTCTTTTGTGTTTTCTTATTTTCTGCTTTTTCTCTCATTTCTTTTTCCTTCATTCATCCCAGCCTCATCCTTTTCACCCCACAAAAAAGCAAACATGATTTGCCCATGACTGATGGTGGGTTACAGTGAGAATGAGTTATTATTGGGTACATTTGAGCAATTTATTTTTCTGATGAGGTTAAAAAATGTTTAAGTTAGGTAGGTAAAATGTTAATATTTATTTGAGTAATTATCAGATTGGTTCTTAGTTTACATTGAAAGCCTCCTGTGATTTTAGGCTTTGATTCATTCTAGAGATTGGTGCAAGGTTGTCTTTATCTGGTGTTTTCCATCTGAATTAAACTATAGTTCCCATAAACTTTGGTCATTGTCTGTGCCTATTAGAGCTGATGGGGTTGTAGCACCACATTGGGAAAGACTGATCTAAATCATAATGTAGTGATAACATAGAGGAGCCTTGTTCTTACGTGCTCCTTTGTCTTCCATCAGAAGAATCAGAAGCATTTACTTTTGTTTTCAGCTAACTGTGGTTGGTCTGTATGAAGTACTGTGGTTAATTTTTAACTATGCTTGCTCAAACATGTTATGACAATTAGCCATAGTTTAAAATTGCTTTTTTGTGTGTGGGGTGTGGGTGTTTTTTGTTTGTTTGTTTTTTGGATAAACCACGGCTAGTTGAAAATGGAAGCAGGTATTTCTGATCTTCTCACAACCACACTAGAGGAATAGAAAGGATAGGAAGCAAATGGACCTGTGTTTCGTGGATATAATTATCTATAAAATTATGATTTATATTTTTAGAAGCTGAAAACATAATTTATAGCAAACCTATTTTTGTACTTTAAAAATCATACATTTATCTATTTCTTTCCTCTTTCTTATATATAACCATTTTTTGCTATTTGCGAATGTGAATGCCAAAAGTTTTCACCTTTCTTGAATGGTTTTATAGATGCTCTTCCAGTTGCCATGCAAGATCTTCTGTGTTTGAACAATGATTTTCCACCTAGAGCTCATTGTCTAGTAAGATGGTAGGTCTATTATTTGAAGTATAAAATAGTATTTCTTATAGCTCAATATATAGTTGGAGTATATAAAAATGTATGATTTGTAGTGGCAGACATGCAGAATACCCAAAGAATCCTCACTCCCAAGGTAATGGCCTTGCTCAGATATTATGAGAACATACCTTTAGGTTTGTACAAATTTCTGTTTCCTTTTCCTCCAGTGCTGCCAAAAGTATTAGAAACTTTTACTTCCATTTTTAATTAAAAACACTTTAATGTCTGAACCCAGGCCAAAAATGGTTAGTCTTAACTATAATTTAATGAAACAAGTGAAGTTCACAGTAATTTATACTATTTTGACAGGCCCAAAAAGGCATCCTGAAAACGATTTTAAATAACGTAAATGAAACTAGCTTGTTCCAGTTAACCACAGATTAGGCTATGGAGTATGGTTAACTAAAAATGCATGTGAAAATCTTTATTTCCCTTGTGGCTGCATTGGAATAGAACAGGGGAGGGGACAGAGTGGAAGCCCAAGGCTCACTTATAAAGCTAGGTTTAGTATTGTATCAAAGCCCAATGTTTTTGAAAATATGGATGGTAGTGGTATTACTGTTATATTAATTAAATAATAGACTGAGTCATTGAGCAAATCATATTATTGTTGCGTGGCCTCATATCCACATAGGTTAGATTCAGAGGGGTGTGCTTAGTGGAGTTCTAGCACTGGTGGAGGGGGAGGCTAGTGACTCCTAACATATCCCCCTCTTCTGTTCCCTCCTGAAAACTGTTCTGCGTAGGTTGGGAGGGTGCTCTGTGGGCTGTAGAGGAAAGAAGGCACCTGTGAGAATCATTGCTTTCCTTCAGGAAAGGCCCTCTATTGAATACCACTCCCTCTGTGCACCATATTAAATAACATCAGTAGAATTTAACTTTAACTGGGCTTGTTTCAAATAAATATTTAGGGGAAGTAGACTAAAATGACCATATCCAATTAATAAAGCACAACAGAGATTGTGCAATGTTAGTCACATTATCATTATATATTATTAGTCATACTAGCTTTAATCAGTGTAATTTATTTACATTTTTACTGCTTTTGTTCTAGGTATGGGTTGCGTGAATTTTTAGCCATTGCACCAGCAGCAAATAATGATGCAGTTCTTAGTGAATCAAAATGTAATCTTCTTTTGAGTTCCATTTCTATTGCATTGGGAAACACAGGCTGGTAAGGCAATTCTAGAGCCATTCATATATTTTGCTGTTGTAACTCACAAACAGAAAAAAGCAGAAATGCATATAAACATTTGCTTACATTTGACAGACTATTTTAGCTAAATATATACAATTAACGTAACAATATATCATTGCTACATATCTAGATTGCTGATGCAAATCCTTCCCTTCTATCAAGATAACAGATAATTGCAGTATGGTAAAACTCAATGAAAAATACAGATTTTGTTTCAGATTATCTAGAAAACATGACTTTGAATTTACCATATTATTTGATGTCTCTATTAAATGTCTTTAAAGTTAAAAAGATTTGAAATGTAAGGTTAGATAATTGCCTGTACATGGCATGTGCATCCAATTTTTGGTATGAATGCAGTTCTGGAACCCACAGTTGGCTATATCTTTCCAGCACAAAAACTGATTCTATTATAATCAGTGGAACTAAAGTCTCATTGGTTTTAATGGTTGCATTGGTTTTTACTATATGTTTGAAAACTTGGCAGTAGAATCTGTTTGCATTTCTGTTGTTTCTATTGTATTTTAACAGCACTGTTCTAAAATAAGTCTCAAGCACCACTTTGTTACTCTGGTTAACAGATTTAGGCTATCTGTTTGCACCATGTTTCTTAGTTCATAGTGCGTATAAAATACTTCAGTAACTTTTCTAAGTATTTTGCAGCCAAGTGCCAGTATTTGTGCAAATTCAACACAAATGGAGAAGAATGTTTGTTGGAGAATGTCAAGGACCTGGAGTTAGAACAGACTTTGAAATGGTTCATCTTCGCAAAGTGCCCAGTCAATATACACATGTATCAGGACTGTTAGACATCTTCAAATCTAAAATTGTAAGTTTAGTTTATGTGTGCCCATCTAAGCAAGTGGGTGCGTTGAGAATAATTTTCTTTACAAAGTGGGTGAATGCTTTAACAGATTTATATTTATATTTTGCACTGGACAAAGCATGGTGAATGTGCAGCTTCTAGTGATTTATATAAACCACAAATGTGTGATGTATATGATGTAGATTGTATATTGATGTATGCAATTCAGGTGTATGGGTACTTACAGGTGTATCACATAGTTCACAGGTGTGACTCTTGGATTAAAAAAGGTGTTTAGTGGTAGGATATAATTTAATAAACGTGCACCAGACTGACTCTGACCTTAGTACATGTAGCCCATGTTCCTGAGGGACAAAAGGGAGAGATACATGTGCAGTAGGTCTTTACCTTATTGAACAATTGCCACCTCTCTCCTTAATTGCAAGCTAGTTTTGGATCTTGGGTAAGCTTCAGATGTAGATTACAATACCCAGTAAAGAGAGGTGGCTATTTATAGTACTTGTGTGTCTACAGTACTGCTGGTAAGCAATATTTCTGAAGACAGATTTATTGAGCTTCCATTATAATCACTAGATAAGCCTTTTGTTGTGCCAGTTAATTATATCTGGCCCACTTTAAAAGTCCTTTGAACTGAAAAGTTGTTCAGAAGGAAAGCAATAAATGACCTTTATGGAATTTTCTCTGATGGGTAGAGTATTCATATAACACGATTAACAGTCTATTTACAGATACTTTTAATGGATTACTTTGACTAAAGCAAATGTCTCAGCATACTTGTTCTGTTCCCAACTTTCAATATGTTTCTTTGCATCTTTTTTTAGGGCTGTCCATTAACTCCATTACCTCCAATTAATATAAGTGTTCGGCTTACATATGTACTTCAGGATTGGCAGCAATATTTCTGGCCTCAACAGCCACCAGGTAGGATATTAATTAGTTTATATAACAATTCTGTTCTGTGGCATTTAATACCAAAAGTAGTCCACTTCCAAATACAGCAGGACCCCTGTATCTGCTGGTTCAGTTACTGTGTTTTCACATAACTGTGGTTAACCTAATTCCAAAAGAGAAATCATAAAGTGCTTCCTTTAAATGACTTCTTTATTTAATAGGGAAATTAAAAAATGTATGTTGGCCTGCTAGGATATATGGTAAGAATGAATCTTCTCTCTGTGAAAAAGAGATTTATATGTGCAGTATATAGTGTTCAGTATTAACTGTGGTTTCAGGCATCCACTGGGGAGCTTGGAACCTATCCCTGCGGATATGGGGATCCTGCTGTATCATGAAACCAAGGAGGTTTTTCTTGAAGAGCAGCGCAGGAAGTAGCTGTTCAGAAGAAAAAAAATAAGAGCATAATCCAGTTGGAATATTCCTAAAATGTTGAACTTGGAGGATTACAGGTATCCTATGCAAGGGAGAAGGAATATGAGGGCAGTCTTTGCTTCTGCTGCCCTGGAAATCGGCGAAATGGCTTTCTAGCCACAGTGCTTTTGGCAGGGAGACTGGCATGCTGCCAAGGTACATATTTTGGGAAGGTTACAACAATAAAAACATATGAAACTGTAAAAGCACAAAAAGTCAAATTACGATAAAATGCTAAAACCAGATAAAAATGCGGCCAGCTTAACAGAACTAGTGATTTCATAGAAGGCATACCACATTGTTAAAATACCATTAAAACAGGTTAACAATTAAAATACCAGCAATTATTTAAAAAAAGTCTTCACCAGGCAATTAAAAAGAGTACAAAGAGAGCGCCAGGTGAACCTCTCTGGAAGCTCATTTCAGAGTTGGGGTGCCACTCCCAGGTCAGGGTGTTTATGCTCCCTAGTCATGAATTTATACTATAGACCAGTGGTGGCGAACCTATGGCATGCGTGCTGTAGCAGGCACACAGAGCCCTCTGTCGGCACGTGAGCTAAGTTGCCCTAGCATCACCCCAGCAGCTGAGCATCGGATAACAGTGTGCCTAGGGTCCATGTGCATGCTCAGAAAGGAGTAGTGGAGCCAGGTGATGATGTCACGAGTCGCAACTCATTAGCCGCAACTCGTCCGAGCTTTGCATGGCCGGTCAGTGCACTGCCAAAGATAGACAGATAGCTAGATAGATTGGCTTGGACAGGCTGTGAGGTGTTTTTTCTAAACTAAAACCTGTTTTCAGGTTTTATTGCAGTGTTGGCACTTTATGATAAATAAGTCGGTTTTGGGTTGCAGTTTGGGCACTTGGTCTTTAAAAGGTTCATCATCACTGGGTTAGGGTTAGAAAAACAAGGTATCCTGGTGTGATTTTGATGGTTGGAATGTGTTTAGAATGGGCAGAAATGATGAGCACTGCAGAAAAAGCTATTCAAAGAAGGCTTTTTCAAAATCGTCCTATTTTCAATGGAACTTTACTCCTATATTAGGGTTAGGGGTGTGCACCAGGGTACGCTTACGGTTAGAGAAACGATGTGTCCTGGCATGATTCTGATGGTTGGAATGTGTTTATAATGGGCAGAAATGATGAGCACTGCAGAAAAAGCTATTCAAAGAAGGGTTTTTCAAAATTGCCCTCTTTTCTATGGAACTTTTGCCCTATTTTAGGGTTAAGGGTAAGCACCAGGGTGGGGTTAGGCCAGTGGTGGCGAACCTATGGCATGCGTGCCACAGTGGGCACTCAGAGCCCTCTCTGTCGGCATGCGAGCCAAATCGTCCCAGCATCCCCCCAGCAGCCAAGCATCAGTTAACAGCGCACATAGGGGCCACGCGCATGCTTGGAAAGGAGTAGCAGCACTAGGCGATGACCTCACGAGCTGCAACTCATTAGCCGCAACTCATCCGAGCTTTTGCATGGCCAGTCAGTGTGCTGCCAAGAAAAAATTATATATATGTGTGTGTGTGTGCGCGCGCGCTTGGACTGGCTGTGAGGTCTTTTTTCTAAACTAAAACCTCAGTGTTCAGGTTTTATTGTAGTGTTGGCACTTTGTGATAAATAAGTGTGTTTTGGGTTGCAGTTTGGGCATTTGGCCTCTCAAAGGGTTGCCCTCACTGCTATAGACCATTTCAGAGATGGCTAACATTACTTGTTCTTCATTTTTCCTGGAAAATTTTAGAAAAATAAAGTTTATAAAATACAAAAGAAGGCAATTTAGTATGCTAAATGTACACTGTATATAATACTGAGTGAAAGAATTCCAGTGTTCCAGTAATATTCTTGGTTTGGAAATGTTTAATAATGTCCTCAAGTGCAGAGTGCACAATAACTGGAAACATTTGCCTGTCAAGAAGTCATGACCTCTTTGTAGGATGTGATGGGTGGCCTAGTCCCTTGCTAAGCTCTCTTGGACCTCAGTTTGTTATGTAGCTTGCTAGGCCATCTCCCTTGGAGAATTCAGTTATGGCTTACATATGCTTCAGCAATGAAAGATAGTTTGCTTGTTAGTAATATTCTTTAGTAATATGAATTAATGGTAACTTACTATTAAACTTGTTCTTACAGAATACTTTTCACAGGGTTGAGCCTCTCATATGGTTTATTCTTGCTCCTAGTTTCTATTCTTGACTTCAGAACTTTAAACAGTAAGGAGTTATATTGCTTCCATACTAGTTGTGATCTCTTGTGAGGCATCCTCAACTGTATTTTTCCTACTGCAAGAAGGCATAGCATCACTTTATATTCTACACAGTTGGGTAGGTTACTTGGGTAGGCCCTGCTCCGGGAACCCTCCTTGAAGGAGGTTAGGAACACCCGGAGGAGGGCTTTCTCTGTGGTGGCACCCCAGCTATGGAATGCACTCCCCAGAGAAGTCTGCCTGGTACCAGCGTTATAAGCTTTTCTACACCAGGTCAAGAACTTTTTATTTACCCAGTATTTTAAAGTCTAAATATTTTAATTAAGATTTTATCACAGTTGTGGGTTGTTATTGTTATTATTGGTTATGATGATGGTGATTTTACTATGTTGTATTTATTGGGTGATTATTGTAAGCCGTCCAGAGACATGCAGTAATTGGACGGGTTAGAAATACCCAAACAGACAAACATACAAACAAGTTACAACCTTGAGGCTGTGACCTGCCAAGGGCCTTTACTAATTCTCTGCATAGCAGAGGCCATGGAAAAAGCATAGTTTCAGCTTGGTCTTGCTGAGTGTTAGCAAACATGTGGGCTTGGTTTCTGTACTGTTGATGCTTGTCAGTCACCAGTCCACAGTGGCTACCATGGGACTTTGATGAGGGGAAGCATGGTATTGCCTTGGAGATGGCAATGGTATCCGTAAGTCGTCACAAGATCTTCTCAGCCATTTAAGGTGTCCAAGCTTGTGATCTTTTTGCGCAAGCATCTACTACCAGTTTCCTTGATTCTAAAATTTTTCATCCAAGATAAGGCTCTGTGGAAACTATGTGCTAATCTTGTTTGTATCCATTTCACTTCAGCGTATGATACTAAGACTATTTCTAATTGTTCCTTCGCTTTATTCACTTTCATATGGATGAATATGTATTAGGAGTGTTGTTTCTAACTGGGTAGTAAATGCCAGTTTAATGTTGATATAATACACACACATACATTTTTTCAATAGATATAGATGCTTTAGTTGGAGGAGAGGTTGGAGGTCTAGAATTTGGAAAGTTGCCATTTGGTGCCTGTGAGGATCCTATCAGGTAAGATTTGTTCTGACCAAAGATTGGTATGGGAAGCCACACTTACAGGTCTTTCCTTACATAAGTCTTGCTTATGTTATCTGACATGCCATAACATATGACTGGTGAGAAGCCCTTGCAAATGAAACTGTTACCTGTGAGTGAAGGTACATTTTCCAGTTTATGTCATCCAACAAATGTTAGAAGACATGGGGACAGTATCTGTAGTAGATCATACATGTGTGTGTAACTTGCTGGATCTCTTTAAAATATATGCAGTAAGTATCCAGGAAAAGGCTAGATTTCACCACCATGTACTTTAAGGGTGGGGGGAATAAAGACACATGCTATTTGTAACAGAAGTATTTGAACTATGCTTGTGTGACAACAGAACAGTAGAACACTCAAAATAAGCAGTAGTTGAGGACTTGGATCCCAGTTTTGCTACTGCCAGCAAGAGTATGCCCCGAGTTGAACCCTGCTTGGAATGTTTGCGGGAACAGGGAAGGGCTTTTGCAGATTTCTGTTGTCCTCCTTGAACCCCTTGTGCCTTACGGAACATTGCTCTAGAGGGTTGGGGGACCCTCTGGATCAAGTGTATATGTATGCTTCATGGAAAAGGGGAATGTTATCCTCTCTTCTCCTTCTGCTACTGGGATCACCCACTAAATTAAAGACCATCCTTGGATGTAGGAAGCCTTTGTTTTGATCCAAGGCATTGTCTGTGGTTGTTTGATAGTTTCAGAACTCTACTTACAAGTGTACTGCTTTTGTTTTTAGTGAACTCCATTTAGCAACTACATGGCCTGACCTTACAGATGGCATAATTGTAGACAATGATGTTTATTCGTAAGTACATTCTCTTTCTTTAAATGCTTCTTACAGACCAGTATCTGAACTCAGTGTTTAAGAACTAATTCATTCTAGTAGTTGGCAGAGATGTGCTGCTTAATGAATATTGTAGCAATTATTTGTACTAACTTTAAAGTCAGCTTTGGTCATGTGCCTGATATCTCTGTTATTTAAAAGGCAATCGAAAAAAGAAATTCTTGCTTAGAATATCTTTTTTTCATGTGTGTGTATTCCTTCTTCTTGTTAAGGAAAGTTGTTGATTGACAAAGTTGGAAGGAACTTCAGAAGTCATAGCAGTTTTTTCAGAAACTCCTCCACTGCCTCAGACAAGAGAGCCTATGTCCCATCCTCCTGCGTCATTCCCGTTATCGTGTCATGCACCTTCCCCTTTCTTCCATCACGCTGCACTCCCACCTCCTTCCCTTTCCCTTTACCACATTATGCCCCCTTCTCCTTGTTGAATAGTTTGTATGATCAGAAAGTTTTTCCTAATATTTACTCTAAATCATTTTGCTTATAATCTGAACCCATTGGTTCAGGTCCAGTGTTGTGGACCTGCAGTAAACAAAATGGTGTGACAGTCCTTTCAATATTTAAAGATAACTATTATACTGCTTTTTAATAATAGTTTACCAGGCTGTCATTTTTATGAAAAAGCCAACATACCAACTTTGATTAACCTCAAATTCTAAAGCTCTATTTGTAATACCTCCTCTCCTTATAGAAAAGTTTCTTAAATGGTTAAGAATTGAGCCAGTTTAGTGGGCACACTAACTGTAGTTGTTGTTGTTGTTGTTGTTGTTGTTGTTGTTTTAATTCTCTCATGAGGTTTTTTTTTTTTCCTTTGTACAACTGATTTGCAACATTTGATGAAAATTAGGAAGGGTTGGAGAACTTGAATCTAGAGCATGTTTTCATTGCAGGAGTGCAATGAGTAGATAAAAATGTCAAGAAGACACTAAAGACCCAAAATTGTAAGAAGAGAACTTGGGTATTAGGAAGGAATGTGCAGAGTTGCTGGTAGCCTGGCAGTATGTAAGAAAACACAGAATAGCTTTGACTTTGTCTCTATCATATTTTCATTATCTATGGAAGCAAAGTATGAAAGGAAAACTGAGTGAGAGGTGAAAAATTGGGTTACACCTCTTCTGTGGCAGCACAGTATTCTGTGACAGTGAAGCTCTGAATAGGCTTTCTTTGTTATGATCGGATGGAACAGAGTCAATAGTAACAGCACTTTTGCTTCTTTTTTAAAAAGAGATTTGGATCCCGTGCAAGCACCTCAGTGGTCTGTGAGAGTCAGAAAAGCCGACAATCCACAGTGTTTACTGAGTAAGCAGTCCAGAACTTCTTTCTTTATTTCAGTAAGCTATGATATAGTTTGACTAAGTACCCGTGGGCAACATTACAGCACTTTGAAAAATCAATGTAGATTTTTTTTTAAGGAAAGATTGTAGGAAGAAACATATGTTGAATGTCTGTGTGGGAATTGCACATATGCACACCTATTATTTTGATAAGTTGCTTTCTATGAATGTTCTCCTTTAACAAAAGATCCCTGTTTTTAAAAAACATTGAATTAGAATTGTTTTTATGCAACTAGAAGATTTCATTTTTAGATTTATGTATGTATGTATCTGCTTACCATTCAGAACATAGTTTCATGTATGGAATTCTACATCTGTTTGCTGTTTCATTGTCTGGTTAATTTTAATGGCACACATTTGATATATAATGTTTTGTGCAACTTCAATTTAAAAGAAGACAGGATTTGTGTCTTAACATTTTGGTTTAAAGTAGATGGAAGAACTGTAGCTGTAAGTCTTATCACATCAAGTATTGACCACAGTGTTTAGATGCTCTTAGTTTGAATGTTAGTTATTCAGTGGACAAAGAATTCATTTAAGAATCTGTTCAGGAAAATGGACAAGTAAGTATATTTAATCACTGATAGAGATGTTGCATTTTTGTGTGGAAAATTTTGTCTGAAGTTTGTTCATTGGGGTTATTGCATGTGAGAAATGTAAGTTCCAATTGCTGCATAGTCCATAAGCCCATAGAAGGGCCCTGGGCAAGTCACTGTGTCAGTTTTTGGGTATCACATGCTAACCACTGTTAATGGTATTTGAACCAGCTGTGATGAACTTCAGATTTGATCACTTTTTTCCTTTTTTCTAAGCATCCAGGATGAAGAGTTCAGAAAATTTTCCTTTAGCTTTTGCTTAACATTTCCTGCTGTGTCATCCAGACTCAGAACTGTGATTAACATTCACTATGGTCAGTTTAAACAAGGGAGCTTTCAGTAACTGGTCTTAATATTGGCTTGTTTGAAATTAACCATAGTTAATCTTAATCATGGTTTGCTGGTGCAGACAACACAAAAACTGCAGTGAAAACTTTCAAATCCTCTTCCCAGCCACATGGAAGGGCTAGGAAAGGAATATGTGAGCCTGAGGGTGTCCGCGCTTTGCCTCTTTTGTGTGCCACCTGTCAGATTAGTTTGACTTGCTATGAGAATGTATTGCCTTTTTCCATGATAGTACATTGCCTGGTGTCCATGGGGTTCCTCGCTGGTGTCCTATTCAGAGCCTACCCTATGTATCTTCAGGGCACTCTCAGATATCAGTGCTTATATGCACTGACAGCACTATAGGGGGAAAATAAATCTCCCACTAAAATTTGCATATGAAAACAGCCACATCTTGAATGTGTAGGTTAAATCATAATGGAAGATGCATGGTCAGAAATCTGGCTTCATAGTTGAATAATTATGTTCTTTTGCAGGTGATTTTGTTACTGAATTTTTCAAACTTTGTCGTCGGAAAGAATCAACTGATGAAATTCTTGGAAGATCAGCATTTGAGGAAGAGGGCAAAGGTACAAATCAATCATGGTTCTCTTTTTAAAGTTCTTTTTCTTGGTCCATGTACTAGTAAGTTGTCACTGCTGAAACAGAAGGAACTTGATAGAACTAGGAGAGTATCTAATGTGAATTGGGTTGAAAGCATATTAATGCAAATATCCTTTCCTCAAGGCAATTTTATTTATAGTCTATTTCCTCCTTCTTCAGCAACTTCATTTTAAATCATTAGCAAGTCTCTGTCAAATACATTTGACCACACAGTGCTTGTTTTACTACCCCTTCCCTGCCAACTCTGTAAACTGCTCAACTTTTTGGCAGAGTATCTCCAGTTACCCTTATGCCAGTATAGACTTGTTCTGAATTAGGCAGCAGGTGGCACACTCAGAATTAGCAAAGCAGCCTTGAAGTTTTGCTGTTTGTACTCGTTAAGAGCAATCATGGACAGATCAAGGAAGATACTGGGAATATAAATGTTGAGCAACATATAAACTGATAATTTGAACTGAAATTGTTTGCAACACCTTGATATTTTATAGATGCTGATATAAGTCATGCTTTGTCAAAGCTCACAGAACCAGCACCAGTCCCAATCCATAAACTCTCAGTGACAAATATGGTTCACACTGCAAAGAAAAAGATTCGTAAACACAGAGGTATAGATGAATCACCATTAAATAATGAAGTCCTCAATACTATTCTCTTGGTAAGTTCCTATACTACATTTAATGCTTTATAATAAAAGAGCTTGCATTCTTTTGAAGCCAGGAGTGCCTTTGCGCAACTTTGACTAGTGTGCCAGCTGTGGTCTCTTATAGACAAGGGGATTTTGCAAGAGCTACACATTCCCTGGACATGATGAGATTGGAGGTATGGAAGCTTTGCTTTGTGAAAAATGCACCAGTGAGGCTCTTGATGCTTCAGGTCATTGATATCATATGTAGCTTCTGTCAACAGCATTGGCTCCAAACTGGTTCTTACCCTTTGAAGATATAAACAGGGAGGAAGCAAAAGAAATGATGCACAATTTCCTCTTGCCTAATGCCTCCCTCACTGGTGTCAAAAGGGTGGGAAGAGCTCTATTCCGTGCCACACTTAGGAGAGATTGTTTTTCATGACATTAAATGCATTGAAGGCAGTTAAAAACAGTATTGCTTGAGCCTGCTTTTTATGGTTTATTTATGTAATTGCTACAATATCGTAATAGTGTTCTGTTTTATTTATAGTATATTTTATTCTCCTATTTTGATGTAAAGTGTTTGGAGCACTGGCTTTTTGGGGAAAATATGTTTGTAAGATTCCTAAATCTTCTGCATAGCAGAATAAGCAATCATCTAGATGTTTTAATAGAATGAGGTTGCAGCATCTAACACTTGGAAAAAATTATGAGGACAGGAAATAGAACTGAAAGCTGACTGTCCGTATTTTCCCATTAAGTACTTATTCCCTGATGCTACTGACAAATCAACAGATGGATCTGAAGCCAGAACTAGTACTTCAACAGGAAGTCTTCCTCCCCCAGACAGTGAAGACTATGTAAGTTCAGACTATGTGAAAACATAAAATGGATTGTAACAACTTTTCATCAAATTAAAAAACCACCAGTTTCCTTGAGGATTTTAAATATGCTTTATTTTAAAAATTCTTAACTAAAGCACAACTTCTTACGTTGATTTTACCTTCTCTGCTTAAAAAAATCAAAATTAATTCTGCAGCACTTATACATTCATTGCATATGTTATGTTATGCCTATTTTTTAAATGTTGTGTCATTTTTCCTTCATTCCCCCTCCATATAGAATCTCTACATCCAATTCAAATCCGCGCCTTCTGATAGCCTAACTTACAAACTGGCCCTCTGTTTTTGTATGATCAATTTTTACCATGGTGGGGTCAAAGGAGTTGCACATCTTTGGCAGGAGTTTGTCTTGGAAATGCGTTATAGATGGGAGAACAATTTCTTCATACCAGGGTGAGTTTTATTAGTATCATTTAGTAATATCAATAAGAAACAGGATGCAATTGACTGATAACTTCCCAGTTTTGTGAGAAGAGAGAGCCAGATATTGCTGCTACCTCAAAGGCCTTTCTGTTCCTAGACCATCACCATGCTCCCATATAGGATCATGAGGACTGCCTAGGGAAAGGGTATTTTGTATTGTCCTTCCTCCAAGGAACTCAGAATGGCATTTCAGATTATCCGTAACGTATCAGAGGTGGGACTGAAGCTGTCAGAGCTCCAGCTGCACCTAATTTACAGTTCCATCTTACAAGAAGTTTTTTAAACAAGGAGAGCTCCCCTTGTGTGTTTGTAAGTACATTTTAAAGAGAATGCTGGATTTATTTATATATCTGTACGTACTTTTTGAAGCCAAGCATGGTAGTTCACAGAAAGTTCAGGAAGTAAAAATGATAAATAAGTTGGTAGAGCTTTAAAAAGGATCTTAATAACCATAGCAGTGTAAAAAGCAAAAACTCTGAGCAGGCTCCCTTCCTGAATGCAGACAGAGTTGGGATCAGACTCTAAAGAGAGTGCATTCTAGAGTTTGGGAGCAACACAGGACAAATGCCTGACCAACCTTTTTCCACATGCCTGACGAATGGTTCTCTGCAAGCATGGTTGCCCTCAAAAGGGCCTTTCGGGTTCATGGTGGGATAGACCATCTCTCTAAGTTGGTCTTAAGTTGTTTAGAACTTTCATTGTTAAATCAGCTCTTTGATGTGAACCCAGGAAACCAATCTGGCAAACCAGGGCAAGGTTGTAATCCCATCATTCTGATTAGCAGCTGAGCTAATCCAGTGCAGAGCAGAAGTGGTGAATGCTCTGCAGTTTTGCTGAACAGATGGGTTTGGCTGTCCAGCAACAGTATTTCGAAGAGAGACTGGAGTGACCCTAGGTTACTTGTTTCCTGGTCTTTCTAGTCTCCATCCTGCACCACTCCTCAACATGTCCCCTTCTGCCTCAGAGTACCGTGTTTCCCCAAAAATAAGACCTAGTACTATTTTTGGTACTTGCTAAAATATAAGACCTACCCCGAAAATAAGACCTAGCTGTGTTTATTCCCAGGGCCAGTGAGAAACATAAAGAGCCTTTTTAAACTTTATTTTTTAACTTAACTTTAACTTAATGCACTGTGTGGAGGAAACATGCTCATGCAGCTCTGCTCCCTCCACTCCCTGCGGAGGGACGAGAGCTGCATGAGCCGATGCTCCCTCTATAGCGCCGGCTCCTGTCACAGGCGGAATGATACCAAATGTACATGTATTCATGCTGTTGTATGTGAATACGTGTGGATTGTTGTACACATTAAAAAATAAAATAAAAAAATAAGACCTACCCCGAAAATTAGACCTAGTGTGTTTTTGTGAGCCAAAAAAAATAAATAAGGCAGTGTCTTATTTTCAGGGAAACACGGTAGTTAGAGAGCTTTCCTCTGCACTGGCTGTGGGGGAGCAGGGAAGTGGTCAGAGCTCTGATTTCTAGGGCCAAGGTTGGTCTCTGACCTTAGATCTGGAAATCAAAAAATTCTGTGGCCCCCTAAGAAGATACTGAGTGGTCACAGGTCACTCCCTAATTGAAGTTTGTTGCATAGTTTTACCTAGGTGCTGCTTTTCCTGAAAACTGCACTGTGGCTATAGATACTGCAACATGTAATAGTTTAGAACCTTTTTCTTCTGTAATAATGATATAAATGTAACTTCCTATTAGGTTAGCTGGTGGTGCTCCAGATCTGAGATGTTGTTTACTGCACCAGAAACTCCAGGTAAGTATTACAGAATAAACAATATTTAATAGATACAATAATGACCTTTCTTTTTACATTACTCTTTTTGTCATTGTAGAAATTGTAAAATTTATCCAACAATTACTATGTTCCTTGGATAACATATTAACTTGTTAGGGAGATAATTGATATTTTCTTTAAAAATAGTGATTAAGAAAGAAAACAAAACAGCTTTTCTGTGTTATCATCTGTAGTTGTATTAGCATAGATATACGGAAATCTCCAAGACAAGATAGGCATTTTTTAAAACATCGAGCTGAGCCCAAGAAATGCACAGTAGAATTTTCTGACCCACTTCTTGTCTCCATAACACCCCCATGCCTACTTTTCAGAGGGCTGTGGGATCTTCTGAAACATTGAGGGATGTGATGCAGGTGGGTGGGAATTGGTGGGTTCTTGTGTCTGCACAAGTGTCTTGGTTTGCAAGTGCAAGTCTGGATTGAAGCTAGTCTCCTAGCTGTCATTCACATAAAAGTCTCCACATGCATTACCGTAGAAGCATCTGGTAATAACATTAACAATATAGCTTTTCAATGTCTTTTCATTTCTAGATGTTAAATTGTTGCATTGAAAGAAAGAAAGCAAGAGATGAAGGGAAAAAAGGCAATAATTCCGATCGACCTTCTAGTGACACTGGGAAAACAATTAACCTGATGGGTCGAGACAATGTGAAAGATGCTGACAAGGAAAAAGGAGAAGCAGGAAAATCTTGGGAATCTTGGAGTGACAGTGAAGAAGAATTTTTTGAATGCCTAAGTGACACAGAGGAGCTTAAAGGAAATGGACAAGAAAGTGGGAAGAAAGGGACTGCAAAAGAAGGCAGCAAGGAAACTCTAGCATTAAAGCCAGAAGGCCGTCTACATCAGCATGGCAACTTGACTTTGCTTCATCCTGGGGACCCTCTATATGTTCCAATAACACAGGTTAAAACAGGGTTCTCCGACCTTTTTGAACCCCCAGGCATTTCTGGGTTTGCACTGAGGTTTTGGGCACTATGACAGAGTGGCTACTGTAGGGGTCAGTGAAGCACAGAAGGCTGGCATGGTGTGGGTGGTTTACCTTGGCAAAACACAAGAACTTCTGAACACATTTGTGTACACATGCCCACACTCACTGCACTGCCTGTGCACACATGCAGAGGCACTGTTTCAGGACTATTCCTGCAGCCAGCTGTCCATTCATAGGCACACAGCTATGTACCCCAGTCATCTGTTGAAGGCATGCATACTTCCCCCCCCCCTTCTCTCAGTTGCTTCTTATTGCCTTTCTCTTGCTCTCCCCAGTTCCTCAAGTGGCATTTTTTCAGTATTGGCAGTATCTAGAAGGGCAGTAACTAGAAGGGCTGTGGAAAGGGCTGTGTTGTCAACTTTATGGTTAGACAGCGAGACTTCCAAGTATTTCTGCTTGTCTGATTTCTGCTTAATTTATTTCAATTATATAGAGGGCTCTAAGTGTAGTTGCATTTGAACAGTGTTTAGGTAGCTTTTGTTTTTCCACAAACGTAGACTTGTCTTGGGAGTGTTTATGCATGTTCCTGAAATAGGAATAGCTTGTAGAGTGGTGAAGTCATTGTGCAAATTGATCCTTAGTCTCTTGTACTAAGGATCCAGACTTTTCTGAGTTCTTTCATATTTTTATTACTTAAACCAAAGATAGGCATGACTACAAGGGGGAGCTCCTGTAGCTACAGATGCTAGATTCATGAGATGGACAGCAGTGGCAACCTAGTAGGTCCAGTTTTATCCCCTTAGAAGTAGCTATGGGATGGGTAGCCATTTTATGCCACTGGTTCTGCCATCACCGTGTGCTACTTAGTTTCTCCTACTGTTATGCTTTATGCTGAGCCAGATTATTTTCCCTCCAGTTTATTATAGTCCTGGCTTCTCCACCTCTTCCCTACTTCTTCTAGGTGTCATAATGCACAATGAGTGTCCTCTTATGTCCAGGCTGGGAAACTGTGGTGTGGACTCTAAACACAACAAGGGTAATCAGGGATTATGTTTTTCTGAATTAGTTTGTGAATGATAGCTCTTAGGAGTGATGAAACCACGAGGGTGGTTGTTTTGTTGAAGGTTGCTCTGCCTTTTATCCCAGTGCTTGTTACCAAGCACAAAGAGAAGCCTTCATGTAAACTTCTCCCTTTTGACTTTTTCAGGAACCTGCTCCTATGACTGAAGATCTGTTAGAAGAACAGTCTGAAGTGTTGGCTAAACTGGGAACCTCGGCGGAAGGAGCCCATCTCCGAGCTCGTATGCAAAGTGCCTGTTTGCTGTCAGACATGGAATCTTTCAAGGCAGGTCCAGGTTTTCAAATTCCATGGAATTGCCTTTACAAACGTATTAGTACAAGCATTCTGGGTAGTACAACTAACTTAATTCTTCAGTAGCATCTTATTTCAGTCATTACTTCCTTTCCATTTTACTTTATTTCCTTTGTCTTTCCATGATCTTCACTACATCGATGTATTTATTTCAGCAGCTTAAAAAGTCCATATTTTAAATATGTTATAGTGTTTTAACTTGCCTGGCTTTTGTTTCTGAGCATTTGTTCATTGGCAGTGAGCCACTTACTTGAAGCAATGGTTGTTAACTCTTTCCTATTTTTGAAAGCAGAAGTAATTGATTAGAGAATCTCTTAATACTTTAGGGTTTCATAATTGCCTTCTTTACAACTATGGTTCAATTTTCATTTTTAATTTCCTCCAAAATCACAAAGTCAGAATTCAGTTGAAGACAATTTAGTCCTATTGAAGTCAATCCAGAGTATATATTATCTGGCTTTTGCAGTGTTTCATGTGCTGAGTGCACAATAATTGGGGTGAGGGGTTGTCCAAGTCTGGTTTTGTAGGCATAGGTATAGAGAATTGTACTGTTACATAACTGGTGCTGTTCTGGAGTTTGGCTTGGAGAATAGAAAAGCAAGAAGCAAAACCTCTACAGTTTAGAATGTTCCTAATTTGTGCCCAATGTACGTAGGGCAACCTTTCAGCTGTCTCTTATACTTATATGTCAATCACCTGACATTCCACGCACTATAAAACATTAAAAATACTTTGCTATAGAGAATGGCAGGTGGATGGGTTATTCATCTGTGTAAATTATTCCTTTGCCTTCCAAAATACACAAATGTCAGAGCCTAATCCGTTCTTGGATCTGTTTCTGTCTATTTTATAGAGGAAAGTGATGACAATAAATTTATATCTGGTTTCTGCACCTGATTATCTGATAGACATTTATTTACTTATTTCCTTCCTTCCTTCTATCTATACTGCCTCAGTTGAAGCTGTCTAGGGGTTTTACAACAATTACTCAAAATACAAAAAGATACAATAAAATAGAAATCTAATCAAGCACACAATAAAATATGCAAATTTAAAACAACTTAACACTTACAATATACAAAAATATAAAACAGTTTAACATCTAAAATATTTTCAGTAAAGCTAGATTTAATTGAAGCAGCTGACATAACTAATCATCTGCCATTCAGTGCCTTGGAATAGAGGGCAGTTTTGAGCTGACATCACAAAGAGAATAATGTTGGCTCCAGGCAGGCCTCAAAGAAGAGACAGCTCCACGATTGGAGGACCACCAGTGAAAATGCCCTCCTCCTCGTTGCCTCTTTCTGGGCTTCCCTTGGAGGTGGTCACTGGAAGAAGGCCCCAGATGCAGATTGTAAGGGTCAGATTGATTGAGGTCAGTAGACATGAGATGCTGCCCTTAATTCTATGGTGTAGGATGTAGTGTAGGCTCTAGTTTTTAGGGTGACTCATGGCATGATTTATTCATGCACTCTAAATATTTGTGTGTGGCATTGATTAGAAATGTAAAAAACAGCAGAATCTTTCTCTCCCTAAAAAGACACACACAGGTATTGGCTGGGTATTGTAGAGCTGGAAGAATTTATGAATTCTTAACAAGACCAACCAATGCCTGTCATTTCCAATGAGTTAAAAACTTTCACCATGGGAAACCTAATACTATGTATGTACCAAAATGCAATGATGCACCCTAATCTGTCTTTTCCTTGTTGTCCTGCTAAAATTTTGCTTTGCAAAATGTATGAATAAACTTTTTTTAACCCTTCACCATCATAGGCTGCCAATCCTGGTTGCTGTCTGGAGGATTTTGTAAGATGGTATTCACCTCGTGATTACATAGAAGAAGAAACTGTGGATGAAAATGGGGAGATAGTTATTAGAGGGGAGCTGAGTGCCCGAATGAAGATTCCAAGTAATATGTGGGTTGAAGCATGGGAGACAGCAAAGCCAATTCCAGCCAGGAGGCAGAGGAGACTCTTTGATGATACTCGTGAGGCAGAGAAGGTAAAGAACGTATAAGACTGCAGTCTTGAAAGGGTACGTACATTAATAATGAGCGAACCCACTTCCAAGGACTTTGGTGACTGCACTTTTCTGGTGTTACTCACAATATTAGGCTTTATAGAGGTTGGACTGAGTAATGCAACCTGGAAATAAAAACCTTTAGATTGGCAGTCATTTTGTTTGGGGAAACATGTACCTACTTAAGTGCCCTTGCTATTGATTTTAACATCAATAATTATACAGGAACTTTGGGAATGAAGCCTTTGACAGCTCTTACTTGGCAGTAGTTGTGACAGTTCCCCCTCCCAATCCTCAGTCTTTCACCCTTTATCAGTTCTAAAAGTGTATAGATCTTTCCTTCCACTGTTAACAGCTTTTTCCCAAATGTACCTTGCTTTAAAAAATAGTTGACAAACACCTCCTTTATAGCCCCGCTTTTGGCAGGGCTGTTCCAATATCTTCTACAAGATATTTGCTGATTATACAGCTCTAGAATTTCTATTTTTACTACTGTACACCAAATACTCATTTCTCTGTATTAGATTCAGAGCCTTAACTTTCATAAAGGACAAATACTTCCTTAGTCCAGTCTCTGAAGAATCTCTGCAAAATTCTTTTCTCTTGCATTTCCGGATAACTTCTATGAAGACTTAAGTAAAAATGTAGAAGATTCATAATTAGACTTATTCTAGTGCCTTAATTGCAATAATATGTGCACTTAAAACACGGAAAAAGTGGAGTCTTTTGTGCAGAATGAAGGTGATTAAAGACAGAATTACTGTGATGTAACCCTTTTATCATCTCCTCAGGTGCTGCACTATTTAGCAGTTCAGAAACCCGCAGATCTTGCAAGACATCTTCTTCCTTGTGTTATCCATGCAGCTGTACTCAAGGTAAAGGAAGAAGGTAAATAACACTTGTTAAGCAGTGATGTTTGTTTGGACTAAAGGTAGAATTATTGCTACAGTATGCTTCCATTTATGTTTTTTTCAATAGAATCTCTAGAAGACATTTCTTCAGTAAAGAAGATAATTAAGCAGACAATTGCCCATTCCAGTAAAGTTCTCCGGTTTCCAAACCCAGAAGACAAAAAACTAGAGGTGAGGCTTTCTCTTCCTAATATTAAAGTCTGGGAAAATAACTTCTAACAAGTGTAGAATGTGAAATCCTGAAGACTGGTTTTGCTTCTTACATAGGAAATCATTGGCCAGATTATGAGTGTGGAAGCCACTATTGCCAGAGCAAGGTCACTGAAAGCAAAATTTGGGATAGAGAAATGTGATCAAGAAGAAGAACGCAAAGATTTAGAAAGGTGAATGATCATTGACTCTGTTTTGTTTTGTTTTGTTTTGCAGGCTTTTACAGATTAAATCCTTGAGAAAACCCTTTCTGCCTTGAGTGCAAGGCCATGTTGGGCTTCTTATATTTCTCTCTCACACTGTCGTTTGGTAGCTATTGGTATGCATTAGTGTAGCTGGCTTACAAATGTTTACTTATAGCTTTGTAACCAAGTAAGGAAATGTGCCACACAGGAACAATCCTGGAAAATATCTGTATCCTCTATATCTCTATATCTGGTTTCACATTGGCTAAGAATGATCCCTGGGTAGCAAGAACCATGGTTAATGTTGATAAATTACATAAATAGTAATTATGTGGTAAAAAGGCAGCAGGGAAAATGTGTGCATGAGAGCCAGGACTGTGGATGTAGCACTCAATCCCACGACCAATACCCATTCCCACCACTGTTAAGGGATTGAGGTTATGTTGGCATTAGCTCTTGTGAGACAGCAGACACAGATGCATTTTTCTGGTTTTTAAAACGTACATCTTTAAATGTTGCTAGCCACAAGTCCTCTGGATGATAGTACCAAAGAAATTAAACAAGTCTGCATGCTCAGGACAAGCTCAATAAGAATCCAGTGAAGCTGGTTTGCCACATGCACATATGGCAATTGATTCCTATGTCACATGCTTTTAATGGAATTAGTTTGTATAACTGACAGCTGAATTAGTTTTGCAGAGTTGAGCAACCAAGATGAACGGACCCAGACCCATGTGCAAACTAACCTTATGTTAGATAATTAGAATTTTATGTAAATGTCTATTGAGTTCCTTCAGTGTTTGGTGCCAGTACTGAGAAAATTTTGAAGGCTCAACCCTTCTAAAAACAGAAAAATTGTGCATCTTTTCCTAACTTTTCTTCCGTTTCTATCATTCTGTTCTGTCAGATTTGTCAATTCTTTTCTGGAGCAGCCAGAAGTATCAGTCATTGGAGCTGGAAGAGGACCTGCTGGTACTATTATTCACAAGCTTTTTGTGAATGCACAGAGGGTAAGTTGGACCTTCTTATCTCTGTTATGTGAGAAAATTAGTCCTTTTGTTATGGATGGTGCATGAATGCCAGGCTTTGAAAGCAGTTTTCTGTATAAGGATACGCAGCTTTGTTTTCCATACAGATAGCACAGATAGTTCATTGCAGAAATAAGAGTTTTGTGGCACCTTCAAGACTAAAAATCTATTATGACATGAGCATTTATAGACCAGAATCCACTTCATCACACACAAATATAATCCTACATTTGATCTTCTGTTAAGTGGAAAAATATCAGTACAAGAAAAAGGCGCCAAGGGATTGATGTACTTCTATGAAACTAGTATACAAATTCAGACAATTTAATGCACCTTAAGGGCACAGTCATATGGCTTTCACCCTCAATAATTGTAAGCCCCCAAATTTTGAGGATGGTGCTTTCTCTAAGCAAAGCAGGGAGGAACACTGGAGCCAATCTTTACCTCTCTTTCTTCCCACCCTGCATTTTCCTTGATGGGCTTTTCTGCCCTTCTAGCCTGTTCTGTGTCCTTCAAGCTTTGGAGTAGGTGGGAAGGAGACTGGAAAGGTCTCAGGATAGATTTTATTCTAGCCTCTCTTTGATTGGCAGGAAATGTAGGGCAAAGGGCTAGTTCTCTGCCTACTACAAAGACAGATTGCTACCTCTGACTGGGGATTCTGAATTACCCCGTAGCCCCTCAGATACTTTTTTATGGGACATAGGATTGCTCCTTAATATTTGAAAGGACTCCTTTGATTAAATGGGTTGATTGAAACAAAGTGATCGTTTCCAGGCTGTAAAAACAAATTCTTTTTTATTTTGGAGCAAACCTTGAATTATTTTCAAGTTTTGTCACATGGTATAAACAGCTTCAGGAATGTGTATGTTGATTTCATCATCTTTTGCTATTGACTTGACTGCTGAGGAGTCAGGAAGAACCTGAGTAAGGCAGGAGTGGGTGGCAGTCCTAGACACTGGGAGCTAAAAAGTTAGCATTCCCAGGGACCCCGAGGAGAGGATTGCACATGGATATGCGCTGCAGTTGAAAGGTGATAAAGAACACGAACTACCTGGCCAAATGAGTGGCTGCAAACCTCTAGTTGGTATTTTACTGTAATAAAATCACCTGCAGCCTGGTCCTGTATTGCCCCTTGTATGAGTTGAAAGGACTTCTGTTTGTGAATGGGGAAGATGCTATTTCTCCTAACCTATTGCTCCCAGTGCTGCATTTCTTTTTCTCTAGAGAGTTCTCCCATCTTGTGGGTCAAGCTTGTATTTCTGGAAAAGGGAGTAGTCTGAAGGAAGTACTATGGGAAGTACTCCACAATGAAGTGGAATCAGTTTGTAGGAAACTCTGAAGCTCAAGAGAATTTTATTGGAGTAGCAAGCATACACACTGTGTTTAAAAATAATGTTTTGCAGCCAGAATAAAGTGTTACAATATTAAATTATCTCATGGGAAAAGGAAGTAGGATATCTCACTTGCATGAGTGGGAACACTGGATAAAAGCAACAGTGACTGATTTTTAATTTATATTCTGCCTTTCCTCTAAGAAGCTCAGAATAGTGTACATGGTCCCCCCTGTCCCCACAGCCCATTTAACCTCCTAAGGATCATGCCATTTGGGCTGAGATATAGTGACTGACAGACGGCATTTCTGGTTATTATTCTGAACTAAGAATCTGGTTATTCTTAGTCCTAAATTAACACTGCACCACACTGGCTCCTTGTAACATATATTGAGTCAAGGAATTTAACCAGGGTTCTTTTCAGATAGCTGCTGGTCTATTTTGTTTTGTGTTAAGCTATGTAATAAGTAAAGTTCTTACGAATAAAAAACAAAAAAATGCAACGTAACAAAGCAATAATAGAATTAACTTCACCAGAAGCAGCATCCCACTATACTGAAAACTAGAGTAAAGCTAGCCACAGGAGTTATGCCATTTCCTGGTTGGCGGTTGAAGTGTTTAGTAGTTAGGCTCATTCCTAATCTCTCTCTCTTTGCTATTATCCAACTTACTATCTTTGTGTCCAATATTCTTCTTCAATTAACTTTAACCATCTGAAATTGACTTTATTTCTTTTGAGGGCCTAACACAACTAAGTTAGCTTTTCACACTGGAGCAAACATCAGTACGTCATAAAGTGCAGTTCAGCAGGACAGCAGCCAGACAAGAGTACCAGCATGATGAAAGGAGTAATGAAGCAGCATTAATGTCTGTATTGGCAGCAGTAACGCATTTCTTGCCATAGTGAATTGCCAGTAGGTTAGAAGGTCAAATTGTCCACTTTACTGTCATGTTTTACATGGCACCCTCTTTTAGCATTATTTGCTATAATGGAAACCCATTGCCATTGCTACTAAGAGAAACTCTGGTTTAAAATGCAACTGTCTAGTTGGGTAGTTTAACATTCTGCACAAGAATCATACTCCATTTCTGCTTATGCAGTTGATTTCTATATAAAATTTATTATTCTACATAATAAAATAGCATTGTCCTTCAAACATAGCAATGATTTTTAGAAACCATTTTCTAGAAAAAGCTACTTTATCAATGTGGCAATGACTTTCTTAAAGAATAATGATCATTTAGACTAGGTATCTCAATGACATTGCTTGCCAATGTTCATTTCTATGAGTGCCTTAAGCAGCTAAACTGAAACTTAGATAGCTTTGAAGTAACTAATGTGGGATCTTTAAATTAAAATTTAAGAATGAAAAAAGACGACAGGGTCCCTGATTCAAACCCCTGCATGCATACAAAAACAGCTCATGTAGGTATTTGCCTGCCTGTCCATGTCAGTGGCAACAATAGATAAATCAGAGAAGAGATGCATGTGTGTGATGACTGTCTGTACTGGAATTAATGGGGCAGTTAGTGCAAGATTCTCTGCCCATCAGCTGCTAAATTAGAAACTTACATCTGTTGAATGGTAAAAAAAAAAAAACCAAAAAAACCCAGTGACTTGTAGTATGTGAATAAAATGGATAATATTCTCTGTACCAATTTGTATCAGTCTATTTTACATTTGTTTTGTGTTCTGAGTGTTTATCAAGGATCCTCTTGACATCAGCATGTACCTGAACGCAGGTCATGCTCCTTTCAAAGCAGTGTTCTGAAACCTCTCTCCAACCCCATGTGAGTCATCTCTGACTTGCCTTTCTTTCTATCTTTTATCACTGATTCTCTTCCTTCTCCAGCTGACTGAATCTTCTGAGGAGGTAACTAGTTTTTTCCCTAATCTTCCAGTCATCTGCCTAACTTCATGTAGGTATATAGAAATGAATGCTATAGCAGCATAGTAAACTAGCTTAATTCTGATCATATGTACATTCAAACCATTAAAACAATTTTTCCAACTTTAAACAGGGTTTTTAAAGTCACGTTTTGAAACCAGTAGAATAGGTTGTGGATAAACTTGTGATTGAAGATTTTGAGACTTAAGTGGGCATCTAAATGCTTAGAAACTCTGAGAAACATTTTGCAGCTTAAAGACCACCCAGACCATTCCCTTGCTTTGATACATAGTTGTTACCTTTGACTATTCCGGCACTGAGTGTAGGGTTGAGTGCTTTGCTTTGACTAGCAAGGGCACAAAGCATAGTGTAAAGAAATTCCCACCACCCAACAAAATAATTTACAAAAGCATTTGTTCATATTGATAGGAGATAACTATGTTAACATACTTTCTCATGATTGTATAAGCAAATTTACCTTGGCTAGCTTAGTAATTGCAAACAGGGTCCAATCACTTTGCAAGTCAGTTAACTTTTTTTACTTATTTTTCTTTCTGAAAGGAATTATTTGAAATGGATTCAGCAGATCTTACTTCTGAAAAAAAAGTGAAAAATTATTCTGCAACCATTTTTTGGCTTGTTAGGTATGCCAGGGAACACAGGCAGCCAAGGCTAAGTGGTAGACCACATGCTTTGCATGCAGAACGTCACAGGTTCTGTCCATTGCATCTCTCTTTGGAAAGCAGGGGGTGGGAGGGATTGCTGCCGGCTAGACTACTGGTCCTGCTCGTTCAGTGACCACTCCTGGTGAAGCCTGGCTAACGTGGGTTTTTTCCTGATCAGAGGGCCAAAGATGGTAAATTCTGTAGGGTGTTGATTTGTCATTCAGTGAGACCTCAGTATTACAACAATATAACACACAAACGTGTTTCTTGTGGAGATTAGTCTGAAGCAGTTAGAGGCCCACTTTCGGCAGTCCAACTGAGAAGTAGTGGTTTGCAGTGTGCTACCTATCTCTCTAGGCTTGGTATTTAATGTGTTTATGCAAGCGCTAGTCCACATTATAGAAGCACCAATTCCAAAGGGAAGGGATGTTTGCTTTTGTGTCAGCTTTAGAGACCCAGTGAACATAGTGCTATCATTGTCATGCTCATCTGTTGGTCTTTTCTGTTTGTGGAGTGCTATTTAGAAATATGCACCTCCCTCCATTTACCTAATGCAGCCCTTCTGTCTCAGCCACCTGATAGGGTTCTTTTGTCTCACTATTTATGAAACAAGCAAAATGCATTTCTTACAGGTTGCTACAATGATGCCTCTTGATGACGAACTGAAGAGATCTGGCTCTATGGATGAGAAACGATTGAGTTCTGGAATGGTGGCAGATTTCCCACCCCCAGCAGGGCGGGAGGTTATTTTGCGCACAACTGTCCCAAGGCCTGCACCTTATTCTAAACCTCTGCCTCAGAGAATGTACAGTGTTCTTACGAAAGAGGATTTCCGACTTGCTGGTGCCTTCTCATCTGACACAACATTCTTCTGATCTCACCATCTCGTCTGCTGATCAGGCCTCTTGTGCTGGTAGAAGTGTTTTGCTGGAAGAGCATGCCTGACAGGATTGCTCTGCCCAGTCCTCCAGCTCTGAGGATAGTCCTTTTCTAAACTGGTAAATAAGCATCCTCACAGACTAGTCATTCAAGAACAAAGCCAAACAGTTTCCCTGTGAGAGGCAGATAATCTTTTCTGCCCAGAGCCCCATTCTGTGAACTCCTCCACAGTGTTAGAGAGTTTTGTGGGATGTTGAGAACAGAATTACTGGTTTTCAGGTAGTAGTTCATTCCCAGTAAGTGAATCTGCTTACAGTAATAATGGACCTATTTAAAGTGGCATATACTAGCATGTAAAAGCAAAATATGGTGGTACTTGTAGAAATTTATGATGTTGTGTGAAAAGCTTGCTTTGTTGTTTTAATGCTAATCGAAAATGAGAATTAGGTATATAAGTGGGTTCATATGTATTTGTTAGCATAATAAAATACAACTCATTTGTGGGTCTACTTTGTTGTGTACCTTACTAACAACTGAGTGTTAGATGATATACTATATGTATAACATCATACCACCAGCATAAAGTGTATTATTCCATGTGGATCATGCCCTTTAAGCTCTAAATACTGCTATGTTGTTTATATATGTACTGAAAGAGGTAAAACTTTACTGGTTCTAATTGCTTTGTTGTTGTAAAGGGGAGCAGTCTATTGAATGTTGATAGTCAAATTTTTCAATCGCCTGCTCAGCATCATTTGGAAGTTTGAATGTGTGTTGTGGATGTCACAAACTGTCTATTTCCAAGAAAGCAAACAGAGATGCCAACCCTCACCTCCTTATCCAAGAACCTGTGGTAAAGGTAGATGTGGGTCTGAGCTCTGAAGTGTAAGACCATGCACCTGCTGCTGCTGCCCCTCCTCTCATTTCACAGAAGGTGAACTGATGAGGCTCAGATACATGCTTAAGAAATGACAATATAGAGGGGGGGGGGGTCATGCATGTGGGCAGCGACCCCACCCCAGCACCCAGGAACACTCCCAGGATGCTTCCATTCATAGCTTACCATTTCCCCCCTAGGCCCCTGGATGTACTTCAAAGTAAAGCTACATCTAGCCATCATTTTAATTTTTAAAAAAATATTAGCAAGGTTTAAGAAGTTTAATTCTAAATGACAGCTTTGGTTCCAGTTGTCACACAAGTTAGATCATTCTGCTATAATAGTTCCATCTCTGCTGCATTTCTTCAGGTACCAATCAGAAATGTTTTGAACAGAGCAGCTATTGGACACGCCTATTCAAAAATGCTACCTCAGATAGACCAATAGTGCAGCAATTACCAAAGCTATGAGCTTCATTTAGTGCACAGATACAGTATTTAAATTTGTCTAGCTTACTGGCAGCTCAAATTATGAAACTTTGAAGTAATTATGAAACTATAAAGTAAAGGTGTACTTTACCTTTTATTTTTAGAGCTGGTTTTCTTAGACTTCAAAGATGTCTAGCAAGTTCTTTGCTGTTTAGCCTCTATCCTATCCAAACTGCAACTAAATACTAAAGGGGAAAATGTAGGTGGTTTTCAGTTACGGTTATTAAAGGTTTTCAGGAAGAATATTTGGTATACCCTAACCCTGACTATAATTGCAACTCTTGAACTGAGAAAGTATAAAACATTTTAAACATTCAGGATTCAGAACCCACAAAAATATGTAGGCAGAGGAGTAGTCTGCTTTTTTCTTTTATTAGCTATGATAAAAATCTATCTGTCCTTAGTAGGAAACAAGGCAAAAAGCCAGTCAAGCAACACACCCCAAGGCTTGGATCCAGAATTACTGCCAGGGGAGCCTTCTGGGATTCCAAGGGCACAGGGGAGCTTGCAGGAGAGGAGGTGGATGCCCCAATGGAACAGTGATTCTACAGTGAACCCAGGAAATAGTTAAGCTCCCACCATAGGATTTTCAAACAATAGCCAATAACTGCTGAAGTACATGATTGACACTATCAACTATGCACAAGGTTCTAACAGTAGTTTCATAATTTCACAAAAAATTTGGTAATGTCTGATCCATATTTTGAAGCTTCGCATTGTCTCTTCATTTGGCTTCTTTCCTTTGCTTGTTTTGCTGTTCTCTGTAAAAGGAACGGTGCAAAAATCAGATAAAGATTCCTTTCACAACGTTGTGTCTACAGAGAGATTGGGATCAGAGATGATTGCTGTAGCCTAGAGTTATGACTTCAGTGAGGCAAACTGCTAAACTAACCAACATGTGCTGGTTCTACATACTCCCTGAGTATAAGATACACTATTACATCTTAAAGCAAACATAGAAATGGAGACTAAGATTCAGATCAACCAGGAGACAGTTACTTGCTTTGCAAAGAGACAGTCTTACTTCCTACTAGGCTAAAGTTAGTATGTTTCTAATGCTCAAGAAAAAACTGGTACTTAAGAGGGAAGAAAAGGGAAGAACTGTTGTGTGGCTGCCCCCTGTACTCACCTCTTTGTGACAAACTGTACATAGCGTTTGAAGATTTTCCAGAGAACACTGTCCTCCCCCACTGTACACTGGCTTGATATGATCCACTTGCCAGAAGTGACCTTCAGTTGGATTCAGTATAATGTCATTTAACTGAAATTACATAGGATATGAGGATAAGCTGCTGAAGTGTTACCATTCATTCCATTATTCATATGCAGACATGAGGCTTTCCCATTAGGAAGGGACTGTGTACATGCTTTCTCCTGCATGTGTTCAAAAGAACACTTCCCAGTTTTTGCGCTGATAATGGAAACTGTGGCATAAGTAATTCCTTCAAACCATGATTGCAATCATTAGAAGGGATCACCCAGCACAATGGCAGTTCAGAAGTTATGGCAAACTATGATTATATTAAGTTGGCTCTATGGGGCAAAGCAAAGAGAACATAGCAGAAACAGCTTGTTCCTGAGCCCCCAAATCATAGTTTGAAAGACCTGACATGTCTGAATGCAACTGTTACATGGATTTGACTGATTGTCAGCCTGCTTTGAGAAAAGTTAGACTCTCCAACTTTCAGTTCTTACAATCAAGAAAGAAAGGGAAGAGTCCACCCAGAGAACCAGTGTGGTGGAGTGGTTTAGTGTGGGGCTGGAACTCAGGAGATCTGGGTTCTAGTCGCCACTCAGCCATGGAGCTAACTGGGTGATTTACGGTTCATGTTGTGAGAATAAGATTGAGAGGAAGAGGAGACTTGCGTAAACTACCTTGAGTTTCTTGAATCCTAATAATTCAAGATCAGCACATGAAAAAAAGACTAATGAATATGTACATAAAGATGACTATGTTCACTGATAAATGTCTATGTTCAATAAACAATCTGTATTCACCTGTATTAAAGGAAGTCTGGACATCCAAGAGTTTTCCAGAAGACTCTTACGTTGATTTTTTGGGGCATCTCTGACACAGAGGTAGAGTTCTTGGGCATTCAAACCACACATCTGACAAACTCCATGTTCTATTTCAAAAACTTTGGTTCTCAGGTAACTTTGGCTGGTGCGGATTAAGAACTCATCCTGGCACTTAAGAGAACAAAACCGTGTATCCCAGGCAATAGAAACTGACATCTGTTCATTCTGGATTGCTGGTTTTTGGCAACTGAGGCAAAGGGGTTTCCCTTCATGGTCTACAGCTTGGACAAAGCCTTTGCCAAAGGAAGGATCTTCCAAAGTATCTATCAGGCTGGAGCCTGGGCAGTTCCCACCTTCTGAAGCCAACCTAAGATAAACAGGCAGCAGTTCCTTGAAAATTCCACAGGGGCAAAACCACACTTGTTTTATGCATTCAATTTCTAGAGCAGCTAACATATTTTCTATAAAACAATGCAAAGCACAGAATATTGAATGAAAGCAACAAGAAGCTCAGTAACATAAGCCATCAATAAATCAGTATTTTTAAGCAGCTGAAAACAATCAGAGTTTTAAAAACAACATACTGGAGAGATTTTAGAGAAGGTACCAAAGGAACCTGGAAAAAACATTAACATCCTGATAAGCAAACTAGCAAAAAGTGGACTAGAGAGAAAAACTATTAGGTGGATTCAAAATTGGCTGCTAAATGGGACACAAATGGGACACAAAGAGTGCTTATCAGTGGCACTGTCTCAAATGCAAGAAAAGTAACTTAGTGGGGTATAATTTGGTGTCCTGCAGGACATAGAACTCTACTGTTCTATGATTACCAAACCAGGGCCGTAGAAGTGAGCAGTCCCTAACACCCAGAATGTCACTGGGCATTCTAACTACACATCTGACAAACTCCAGGTTCTATTTCAAAACCTTTAGCTCTCAGGTAACATTAGATTAAGAGCTCATGCTGACATTTATGAAAATCCATGTATCCCAGGCTGTAGAAATGGACACTGTTCATTCTGGATTCTGATTTTGACAGCTGAAGCCTTCAAAGTAACAGACCAGAAATGAGTAGCAGTCTTTAAGCACCAGCAAGGTATGCTCCCAACAACCAGTCCCCTTCTCAGCTTCTCTGCTGTCTTCTAAAGGCACATACAATACATGGCAGTTTGTCTAAGCTGGAGGATACCAAAGCATGGATATTCATGCCAAGGCTCTCTGTCCAGTTGGGGCTACGCTAGATACACAAACTTCAGTTGCTGGAAGGGAACTGGTGTCACCAATACTACTTGTATTTTCAGAGAGCACTGTACCAAGTAAGCTCCCACAAACTGCATTCTATGGGAGCACAGCTCCATCCAGAATACCACCATTCTAAACAGACAAACCACTCACCAGAAATACCACTGCCTGTGCCTTTTCTCTCATGTCAGAACTAAGTGTGCTGGTCTAAGTCACCCTCCTTATTTACCCTAACACTTCTACCATGCTGAGTTTTGTTGATAAGCTACATCAATAAAGCTTTGGGGTCAAACTTGGCATTAATGTGGAAGGCCTAACTGGAAAAATGGCCCGTGAGGGACAGTGGAAACCACGGGCCTTTTTCACCAAGGGTGACAGCGGACCACCCTTCCGAACCAAGGAAACCACTTTTCTTCCATTTACTTAGCCGCTAAGGATGTCTACCACATTGCTTAAGTCAGGGGTCCTCAAACTTTTTCAACAGGGGGCCAGTTGAAAGGCAGCGGCTACACGTGTGGGCCGGTGAGGCACTGTTGGGTGCGCGCAAGGTGGTGGTTGGCGCGCACAGCGGCAGTGGCTCGCTCACTCAGAAATCTCCCAGCGAGTCCAAAACCTTCTTTGAGAGAGCAAGCCACCGCCTCCAGCCCATGCTGCAAGGCAGCGGTGAACGCGCATGCACGGGGAAGGCAGGCGGGGGCGGCTTGCTCGTTGGGAGATCTCCCAATGAGTCCAAAACCATCTCCAAATGAGCAAGCCACCGCCTCCCGCCCACGCTGTGAGCAAGCGCATGGGCCGGGGGCAGCAGCACGGGCCGGATGAATGAGCATGGCGGGCTGGATGCGTCCCATGGGCCGTAGTTTGAGGACCCATGGCTTAAGTGTTCCTAGATCTAATTATGCCCAAGGCTCCAGCTACCACTAGTTGTTCTGCCCTCCAACTCAGATACCAGCTACCACAAAAGGCATCAAAAGGTAGGGTAACTTTTACATTTAAAATTTCAATAATCTTATGCATTTCATCAATTAACAAAATAGTACAAAGATCTAAACAGAACAAAGCCTAGGAGGAAAAGCTCTTCTCCTGGGCCAAAACCAGCACGAAGTAGATGCCAGGCAAGTCTCTTAGAGCAGGGCACTCCGGAACTAGGCCACCTCTACCAAAAATGCTGTATTCCCTGGCTGCTACATAAGCACCTCATTTAGAGAAGGTGTCTGGAAAAAGGGCCTCAGAAGATGACCTTAAACTCTGAGTGTTTGTATATCCAGAATGTGACACCACACACATTGAAAGGCCATATAGTTATTAACATTAACAATATTTTCACTGCCACTGCTACACTTACTCTGCAGAAGAGTTGTCCTTTTTGCCAGCAAAGTCGGTGCTGATTTTTACGGCAGCCACAGATTTTTTGGTGACTATGCGTACACTACCGCCACTGCTGTTGGCTTGCTCTAGTGAAGCTTTGGCAACATCTTCTTTTGTCATGTATCTAGAATCACATTAAACATTCCATTTTAGTTTGCAGTTCAACCCAAAAACAGAGATAATTTCTCCAAAAACAATCTGGAAAATTAGATCATTTGCAGAAGCTACTTCTAATCTATTTTAAATAACATTCATTACAACAATATGAAAGCCATCAGTAAGGTGATGAGTTACTGATTTTCTCTTAAGCACATAGAAATTCAAGAGTTCTGAATTATTACACCACTGGTTTTGCTAAGGCTATTTCTATCACTGTTCCTCCACCTGCACTAAATGCAGTGTACAAACAAACTCCTTCCACAAATAAGAGGAGGATCAAGAGGAGATGAAATAAATGCTATACTTGGGAAAATATTGTTTCTACTGACAGACCTTTCAAGAACCAAGACACGAAAGAATGCTATCTTTGTAATTTGTCTGCCAAAAGTATTAGCTAGGGCATCAATTACTAAATGCAATTCAAGGTTAACCATCATATGATGCTAGACTCAGCCATCTCCAATGGGTCTGCTGAGCTCCTACCAATTAAATTGTGCAAATGAGACACTGCTTCTTATCTACACAGAAGGCAAAAGTACAGCAGCTGAACATCCTACAGATGGCCAGGAAGGAATTTCCCCACCTGATGAAATGGTGTGAGCAACAAGCTCTGGTGGGTTGTGTTGTGTGAACCTGGGCTGCTTTTCATAAGGCGACCTTTTGGAGGCCCAGAAGGCACCCTGACAACCCATGTCCTACTGCTGGGGTTCTTGTATCTGGCATATTATCCAAACCTGAGCAACTGACTCTACTGTGGTCCTCGGAAACAAAGGGAGAGCAGCTTGGCCTGCTGCTGCTGTACTGAGCACACTCAGGACACTGCCACTAACACACGCCCCACTGATGCCCCAGCAGCGCAGTGGAGTGACTGCTGCTGGCCTGGTGTTTCTCTGCCAACTGAGAGCTCTTCCGTGCTTCCTACCTGCTCTTCCCCTTCTGGCAATTGCTTTTCATGATCTCTGAGATGTCAGTCAGTGACAGCCCTCCAAAGTGAGAATCAGGGTTTGTTGACAGGGATAGAATGTAGAACCCTTCAAAAAACACCTTTTTTTTTTTAAAAAAAAAGGAAACCTGCATTTTTATAGCCAATCCTCAAACCTCTATGCTCCCATTCCTGGGGTGGCTTGCACTTTTCCACCTTCCCCAGCACTTACCTGCTCCTTTTGACTGAATTTTTAAAAATGTCTATTTCTGAGATTCTGAAAAAAGGCAGCAAATGAAAAGGAGCAATGATTGGAGCATGGAGGGGGAGAAAACATGGGTGTTACTCTGAGGGACTGGCTGGAGGACCAAGGAAGAAAGAGGGGGAAAAGAAGCTACTGTGAACCTTACACATATCATTTGCTGGGTACACCATGAGGTGTTCTGCAAACAACCCACCATTGCTTAACAGTTGCTGTAAACCTCTGTTCTGTATGTTTTGTTGTATTTTATTGTTGTTTTTAATGTGTTATTGGATTTATTACGGTCTTACTGTGTTTTTATCTCATGGTTGTGCTGTGGCACAATTGGGTGGTATGCAAATGTTTTAATCAAACAAACAAGATGGATTAGCATGATATTCAAACACAGCCATTGTGCCTGTGGATCAAGAAGCACTTTAACAGTCTATTTCTGGTTTCACATGTTCAGGGCACAGGGGGCCTCCCAGAATAAAGCAGAAGCCTCAGCTATGGCACTTCACTTGACTTAGTTTGACTGGGTCCCTTTGCACCTAATTTCTATGGCATGTTAGTTAATCTGTAATGGACTGTATTGGAGCATGGAAAATTGTCCTTCAAGAGAAGGAATAGCACCCATCTTCAGTTTTCCCCCAACTTTTGAATCTGAAGTTCCCTAAGAGCCTAGAGACACAGAAAAACAAGCATGTCACTAAATAAATCATAATAATAATGTGAAACAATGTAACAGCTTTTGGTGTAACACATTTGACCAGTCCTCTACCAGAACAGATGAAGGGTTCTCTCTACACACCTTTTGGTACTGCTGAGCTTGGCCTGCTGTTTTTGTAACAGCTCTTCAGCAACAAGGATGGGACTAGAAAATAGCAGGCTACTTTTCCTGATAATTCTCTGCTTCATGGCTGTTAGACTGTTCCATTCTCTTACAAATCTTAGTATCTAGAGGAGAAAATACAAAAACAAACTGAAATGCTAACAAATTTACCTGGAAGCATACATGAGCACTGGGTTTGGTCACCTAATGGAATGGTAGTAAAAAAGCAAATCATACATAAACTACTAAAAAAAGAGCTAACAAAGCCATCACTTGCAGGCACTGAAGTTCTTCAATAGCTGAAAATAAAGTTAATTGCCTATAATCCTTGTTCTTTAAGAGTCAGTCTCTCTCACTCACCCACACACTCTTACACTTCCATCAGATTTCCTAAGTGTTCCAGAACAATACAGTTTGATTCAGTGGTGAGCAGAAATGGTAACATCCACAGGGATGAACTTTTGTTGAGGACGATCTCGTTACACACAATACATTATTTGATGAACTTTGCGGTCTGAAGTTAATCTAGGATTAATTTATGGTAACCATCTTCTAAAATATGTTGTTGGACTCCCAATTCCCATCAGCCCCAGTCAACATGACTAAATTTTCAATGGTTTTTGTCTTATTTTTGGGTTTTATCTATTTTATTATGTTTATTTTGGATTTATTGAATTTTCATAGTTTATTATTTTATTGTTTTTGATCTGTTAGTTGAGTATTGTCATGTTGCCTTTGCATTGCTTAATGGATTTAAATATGGTCTAAGTCACGCAGCAAGTCTATGGCTAATGGGGTCATAACTCGAATGAATGAATGAATGAATGAATGAATGAATGAAATACGATGATGATGAGAGTTGGAGCCCAATTTCATCCATAGGGGCAAAGGTTCACCTCCTCAAATTGAGGGGTAGCATATTTACATGTACACTGGGAGCTGGCATAGCATGATATTTAAGAGCCTGAGCTATGATTCAGGAAGTGCCCAGTTCAAATTTCACTTTTGCCATGAACTCATTAGACTGTCTTAAGTAAGCCGCTCACTCACACCCTCAGACCCTCTCATCTGAAAAGTGGGGATAATGGTGATGCTGTATAATCTATAATCCTTGTAGCATCATAAGTGTACCAAACACTTGGAAGCACTAAGCCAATGTTAATTGTTGCAATGCATTTGTAACGACCCCACATATTTCTAGCCTCCTTGTTTAGAGGCTGCTAAAAACATACTTGGAAATAGTTTTTGGAATTTTGGCACACATATTCGTACATTCATGTGAATTCTATATATACATGAATGTTAAAGTCTGCATGTGTTCCAACTATATTCAGCATTCTCTGAAGTCATCCATTTTAAACAACCAAGATCAAGAATGAAATGGAATTTGTGAATGCACCCTTCGAATTCTACCTGTTTGCTTTTGTTAAATGTCACTGTCCATTGCTGCTAAGTTAGTTCTTAAAGAAATGATTCTATCAACAGAACTGAGTTACTGATTCTACAGATGGAAAGTTTAATTATACAGCTGTGTGTACATACAGACGAGAGAAGTGTGATTTTTTTTTTTTTTTGGTTAACCAAAGAAACAGGAGGGAAAAAGCAATTAAGATCTGTATATGCCTAGCTAATAATTAAAAACCTGAGATCAAGGCAGAACATTTTCTTAATTACATGGAAAAGCACAAGCCCATGCTCTGGGCATTATTTATAGCTACTCCCGGAATCACTAAATTGATCTTACCAATGAACGGTTCTGTTTTTGTTGAAAACACTCTGGTAAATCTTCCCAGTTATCTAGTTTTATATCCAATGGAATGAAATTACAATTCAGAGGCTCTCCATCCTGGATGAATCAAAGAAATGTTCTTTAATCTCCTAAATCAAGAAAGCATTCAGTTCTCTGAAGGTTTGAAGGAAGTTGCTAGTTTATTCTGCAGCCCATTGAACTTCAATGATTCATTGGTGCTGCTTTTTACGATGTAGCAGAGTACAAAACTCATGCACCTCACATTTTAGCCAACTGCAAGATACGTACTGTTTGATTCCTAGCAAGAAGCAGCCTACTTCAAGTAACAGTAAAAATATACAAAACAGAAAAAACAATCAAAGCAAGGCTATCATAATACCCCATGCAGACTGCTTTCTGTGGTACATTTTTCTACACTCAACAATAAAGCAATACATGCATTAAATTTCCTTACTAGATTCTTTTAATAACCATCTAAGCTAGCCGCTGGATGCCAGCTCAGCAAGAGCAGCTTTTCCTGCCCATTTTCCTCCCCACAATGGGAAAAGGGGCCAGTCAGGCAGAGCAAGGTGCCAGGAGGATCTTCGTTCTGCCATGCCCAGAGGGAGCCAAATAAAGCCAGGGGTTATCTTCACACCTCCTTTCATGTCATTTGGGGGCATTTGGCCCCATGACTCTCCTTCCCATTTGGAACTGCATGTAAACCTTCCACAAGGATCTCCCTAACCCCAACCCCTTTCCTCCTTCCACATAGCTATAGCTGATCTCTTAAGCAGGCTATATTGCCATGTTCAACGACGTCCCAATCTATTCGCGTGTTCCAGTCAGTATCGCCATTCCCCCCACCCAGATGTATGTTCTAGAAATGAATATGACATCAAGTATGAGCTCACGGATATGTTGATTGCTCCCAGAGGCAAAACGTGTTATATTTAATATTGATTTATTGCATAAAGGAGTATCAATAGAAAACACCTGGGGGGGATAAAATAGGCAACTTATCATCTCATTGTTATCATTGTTATATTGCAATTGGCTCCAGTTGGATAGACACACAGAAGAAAGAAGCTCCTGAGACACCCATTCACAAAACCCGTCAGCCCACAGTGGGTTATTCAATCCATGGTGAGAGTGCAGCATGTGTAGCTTTCATTTTCAGAATGCAGCCCTGCTTGAAGAGAGTCATCTTGTGCCACACTTGTGAGCATGGGTTAGGTGAAGGCTGAACAATCTCCACAGAACCCACAGTTTGTTTAGGGTTAGGCGAGGTTTACTTCAGATTTAACAGTCACATAATCCACCCTTGCTAGGTTTGCATGACATGACAATCCCTTCAATAGGTTTGCGCATGAAATCCAGAGCTTATAGGTGCACTGACTCTTCATGAATTAAACAATCCATGATGAGCTGCGAGGTGCCAGCAGAATCCATTCAACAGCTCAGATCTGGGCAGAACGGCACTTGTGTTTGTGCAAGGTATCACCATGATTTTTGCCCAATCCCCCCTCCTGGAGTTGCTGCATTTCCCTCTATACCCCCATCTTGGTGCAGTCCCTCACACCACATCCCTTGCTATTTTAAAGACCCCCCCCCCTTGGTTTTCAGGACTTACTTTTCAGACTGTGAAGGGTCCCAGTGGGGTGACAGAGCAGAAATGATGCATGGGCGGTTTTCTACCTGCATTTGTTTGGATGCAAGCCAGGAAATAATCACCTACCTTTGTGTAGACATGAATCCTGTCAGTATTTTTACTTGCACAGAACTTCAGGCCACAATATGCTGAGAAGTGCTCCGGATCCTCTAAATGCTCTAGAAATTAAAGTTAAGCAGTTTCGGCTTAACTTCATACTAATTCATGTTTATTCCAGTATAACAAACAGGCCAACACACCCCAGCTACCAAGAAACCTTTACATTCTCCTTTACCATGGGACAAGGCTGAGGGAAGGGCTTTCCAATTTATTTATCAATGCTAGTACAAAATTGCAACACAGTAGCCAAATATTGGAGGATAATTTGGGGCTATAGATAGTCCTGTTGTGAAGGAGAAGCTGCACTATGAGTTATCTGGTTGTAATGCTATACACGCTTTTCTAGGAGTGTGTCAGACACGTATAAGGTTACACTGTTAATAACACACATGACCGTTCTGAGATGAATGAGTCAATTATTGGACACATACCAAAAGTTATAGGAAAAAATCTGCTACATATTACTAATCACAATAGTAACGTACAACATCTATTTATAGATACATTGCAGGGCAAGTTTTGGATCAAGATGACACACCACTTCTTCCGTCTTAATGGCAAAGCACTTCATGGTGTTTTTAGTAAGTTTAGCCTAGAGAGACAAATGGCTTCATCAAACAAATTTTATTGGGAAGTGCCGCTTTCCAGAAGTAACCCATTAAGAGGGCTCCTTGCAACATGTCTAAATAGCTAGACTACAAATGGTCACCATGCCATGAACTCTCCAGATTAATGGGGAGTCAGCCTATCCCTTAAGTGCCAGATGCAAACAACAAGGTGTTTTGGGTTTGTCTTGGTTTAGTTTTTGGCAATTCTGTCACCATCTTCAAATTATTTCCTTGGAATTATTGTTGCTTAAAGGACACAAGGCCTCTCTCGGGCTATATATAACATTAATGTATCTTTTTAATGTTTTATGGTTTTATTTATTTAGGGGGGATTGGTTCCATTGAAAATGTCTGTTCGGATGACAGATGGCCACAGTTGGGTAGCACCCGTTCTCATTGTTCCACTTTGGTAGATGATATACTTACAATGATTCCCCAGTGATGGAAATACACAGTACAGCAGTAGCAAATTCTTAAAAACATCTAGTTAGCTACATACTTGCAACAGGCTCCTAATCATCTGTCCCCCAAACAAAATCCCTTTTGCTTACCTTCTCTGAGCTCTGACTCGCAGCAATTTGATTGTTTACTTGCAACAATGGCAGTTTCTTTATCAGTTGCATTAGATATCCCAGGCACTGGCTCTGCTAAGTTATTCCTCTGGCCATCTTCACTGGTCTTCTCTGCACCATTAGGACTTACGTTTACTTGGGCTGCATTTTTTTCCACACTCTCAGTAGAGAGAGAATCATTGATCCAACTTCTATCTTGTCTAACTATATTTTTTAAAAAAGAAGAGAAAGAACAATAGTTAGATTTCCTTTACATACAAGTAGAAACTGCAGTTTGTAACAAATCCTAGAACATATTCCTAGTGCTCCTGTTTATGGGTGCACTGCACACTTTCCAGAGCATCTAAAGTCTTGGAAAAGGGTGGAAAAGATACAGGAAACTGAGAAATGTCAGACCCAAAAATACCCAAAGACAAAACAAAGAACAAAGCAAAAAGGTGATATACACAGAATTCCCTTTCACAAGCAAAAATCTTCTCACAGTTTTGCTTTCACTAGATAGCTCTCTATTTGACAGCTGTCAAAGAAACAAATTAACCTATTTACAGTCTCTCTTGGTCAACGCCAATGGTCAGTGCCCACTGCAGTTTGACAGCAGACATTTCCCAGGACATTAAACAGGAAAGGCCTTTCATTTTGGGCCTACATGAAAAAAAGTTCATGTATGCATTTAAAATAAATACAATTACAAATGTCAAGACCAAACAAACTAAAACGTGCATTAATTGCCACCATTTAAAAACAAAAACAAAAAAAAACAGAAAGCCACATACTGGTTTGACTCCATACAAATCAAACTGAACCCAGGAGGTGGGGGCAGGTAGAGGAACAGAATGACTTCTGGAGGGTCAATCCAAAAATATCCATCTTGTTTTCGCCCCATCCCTAGTGCTAGCTTCCTGTTACATACGAGGCTGTCTCATTAATCCAAGGGCAGCTCTGGATGCTGCCCATAACCTTTGCAAGGGATGCTTTTTTCCCTTGTCTGGGCCCTGTTCATCAGTCTCTGGTTCTATCTCCCTTCCCCACTGCTAGACAACTACTTAATTAAGCATAGGCTTTTGCTGCATTTTGGTATATTCAAAAGGTGCAGAACCTCAGGGCTCCCTGAAAGCCAAACTTAGTTCTCCTGGGTTCCCCAGATAGTTCTGTCTCTTTCCTCTAACCCAACAAGTTTCATTCAAGAGTGACTGCAGTTGACCAGCAACCACGCACTCAAGCACCTTACCCTGGGAAAGGATGTTTGCTGCTGGCCTGGGGATGAAGATATCCCAGTTCTATTGTATTCAGTTTTATAGTTCTGTGTTCATCCATTTTACTGCTACATGTTTTAAACTTGTTCTCCACGTGTTGACTGCCCAGAGTGCCCTGCTGGCTATGGGGCAGTATACAAATGTAACGAGCAAATAAATAACTGACTCCTTTAGCAAGGATAGGCTTGTTAATGCCACACAGAGAGCCAGTGTGGTTTCGTGGTTAAGAGCATGACTCTGGCAATCTGGGTTCTAGTCCCTGCTCAGCCTAGAACCAACTGGGTGACTTTGGACCAGTCACAGATGCTAAGTCCAACCGACCTCACAGGCTAGTTCTGGGGATAAGGTTGAGAGCAACAGAATGCTGTAAACTGCTTTGAGTTCTTTAAAAAGAAAAAAAAAAGGCTGGGTATAAATCTAATATCATGCATGCATCTATGTATGTATGTAAATAAGGGTAGGAAAACATTCACTAAAGGAGGAGTTTACAACCACTTGGACCCAGCCAGACATTCCCTCTGTACAGGTTGCAATAAGCCCTGAAGCTCAAACATGCAGGTGGTCACCCAGGCTTGGCCTAGCTGTTTATCTACATTTCCAGGTCACAAACAACTGAAACCCACCCAATATAACCCAAACCAGATGATGCTCTACTACAAATGGGACTGCATTAACTATGGTGCCTTAAGTCATGAAATCTGAACAACTTTATCTCCAGAAAGTCATACAAACTGGGCAGTGTCCACTGCAGCAGGTCATGAACGACACAGAAAAGAACCACTGGACGATACTGAGAAGATACAACCATTGTGGAAAAGAGCTCCCCCCCCCCCCCCCCCCAATCACCACCAGAGTAGGCTTCATAACGAGCTCCAAGCTGCGTTAGTCAGATTTGGAACACAGCTTTTTTCCCATGCTTTCTATCCACACTCCCCCTTGCTTCACTGCCCTTAGCCAACCTGTTTACCAAGGAGTTGGCTGGGATCTGCTGAGATGGAAAAGATGCTTGTGTATGACCATGTCAACTGGGTGAGTCATCTCCACATTCTACGAAGTGATCGGTGCACTAGCTGCACTAGTCGGAAAATTTCCCGGAGCCATCTGGAACCCATTAGCCTTCATGGGAAGACTATTTTAATAGGTAACAAGCAGTAAGTATGCTGTCATTTTTGCCCCTGCCAACCACTGTGCCCCACCTCTGCTCTAAGTTTCTCTAAAATGGAATATTTTATCCTTTCCAAATAATAAAAGTTCCAGGACTATTACCTATCAAATATATAGGTAATTATGTAAAATAACCAAAGTCAAGAATAGGGACAACTTGTGGAAACCGTACATTTTCTAAAATGAACTGACAGTACCATAGAAACTCCACTCCTATGATGAACCACAAAATCTACTTCCTGGTATCAAGGACAGCCATTGGCTGTGAAATCTTGCATTCTTTGGCCAAAGTAAAGCATCTCATGTATGCACACACCAGATTCTCCTTCAAACATATTTTTATGTTATTTTGTCCCATTACAAATACCTATGTTTAAAAACACAAAGTTTTAAGTGGAGCACTGTTTACTTACTGTTCCTTCTCCGAGGAGATTCACACATTTCACAGTAAGGCAGCAATGAATTATTAGTATAAGTACAGAGACCACAGGGCCAAGCTCCCTCAGGAGTAGGTACTTTGCTTGAATTAGATAATGGAGTAACAAAATCCTCTTTGGCACTCTTTTCTGTAAATGAACAGTTTGTGCTTCTAAACAAAGATTTCTTCCCTTTCTTAGAGGAATGCTTAGGAGTAGATGGATCTAAGCCTCTTGGTCTTTTTGCTTCACTATGCAGAACATTCATCTCAGAGAGCCCCTTGGAATCTATGGATCCACCATTTTCCACATCCTCTTCTTCTAACACTTGAGAAAAATCTGCACTCAGTCCTGAAGACTTGTCACAAGTAGTCATTTTTCGTTTTTTCTCAGTATTTGTTTTTGGTGAAAGGAAGGTCCGGATATCATGCTGCTTTTCCTTTTCAAACTAGAGCAGAGGACAAGTGAGCAGTATCTAACACAGAAAATTCTTCAAGTTATTAATTGCTTTCATCTTTTCCAATAAGAGAATTTACCAAGAGGCAGTCTTCTTTTAGTAATGGAAATGTGTTTTAAGAGACAAGTTGACAACCTTTTTTTATTATGAAGAAATTACAGCCATTATTCCAGGAAAATTGAAATGAATCACTGTTAAAATTCTGAATTACTCTGTTATTAAGTCTATTATTTTAGGCCTATGCAAACTGGCAAACCCAACTGTGCACTTATCTTGCAGGGGCTTGGCCTCCCATAAAAGGTTGTGCACTATCAGATGTGTACATTCCATTCCTCAATTTCAAAGCCTATATATTAAATTACTATTTTAAAGGAATTATGGATACATCTTGATGTTAATAGACTTTCAGTGGGCTATCCCATCACTTGGAATTCTAACTGCACATGGGTTACTATGAAAATCAAATAGCTATTTAATACAGAAGAACATAAGAAGTGCCAGATCGGACCAAGAGTCTATCCTGCATTCTGTTCACACAGGGGCCAACCAGTGCAGTTGCTAATTGCATTTTGAGCCTTGTTCATTGCTATGTGGCATCAAGATGTATCCATAGTTCTTTTAAAAACTGATGAAATGAGCTGTAGTCACTTATCCAAGTGATGACATTTTGGAATAAAATTATGGTAGGGGATCAAACTTCCAACCAGCTTTACAATCATTGATCCAAGAATTTTGAAGCTATATCAAGGTAGAAAGAAATCACAATTGCTAGGAGCTGATTTTGTCTGGCACAGAAATTTCCACACCATGAACCACTCGAGTAAACAAGAACGTTGTAGTGTGTTATGTGCCTAAATGTAGGCAAATAGGAATAAGGACTTTGCTACTCCAAGCAGTTGAAGTAAAAGTTTCCCCCATTCCCTCCAACATGTTTGTTGGCAACAGAAGTCCTGTATGGGCTTCCCATGCTGGATCACACGAAGGGCATTCCCATGATGGACCCTCTCAATACAGTTAATTGCCAAGGGCTATATTTGCTGGCATTAAACATATTACACTAGTGGAAACAAAGACTGGTGCACCTGGGAGGTGGCACAATCCTGGAAATAAATCCCAATTAGCACTTCTAGAGAGGGACAAGTCAACAGAACTGACCTGACAGAGCTCTGCTGATGCATCCTGCTCCATTACCACTAGCACTAATTGGTGCCAGTTCCTGCCCAACCGGCTGGCAAGAGCCAGTTTCTTTTGCACCATGTCACAGCAGCAATGAATACAGCCCCATAAATTTAAATTATTCGAAGTCTTTTTTAGGTATCTTAATCCAATGATAAAATAACCCAGATTTAACATGTTGCAGACGATACAAAAATGTGTACAATGTTCTTTGACTCTCAGGAACTGTAAGCCAAAACAGGAAGCAAGAGAAAACAGAACTTTAGCCCCAGAAGCACAGAACATGTGCTTTATCATTACAGGCTTACATGGGTGAATAAGACCTCGCTCTTTATCTCATATAGACTTTCATTCGGGATCCAAGCTTCAGCAAAATTCAGAAAATCCCACTTCTCTCGGTCACCTTCCTGAGCTTGCAATTTCTCTTTTTTGCCATTCAGTGTTGTTCCTGTAACTCTGGCCTATGGGGAGAAGAGTGAAGAAACATGGCATATTACATTTTTTTTTAAACACCATCTATTGCCCATTCTGTTAATCAAACAACTGTCTAACGTTGCTCTACTTTTGATTTCCACTTGCCATGAAACCTGTGCGTTCTACCCTAAAGCTGAAGACAGGGCTAGGTAACAGATATTTTCAGAACCAGAGGATGCAGCACTGGTTTTTTTCTTCAACCCCAACCTAGGTACATACAACACCTGCTAAAACCACACTGAAAGTCTGCTACATTCTCACTCATTATCTCAAGACAATGATTAAAAATAGACTCAATGACTTCACCACCAGCCACCATTTTCCTCCTCCTTAAACTTGCTTAATTTATCTCTAGCCTCAAGAAGTGGTCTGGGAAGCCCAAATAACTATTTTGTGAGCTTTGAGCTGGCCTAAGAAAGATATTGCCCTAATAGGCAGTTTGGAGTGGTATGGGGTAGATTTATCCCAAAGCATTGCAAGAGTCAGCATGGAAATACTGACTGCTCAGCTTGCCCAGCTAGTCAAAAAGAAGTGACCTCTGCCATGCAGTTTGATGGATCACTTCATTTCCTTCTGCTAGCACTATTTGATACCTGTACTGGTAATGAAAGAAGATACTTTCTTTCCTGCACAGCTAGTATGGAAACTAATGATCAATAAAAACAGGGCCGTCTCTGTTATTAGCTTACAATCTTGAATGACATGACCCAGTGTAAACAGGGTGAAGAGGCAAGACAAGAAAACACAATTATATCTCTATTTAAACATATACCCAAACATTAGCTAATTCTGTAGCCAACAAAAATAAATACTAAAAAGAAATAAACGCTTCATATTCTTGGCCTTTTCTTTGAATTAACACTATATGTGTCACATGAATCATAAGATAAATGCTTTGAAGAAAGAAAGACAAGTCAGGAATTGATTGAAAATTGAGGCAGTGGTACTATGGACATGCAGAGCTAAGCCTGTGGAGGCAGGGACTGCCAACATTCAGGTTGGCTATCATACCTTTCGGTTCAGTATTGCCCACATAAGAGGGTCCAATGTTCCATTTGCAATAAGGTAATGAATATTCACAGAATTGCACTGTCCAATACGATGCACCCTGTCTTCTGCTTGCTTGATATGTCCAGGATCCCAGTATAATTCAGCAAATACAACATGAGTAGCAGCAGTAAATGTTAAACCCTGAACAAAAGGAGGAAATGAATATTTACCAGATTATTTTCCCAAAGTAAATAATATTATTATAATTCTATTATTATTTTGCAAATCACCACTCAACTGTGCTGCTTGGGTTTGGATGACACAAATCATGCCTGGCATATGCTGTAGTCCACTGTGGCTTAAATAAGCGGTAAGAGGCTCTCTTGACTGTATGAACTAGGTTGCTACAGCAGTATTATCAGAAAACACAGGAATAGGCTTGGGTTCCTGTTCTAAGTCATGGGAGAAGCTGCTTGACATTTCTGTCAGGACTCAACAAATTTCAAGATCAAAACATCAATTTGCATAATGAATGCCATCTTCTGGCTTCATGCTCTGGTCAATTTAGCTTCCCTAAGCATGTACATTTACCTGGGTTTTTTTCCTACATCATCCACAAATTCACAAAATCAAGTTTTGCCCATCTGGGTCCTACAATGTTCAAGTCAATGGAACACATTTAATAGTTCAAGTGCCACAAGCTTTAACAGTCTCTCAGAACTATCTGCAGAACCTCTGCATTTTTATTCTTACCTGACCTGCAGCCTGAATGCTCAAAATGGCCACTCGAGTTTCTGGATCCTTCTGGAACTGATTGACAAGGTTAATTCTTTCCGCTGAAGGCACACTCCCATCTATCCGAATATACCGAGCCTGTAACATTACAAAAAGGAAAAAAGAAAGAAAAACAGATCATCACCTGAAGCTAAATTAAAGGGAATGCTTAACTTTAAGCAAGGGTAAATTAAATGATGAGGCAACAAAAAATGTTGGCCAGGTTGCTAGCTGTGCCACTGAATAGTTTTACCTTGTTCACCCAGCATGATACTACAGGGCTGTTTAGATAGTTTGCCCTCACCCTCAACCGACTGAAAGCTGGCCTTGGGTTCACCACCCTTCTTCCATCATGACAGGAGAGGGTATTTGTTGAAATGGCATTGATGCATACTACAGTATTCAAAGCATTTATACAGTTTTTTAAATTAGAAGGGTTCCCAAAGCAGCTTACTGTTGGAAATGGGAGCAGCAGCTGTTCTTTGCACATATTTCAAGCTCATGCCTATCTGGAATCATCAGCAGGGGAGCAGGAAAAGGAGGCGGAATTGGCCTGGGAATGTGGGGCTTCAGACTTTGAGAGGAGAAGCAGGGATGCTTATTCTCAAGGCCATCCTTCCCAAGTGCTCAGCCAGGCTCTAACCAAGGTGTCAGGTGGGGGCTTAGGAGAGGACCCCTCAGACAAACCAGGTATGACTCGTGACCCCATGATGCAGTGCTGGAAGAGCAGAGCTAGCCAATTAGAGGGTTGGCATACAGAAAAAGGCCATGCTCACTTCCACATGGGCCCTCCAGAAGGGATCAGGCCCAGACGTACTCAAAAGGAGAGTTTCCAGAATTACTTGTTTTGATTGAGTTCAACAAACCACTCTGTGCATCCTCAGAAACTGATTGTGGTGAAGCGAGAGCTTTTTGCAAAAGAACAGTCTGTTGCCTTCAATGTATGAAGGGAAGAAAACCCCACCTCACAACACATACAGGAAAAAAAGAGAGAGTTCCTGCCTTCAGGTTTATAATCTAGAGAAGGCCCAGTACAAATGGAAAAAGGGGTGGGTAGGGAAAAGAAAAACATGGAAACTTAGGCATTTATACTTAACAATTATAAGGTTCTTACCAGCTGTAATTCAGCTGGTCTTATCATGCCCAGCTGTAATAGAAATACTTCAGAGTCAACTATTAAGTCTCTTCATCTGTCCACTGAGCTGGATGGCCCTATTTCTTATCTCTCCTTTTTCTTCTTGATCAAAGGCTGCTGCTGACAGCTGGGCAAGAGGCTAAGCCGATGAAGCTGGCTTCACAGGAGGCCGATGACCACTTTCCTTCTCTGCCCCTGCTACCACCTAATGACACTTTAACTAGTACAGTCCTAGCTCTGAGGAGTCTACAAGCCACAGCTGAACATAGATGAAGGGGAGGAAAGTTGAGGGATAAACAGATGAAGAATGTGCATGATTTGCATTTCCTTTGGCTTAGTTACAGAAGTGTATGGGGATAAAGGGTATTGCAGTAAAGGCTTCCAGAAGAAGTGAGTTTTGGGGATGCAAATGTCAGAATGTGCATAAATGAAAGCAATTATGCAAACAAGGTTAACGCAGCAGCCAAGATGCTACAGACACAAACACGTGAGTATACTTTTAAGACCTTTAAAAGATAATTACTGAAAAGAATCTATGTCCAGGTTTATGGTTGGATAATAAGCATCCCTTAACAGCAATCTAACCCAGTGAGACAAATTTACCTTGCTTTCTATCACTGCCTCCGAACATGCCTGCAGCATGCTTAAGTGATGGGCAAAGACTAGAAACTTCAGTTTGTCATTCTGCAGCAGCATTTTGATATAATCCTTTACTGCTCCTGCCTAAAAAACACAAGGCATATTGGCATTGCATGAAATTAAAAAGAAGAATGTTAAAAGGAAGCAATTTGTGTGCTCATATACAAAATAAATTACTACAAAATACATGATAATTTTTATTTAGTACATCAAGTACATCAAGGGACCATCAGCAATCCAGGATATCATATCCTCTTACAGGTATATCTTATTGCTCCCTAAATTCTTCCAAAGAGCTTTGCATTCCTTATGATCAAGGCACAGAGTAGAAAGGATATACATGCACATACGTACATGTGCCCACACATACTCGAATGCTAAGGTGCCTTGTGCAAGTGAAAAGTCACTTCAGCTTTTGCAAAGCAACCGTAATTTGCACCAAGTCCTCCTCTGTTGGCCATCTGTCATCCTGCATCTCACCGTGCTCCCAAGGATCCCTGATGCTCACTTGATAACAGTTCACTGTTATAGTTCTCAGGAAACAGCCTTGGATTGGCAAGGTGTTCTACATATAGGACGCAGTAGTACAGTTCTTTCAATGCATGTTAAGAAATGAAGGCATTTCGAGATTACCTTGGCAGTGGCAGTCTGTTTAAACATGCGTGTAATTAGGCCCATCACCTGGGAGAAGTCACTGTCTGCAGAACCTAATTTTGAACCCCTCATTAATTTCTCCCACTCTTCCAAACTAGCATTTAATTCCTGCATGGGAGGGAACAACAATATTTAGAGGAGAAAATGTGAAAGAGGAAACAATTACAGGTTCTCTGAATCATTCCTTGCTTTTGCTACAGAGGAGGAAAAAGAACAATACACACTGCAAATAAAATGGTCTTCCTTAGGCAGCAGTGTTGGCGCAGAGAAGTGGGACAGTCAAATGTCCCTCCCAAGTAGAGAAATCTGAGGAAAGCCAGCGACAAATCACGAAATAAAATGGAGAAATCATTCTGACTGCGACATAAATCAACTGCTAGACATATTCTTTAGGTCTCAAAAACCTCTGAAACCTCATTAAGAAATAAAAGCAGCAATGCAATCTGGTCTTAGTGCTGTACTTTGCAGTGCCAATTTTTCAGTGTTCTACTTTACAGATCAATGAGTGCTGCATATATAATAAACAAATAGTGCTTTAATGTGCATATTAATTATTTTAAAACATGAAGAATGCTGTTTTTAGGTGTGCTATGCTAGTGAGAATTTCATGGTTTCCTCCTATAAATCGGATCTTACACAGACAACATTCATTTTGAAACTTAGGGATAAATATTTTCTATTCTTTCAAGTATTCAAAAGTCGAAGCGAAAAAAAGAACATTAATAGAATTACGGCAGTCAATGTAAAATGAGACTGTATCCAAACTTGCATATCCACCTTTACAAGGAAGGCCTCCACAGAGGGACCAGGAATCCAGCATAGGTTTACTGCTGAAAAAAATGGGGGGGGGGGGTTCCCTTTTTTCCTGCATACCCCAGTGCCCCCTAGCATGGTATGAGGTGCCAAGTGCACTCTAGAGAGACTAAAAGTTTTACCTCAAGACACTGTCAAGTTTCTGGAGAGTTTATTTTATACATTTATATATTGTTCTATATATAAGGTGCCAAATAGTTCAAAAGACTCCCTGGGCAGCATACAACAGTCAATAGTAAAAAATATACTGCAAAACATTAAAAGCCATCATCAAAATATAAGCAAATTAATAACAAAAACAATTTAAGTCATTCTAAAACATGACAAGAATGGGCAACCATAAAAATAATAAAAGTTCAATAAAATTAAAAACATCTAAAATTAATTATTAACATCAATTATTGAAACTATTATGATGCATAAAGAAATGTTTTTGCCTGGTGCCAAAATGAAAGTTGGCACCAGGTGAATTTCTCTAGGGAGCCTATTCTACAGGTCGGGGCAGCCACTGAAAAGGCCCTTCTATTTACCATCCCTCTCACCTGCTTGAGGGATGGCCCTTTCAGGATGGCCTCTTGCTCAGAACGTAATGGTTGGGTAGGCATGTATGGGTGGTCCTTCTGGTAGCCAGGTTCTAAGTAGTTCAACCATATCAAGTATTGTTAAAGTAGTCAAGGAGATACTGAAATCATAGGATACTCAGATGCCACCCAGAAAACTTTCTCATTTTTCTGAAAAGGTAATATGCCACTTACACGAGTCTCTTTCTCACTAAAAGCACAGAGGCTGCACAAAAAGGCAGAATCCATGCCAGGCTTTCTGCCTTTGCTCAGTCAGAATGACACTCCCCTGTACATTGTAGGGATTTTTTGAAGCTCAGAAACTGAGGTTCATGACAAGGGCAGCACTGAAAATAACTGCTGAATACATACTGCCTAGTCACACCATGAAAGCTCTCTGAGCACTTTGTATTCTACAAACATTCACTATGTACATAAAAATGCATCCCCTCCCCCTGTTCACAGTTATTGGAGGACTTCTTTGCCAGAAGCAGAATGGTTGTTAATCACCCATTAGTTTACCTTAGCAACAGTTTGGGGAAGATCAAAAGGAATTCGTTGCCTGATTTTAGGTGGCAACTGAGTTAAAACTTGATTCTTCATTCGCCGAATCATCACATTACTTAGTAACTGGTGCAGTTCATCTAAATTTGAAGCTCCTCTGCAGTCCCACTGTCGTCTCTTGCCAAAAAATCTGGAGACAAATGAAAAATAGGATAGGTAATTTAAATAGGCATCAGTGAATACTTGACTTGGCAAAGAGGAAGCACACAAGGATACCAGATCAGTATTCCATACCTCTGGGGAAAAGCGAACAACATACATAGGAAACTCTACTGCCATTATAGCACTGGTCTGGGATGGTTGCTTTCGTTTGTTTTAATTTTAGCAGGAAACTCAAAGCTGGTTCAGGAATGAACATGAACACACACACACACACACACACACACACACACACACACAGCTCAAGTCCACTGACATTTTATCCTATGGCTCAAGTCTGCTTGCAAAAAGCAAAGCATGTGTTCAGTCAAATGTTATTGCTGCCAAAGGCTGCTTTAGAACATATACACTGTTAATTTATCATGTATGGTTGGCGCTGTTCAATCCTGCCATAAATAGAGTATTCCTCAAAATGCCTCCTAGAGATGCCCATATGTGAAGTTCAGTATGTGCAAAGAAATAACATGGGGAAGATTTGGTGCACATGAAAAAGCTCTTGGTTGGTTTTCAATTCCAACCCAGAAAGTTATGCACTCAGTGAGTGGAAAGGATTTGTATTGCTCCTGCTCAAATCACAGAAATATTTCTTAGCATGGGACTGTGCTTGCACCAGAAACAGCAAGAGTGATGTTTAGCTCAGAGGCTTAAGCAAGCTGTTGCTCTGCAGAAGCTTTGGACTACAACTCCCAGAATCCCTAGCCATCAACCATACTCCCAAGCTTAAGGGAACTGCAATCCAAAATATCTGGAAGGCATCAGGTTGACTAACAAAGGTGACTGCAATATTACCTTTTCTTTCTTGTCACTACACCGAGCTAGAACTGGTCACTGTTTGCATTGTATTCAAAGACAGGAAACAGGTGTGAAACAGGTGAAGAAATCATCACAGTACCTGACACGTGCATCACAGTACTTCTTTGAAAATTCGGACCATGTCCCAAATTTTCTGGGGCAAAGCGCTTCAAGTTGCATGAAAAGCTGTAGACAAGAAGTGTGTTTGTGACTGCCATAGACCAAAGGGGTACCAGTAAAAAACTGAAGCACAGCACTCCCCTAGAAGTGCCTGCAACATTGTGATGTCTTACCCTGATCACACCCAAAGAATATGGGAATTGTTTTTACTAGTTTAAGCCCAACAGTCTTTCAAATTTCCAGCAAAGGCGTGCATTGCTTTGAGCTTACTGCTTGCATAGACTGAAAAAGAAAGAGAGAAACAACCCTTCTGCCACCCCTACCACTTCTTTGACCTCTTTCCTTGATGGAAATTGGGGCTCTTCCACTCCAGCAATTGTCCCTACCACAATACAAACCCAAGGCCATCCCTGCAGTTCCAAAGTTTTATCTGCACAAATCTCAGTGTTAAACAAAAGGCATTCAGATACAGAACTGAGTTCTACTGCACATTGCAAACTGCTTTATGAAGGGGAAAGCAATGCATGGCTTTATTTTATGCACAGTTCACATGACACAGAAACTTCTGGGATCTGTGTTTCCTCCCTATTTTCCATGCTTTGATTCCCTCATTCACTTCATGGATTGCAGCAACAATAGTTTGCCAAAACATCCAGATCAGCTGCATCCAGCACTATTTTCTTGCTGATACAAAACAAAATCAATTAACAAAAGTTGCCACAAAACATACTTTACTGGAAGTCAGATAGTATAGCAACTTATAGTTACCAAAAGCAAAGGAAAGAGGGAGAGATTCTGGACGCACAAAGGAAGCACCAACACCAAAAACACATTTCCCAATAATCTATCATAGTTTGGTTATAACATGCCAATAGGCCTTAGAAAGATAAAATTATATCCATTACCTCTTCAGGCCTTCCTAAAGCAGGGGTTCCAGTAAGCAGAATGGCCCGAACAGCATTTTGTACAATTGGCAACAAGATCTTGCTACGAGCTGCATTTCTGGATTTCATGTAGTGAGACTCATCAACTATGACTACTTGGAATTTCTGTTTGTGTAGAGCATCAATTAAAGTCTGTGCATCTGAAGTTAGCAAACCATAACCCAGCACAGTCACTTTGCTTGTAGATATCTTCCTGAAGACGGAAATAGCAAAACTTTCTGTGACCACATTAGGAATGTCATCTTCAATGGACAACCATCCACTGCTTATATTAATGATTTAAGTGCACAGTGTATTGAGGGTCCTAACACATTATTTCTAGTGGAATTTCAAGATTTTTACATAATTTTAAACTTATCAACATTTTATTTAGAGACTACATCTGATTCATGAGCAGGAAGTGCCTTTAAACAGGGAGAGCAAAATTTTAGCCAACAAGGCTGCAAGGTTAAGACCCTTAGAGTTCAGTTTCTGTAGGCCACATACAGTCAACTGGGCCCACAGGTTGTATGAAACCTGAGCTGAGGAGGCCAAGGGTGTCAAAACAGCCACTGCCTAATTTCCCCTGCCACTTTCTTGAATGGCAGGCTCCCTAGAACAGAATTTATATTTGGAGGACAACACAGTGAATTACCCCCATATGCCCACAGGCCACCTGTGCATATTTTTCTGTATTGAGGTGACTGACACAAGGCAGAGTTGTTTCCAGACTGGGGAACTGCAATGAAATTTAAACCTTTCCCTCCCTGAATGCTAAGATGGGTGCTTGGGGGGGGGGGGGGAGGGAATTTGCACATGTGTCTGACAGTAAGCATGTGTTCCTCAATCTACCACTGGTTGATCACCTATAGTCTAGGTTTTTGTGAATTACTGCAATACAGAATGAAAGCAAATATTCAAAATATTTAGTAAATCATAATGCTAAACCATAACAGCAAGATCTCTCTTCCTCCTCCCCATTACCATAGCTTGGTAAGTACATTTTATCATTATTATTAATATTAATTTTATTGATACTATTGTTTCATTGTATTGTTGAACTTTACTCTTTTGACTGTAAGCAAGCTGCCCAGAGAGCCTATAGCTAATTGGGCAGCATTTAAATCAAATAAGTAATTAAAAAGGCCAACTATGGCTTGCACTTGCCTTTTAAAACGTATTTCAATTCATGGTCAAATAATTGTTTTCAGTTTGGGCTTGAAAGTCAAAGACAAACTGCTTTTGACAGTTTAGATGCAATACGATAAAATGTAGAGGAGGGTGATCTTGTAAACTGTGTTAGGTTCTTTGAAGGAAAAAAGCAGAATATCAATTTAATAAAATAAACAGTTTGCTAAGAAAATAGTAGCATGGGAGGATACAAGAAAATGAGGAAAGGGTGGCATGCAGGCCTGAACATCTTCCATATGCTGTCAAACCATGGTTGTGTGATATTTGGGAGTAAGATAAACCAGAGAAAAGATCTTTTGATTCATTAAATCTAATTTAATCTCAAAGATATATATAACTTAATGTCTTATGAAAATAGTTACCTAAAAAGTAGGCATTAATGAACTACACATTATTTTATATTGTCTAACTTATTTTAGATATTAGACACAAGCAAACTTTAACTTCCTCATTTAGGTAATCAAAAGAAGACTAGCACGATGTCCAACTGAATTTAATACTAACTAAAGTTGGTATTTCCAGTAATCCAGGCTTTGCTTTTTTTAAATGTTCAAACATTTGAAAGCCACTTATTTCACTGTTATACTGCCAAATAGCCAAGGCTCTCTGGGCAGTTATCTGTACTGTTTCATTCATTAACATTTCAGAAGAAAATGCTAATTTTTTCATTCATCCAATGAAAGATAAAAGTATAGCTCAAATCTTTTTATAAGTGCATTTTCTGAAGGTTGAGAGAGCTAAAATAGGGTTCAGCACATCCCTTCCAGTGGACAAAATCTGCAAGGAAGGTCAGCAAGGCCTATATCTCCCATTGTTCCACTGCTGCTTGGGAAATGATTAATGCCACAGGTGCCTCAGATCACCTTATGCCTTCTGACACACAGAGTTGGGGTTAGCAAGGCAATACCACTGTTAACACAGCACTCACCAAACATCAGTTTTATTCTGAATGATAATTATGTCATCTGGACAGAGTTCTGGGATCCACTTCTCCAGCTCATCTACCCAAGGGTACCTCAGAGATGAGGGCACCACTATTAGCAGAGGCCATTCATTCTTGTAGTAGTATGATACAGCTATGGCTTGGATGGTCTTCCCCAAGCCCATCTGTGATGCACTCAACAGAAAAGAGGGAGAAATTAAGTTAAGGGCTGTTTCTAAAAAAAGTGGAAAGTATGTAGTGCCTATATTAGCTGTTCCCCTGAACTGGATTATAATTACTATTGTGATGCATTCCCAGGACCTTAATATGAGAAAGTATAGCAAATTCTGCTTATAAATGAACTAAGCAAAGCTACAACCAATCACTTCGATATCCCAAAGATACTGTATTTCACCCTGCAGAGGAGCTTTCTGGGCAGTTTAGTAAAGCAAAATACACAGACAAAATGTAACTACCCATTAAAAATCTTATGTGGTAAATTGAGCACTTACCATAAAGTTACATTCTGCCTTGTAGGAGGTGCTACTCATGGGTCAGCTCCTCTCACTACGCAGGACAAGCAAGAAACATGTGACCAGGCTGTGTGCCTTGGTCCTGGCCGCTGCAGCATCTCCCTACCAGTTGTTTCCTAGCTGTGCTTTTAAGCCGACTCAAGGCTGAGGAGCCAGGAAAAAAAGGAAGAAATAGAACCAAAACATCATCTCTTAGGGATCAGCACTCTCCATCCAGAAAATGTAGGTTAATGAGAGTGAGCAGACTGGCACAGGATGCAGTATGGATGTCTCCTGTGGGCATGAAATTGGAATGGAACTTCATGGTAGGCACCCAAGTTTCCATTCCCATACAGTGCAAAGGAGACATCCATTGTGGAATGTGCTCCAAAGCAGGCTGAAACTCAGTCTGAGGGGAAACCTAGTCTAATATTCTATGTCCAAAGCATTTGTTTCCACTTATGACAGGGTTGAGGACCAAGCAGCTGCCCTTACTATTTCTTCTAAAGTAGAGAAAAACCACTGAGGTAGCCATGGCTTTGGGGCCTTGTGCTATGGCTTGTGCAAGTTTGAAGAGCATTTTAACCTCACAGGCTGCAAAAAATAAATTCATGACTTGAGCCCAATAGGGAGGGTGGAAGGGAAGGGCTTCATTCCCAATGCAGTAGGGTGGAACAAGACAAATGAGGAGTATTAGCCTCACAGCTCCCTATTTATTATAAGGAACTTTTTGCTGCCTTGCAAAACTCTGAGGGGTGTCAGACCCAGTCAGATGGGTGAAAGGGACTAGGGCAGAAGATGGGAGAGTCAGTCCCCGTGTTCAGTGAAAAACAGTATTAATTCTGAAAATGATGGAAGAGTGTGGCTGAAGAGTACAGCTAGTTTATTTACTTATTTAAAGCTTTTCTATACCATTCTTAGAGAAAGCTCTCAGACCCTTTTAATGAATATTCTAGCTATAAAGAATAGCATTTTGAAAGAAAGAAAATGTAGCAAGATAGTTCTTAGCTCAATAGTTGAACAGGTTAAGAGCTGATAACATGCAGGCTCCGAAGCGGGAATCAAGGTATCTAGAGGAGATAGCAGTGCTGCCCCTCTGAGGAATCACTGAAGGAGCAGGTGAGAACCAAGTGGCTTGTAGCCTGGTTGTAGCTCATCCGTGAAGTGTGTTCACTCCGATTCCCTTGTCTAGCTGCATTTGGAGAAACAAGCAATTCCTTGAATCCAGATTTCTTGCCATCCAGATGCTTCTTTCCAAACCAATACAGAAGCTCTTTCCAGCTATTTCATAAATTTGGCTGGTTGATGGTTTCCTAAAGGATAGCAGGGTGTTAGTTACCTTGACAGAACAGCCTAGTGTGCTGAGTAACCAAATGGCTAGATGTAGCCAGTCCGGGTCCAAACGACAGACCAGTCCTTGGGGCGAGAAGTCTAATCATGGAGGGAAGGAACACTGGTTTGTTTACACAATGTGTCTGCAGAAGTGTGGCATCTGCCTGCTGAGAGGAGAGGCAAAAAGCTCCATCCAGAGGACACCACAGTGACAGTAAAGTTTATCCTCGGGGATTGAGGCACTGTCATCTTAGAACATTGACCTGTTTTGATGGATGCGTATGCTGTAAATTAATGGATGGGATGTTGCGTTCTGTCCAGAGTAGAAAGGAGGAGACCTCTTTATGCAGGCCTTTTGATTTCTTGTCTGTCTAATGATTTAAGGGCAATAGTGTGGTCCGTTCTCACTAAAACTGAGGGGACCACATTGTAAGCCAAGTACTTGATCAAGAGGCATGATGCTTGGCATTTCAAGCAATTTATACTGTGGGGCTTGACTTCAGGAGGCCAGAGATCCTGGATGGGAAGGCCCTAGAAATAAACTATTCTCGCCTAGGTCAATATCTAACATCACAACTATTATTTTTTATTTATTTCAATTTCTATGAACCATCTCAATACCATAGGCTCCAGGAAGTTTACAAGAGATTAAAACCAATAATAGTTAAAATTTCAAATAAAAGCAAACCAATTAAAACTAATCAGGAAACTAGTCTGCAGTGTGGTTCTTGAACAGGTGTTCCCATTGATATGTTTCCTAGCACTTTGCACCCAAGCATGGATACTGAGGATGGCTGAGGTGTGGTGATCCTGATTTAGTGAGCCTGTTCATGCTTTTGGTTTGAGATAGGAGAATGAGTCCCTAAATGAGTCTGGAGTGTTCCCTGGCCAATGCCAAGAGATCCAAAGGCTTGTGCTGGAAACAATTGTTCATATGTGAACATATCTCTCTGAATAAGTGGAGTGAAACTATCCAGCTCCTTATTGCTAATATCACCTAACTGCCCCTGCTCAAAGGATCCTGTGGAGGAAATTCCAAGCACCAAGGCAAGGATCTCACAAGCCTTACTGCTGCTTCAATCCACGTTTCACTGGATTCAAGAGAAGCACCTTAGGAAATAGAAGAGATTTTTACATGAACTGGATGAGCAAAACTTGACCTTTTCCATCTAATTGCTTACATTCCTTGCCAAAGCCCTCTAGATTGATATCTGGATTGGTTCTAGGTGAAGTGGGAAGCAAGGAGGATGTGCAATCGCACATCTTCCTGTTCCAAAGGAGTCTGACATGAATAGCTTCTATTTACTGTACTGTGCTTGCTGTCATAGCATCAGCATCAGTGGAGTGGAGTGCAGGCTTTGCCTGGAAACAAGTGCTGTTTCTAATAGAGAATCCTTGGGATACAAAGAAGCAGTGAGCAATTTGATTGCTTTGAGTGGGGGAGCTGCTTTATGAGCGACAGTTCCAAGCTGGACAACTCTAATGTGCATTACTGAACTTTCTTTTCCCCTTTCCTGATTTGGAGCTTCTCAAAGCAAAAGAAGAAAAAAGCAAGAAAAGAGGAGCCTCTCAAAGCAGGAAATAGAAAAAGGAGAGAAGACAAACTACAGGGTTTGTAGGTATAAAGACTCTGAAAAGACAGTAAGGTATAAGAGGCTTAAGTAGCGAGTTTACTGAAAGAGAAACTAGATTGAATTTCATTGTGGGCAGAGGCAAGGTGGTCAAAGAGAAGCCACAAGAGTCATGACCAGGACAAAAAGCCTGACCCCATGTTCCCCACCTGTCCTGAGTGGTCAGAGGAGTTAATCCATGACAGGCATCTCCTTGCACAGGTTGAGAATTAAGCATTTTGGTAAACCTAGGTAATCATATTTCAATATTATTTTAAGGAATAATAGTAGTCAATATTACTTCAGGGAATAGTAGTTTAATAAAATATTTTAACCAGCCTTGGTTGCATTTAAATGTGAAAAAGTATAGGAGACAACCCTGCAGGACCCTGCAGCATATATGCATTGTGTTCTAGAATTCTTCTCCTACTTGGATGTTCCTCTTCTGCCCTTCATGGGTGAGACTTCAGGCTGAGAGACATGTCTGCAAGCTACATCTCCCAACATGCAAGGTTCCCGGAGAGGCTAACAGTTCTCACGTTTGTGAACCCCTCAAACTGCAGCTGGATGGAGAATGTCCCAACTCCTAGTTACCTTTGCTTGAGAAGACTGATGGAGCCTCTCCCACATCAATCTTGACATGTGACTGTGTCTTCCAGGCATCAGTCAAATTCTAACAATAACTAACAGGCAAGAGCAAGACCGAGGCTAGGCCCCAACAGATATGATGGTGGATAGTATTCAAAGCTCCCATGGAGTCCACGGTTGCCTTCTCTGGTGCAGACCACCTCTCACAGTGACCAAGGCAGTCCCTGCATCAAAACTAGGCAGGAAACTAGGCATTCAAGTCAAGATAAATCAGTCTTATCCAAGAGGATCTAAATTTATGCAGTAACCACCTGTTCAAATGCTTTGCCCAACCAATATTTGTTGAAAAGACCTTCCGTTGTTGAACTTCTATTTATCATTCAACAACATATATCTTGTTAAAGACTGTTGTTCCAATTGTAAATCAATTCTTGCTTGTATTTCCTTCAAGACAAATAATTTATAGGGGGAAAGCCTAGTTAGTAAAAAGAAAAATTCAAAGTATACATGGATGTTAATTTAGTCAAGTGGAGAAAGCTTAAGTTGATGCAAATCATTGTTTTCATCTGTTTGAACTTCTGTAGCTACAAAGAGGAATGCTTCAGTGCCCTAAGGAAGTTCTGCAACTTAATTTGATACACTTACTCTGAAAGGCTTCTTTATGTCTACTTCAGTTATTATTAAAGTTCTTCATTGTACTCCAGTCCACAAAAGCTACCATGTTAAGTATCCTACCACTACCTGTTGGAAGCAGATAACTGATAATGAAGTGTTTATTTTAAACCTTGTGTCTGTACCTCACTGCAAACGAAAACTACTAATGAAAGTAGCACTAAATTGAAGAGCAGCAAGGTAATTACTTGCTGCTTTGAATCTCATTTATTTTCTAAATACCTTCCTCTGTCATTAAAAGCGAAAACAAAACCCAATATGTTAAAGAACAAGGTGAAGCCCAGTTTGAGCAAGTTCTTCTGTAACTGAGGGGGGTGGCATATGTAGGTTTAATTACTATGGATTGTCAGCACTAAAATTTACACTTACTTCAAACACAGAGCCATTGCTTGCTAAGTAAAATACCTATATCTCCCACTGTGACACACTGAAGAAGTTGCAATTAAGAACTGTATGAAAATCCAAGAAGAGCTTCAGAAAGGCAGACCTTCTTCCACAATGCCTTCTTATTCTGTAGACTGCCCCAGCCCCCTTTCCTAGAAGTCCTTTTAAGCTTACAAAGCTTGTTCGTCAACCCATCTCTCAGAACTTCTATCACATAAAAACAAAAGACAGCTTCAATGAAGAGTTGTAAATCTGAAGTGCTTCTCAGGTATTGAACAAGGAGTACTTGCCAGTCTTACAACATAATACATTGTATCATTGCATTAAGAGATAGTATTTCAAAAACAAAGCACATTTCCTTTGGTTCAGCTTCAACTCCTATTTATCTTAATGAAAAATATATTGCATACAGTAATTCATGCAACAGCAAACTTGTCCATTTCTGCAATCCAAATCCTGAACACAGCATAATCATATACACCATTTACTCAGAGGTAAGTTACATTGTATCCACCTAAGTGTGAAGAAAAACTGCAGTTTGCCTTCCAAATATGATCAACTAATTTTAAGGAAATTGACTTTCCTGATATGTTCTTAAGTCTTTAATAGTGTAGCCCTTTGTCATCTTGCTGTTTCATATGAAGCCAATTATCTCTCAAATCAAGTTTTTATGTAATTGTGAAAGTGGTCATTGACTAATAATATATATATTCGCAATCATTTCTTCAGTCAGTTGAGGCCTTCACCTAAAGGAGTAATTACCTCGACCAATGTGTTCCAGTAATTAAAATCAGGTGACAAAAATTTGACAGGTCCAGTGTTATTAAGCAATCTAACACAACACAGTCTGACGATTGTAATACCAATTTCATGGCTATTCAGGCAGCCTAGTAGAAGATAGGCTGACATACATTGATCTCATATATCTTGCAATTCTGAACAAGGTGGCCTGATTCCTCCCTTCCACTCCAGCCCCCTGGCACCCCATTGCAAGTTGTTCCAGAACAGGGATCCCCAACCTTTTGGGGACCATGAGTACATTTGGAAATTTGAGAACTGTGGTGACTACCACCACAAAAAGGTTTTCAATGAAGCACCACTTTGGTGCCTATGGCACTTAGGCTGTGTCTCATCAGCAAATTGTATTGAATATCACAATATCCCTTTAATAAAGGACTGTCTAATTTAGATTAATAGATGCAAGTGCAAAAGAGGGAATGCTTCTTTTAAATATGTGTTTCAGAAATGTCTGTAGGCATTTATTTTTTCAGAAGAATTATACAGAATTGAGAAAGGGGGTGTCCACTGGCACTACACTGGGTACCCCATTCATGGATGCCATTGGAGGTACACAAAGGTACCACAGCAACTATCAGCACCACACTGGGGACTCTTGAACTTACAGGTTCCCATGGGATCAGCTTCAGAATGAGGATACAAGGGGAGCAAAGAGGAATCCTGATCCAGTTCCCTGGATCCAAACCATAAAAAACCTGCAGAGTTGCAGAAAATTCACTTCTGAAAACAGAAAGGTACATCAACCTTTGAAAAGTCTCTTGTAGTTATGTTCTTTAGTCTGTGTTTTCAGAGCTGATTTATGAGTTTATTTTTATTGCCATGGCTTTTAAATTTATACCCACACCAAATATTTGGGGAGGGTTCCTCTATTTAGTGTTTTATCCACAAAGATGTAAATAGATGCCAGGAAAAAAGTTATGAGCAGTCATACTTTTGTTTAAAACAATCTCAAACAAGTGGTTATAGCAGAATAGATGAAACTGATGGAAAACCACGTACCTCATCTGCAATCATACACCTAGGAAGGAAAAATGTAGACGTTAGGAAACAACCAAAATCGTAAGGAAACTAAGCTACTAAGCTATAGCATGCCTAATCTTGAAAATGAAAGGAGCATCTTCTGATACCATACTGAGGCCTCTTCGACAAGGCTGTGGGGGAAGTGAGAAGGAAAATCTTACTGGGTATGGCCAAGATCTTGTTTCCAGAATGCACAGTGTGTTTTCATGCAAAAAGAAGCTCCCTGGGCTGAATCGTTAAGGCATTGGACTTGAAATCCAGTGGAGGCTCCCTGCATAAGCTCAGATCCTGATTACAGTACATGTACTTCAAAGAACCAGTGTAGTCTATTGATTTATGTGTTAGATGAGGACCTGTGACACCTGGGCTCGTATCATCACGCGGCCATGAAATTCATTAGGTATCCCTGGCCCATTCACTCTCTCTCAGCATAATCAAGCTCACAAGGCTGTTGTGAGGATAAAATGGGAAAAGTGGCACGTATGCTGCTGCCTCATGCTTTTCGGAGGAAATTCTTAAACTGAGCCAACTCTGCCTTCTACCTCCTCCTACTTACAGCATTTATCATGTTCACAGTCTGAAAATTATACATGTTTTACTATGCAGAAATAACTAAGATATTCATTACAGGAAAGAGAAGGAGTGATAAAATACACTGTTACTTAAAAAACGTGCTCGTGAAGGTCAGTTCACACATTTCATGTTCCATTTATGGAAGAATGCAGTTCCACAGAGTGGTGGCAGTTCAGTTTTGAGAAAAGTCAGCAGCCCCAACTACAGAGAGCAGCAGCTTGATCTCAGGCATGCAATGCCGGCCTCTCCCACCACTTCCCATTGGCACCACTGGCTACTGTGCAGGAGACGCTCGATTCTTGCCAATGCAATGCCAACTTACACAGCCAATGCTGCGGAGTGTTTTCTCTAAGTACAGTGGTGACACACAAATGATCTTTTCAGGGCTGTAGTGATAGAGAAACGCCACTCTGTAAAATCATTTCAGATGCTCTGAAAGGTCATTCTGACTGCCTTTGGGGAAAACAATTTCCATCTGTGGTGATGAGAAGGTGGTGCAGGTGATTTGGGGACTGAGAACTGAACCATAAATAGAGATACAGGAAGCCAGCTTTGCCATGAGCTCATTGTTTGGAGAAAGATCCAGAACTCTGTAGTGGATGATGGCTCACAGTATGAGTCCTGCAATCTTGCATTTTTTTAATTCTCTGTCAACCATATGGCCATACCGCTTGATCACAGGGAGCACAAGGTTGGAGAGAGGCACCACTGTTTGTTGGCATCATTCTAGCTTTTCATTAGATCCTAGTCTAGCAGCTAGGGTGGTTAGATTTATACAGTTCTTGTAGGTATGCTACTTCCCATTGTCATCACTATAACAAAGGAGAAAGGATAGGCATCAAAAGCCTCTATTTGAGCAACTGGAGCGAAGGACTTTCTACTCATGGAACGGGCTCTCTGACCCCAAGCCACTATCTTATCACACAATTTCATGATGAAACAAGCATATGCTCAAGATGTAAAAGTTCATTTTACATTTAAGTTGCTTATCATGCCTAATATTAAAATCCATCTTGTAATTTGGATGTGGGATATCTGACTGGACTAATTGCTGTGAAACCCCTGACTGGTAGACACTCTAACAGAAATTATGTCTCTTCAAGTAACCATTTACCAAGGGTAGCAATGGGAGTCTTTTGCAAAAAATGCAAAATCTTCTGGCACTTTAAAGATGAACCAATTGATTTTGGCCTAACCTTCCATGGATCATAGCCAACTTCATCAGGTGCATGGAGTATTATACACTCCAGACAAGAAAAATCCCAGTAACTTTCCCAAAAACCCAAGTTCAGACAGACTGCAGCAAGCCATAAGTGTGGTAGATGCAACAACATCTTTGAGTCCACTAGGGTGTTTGAGGACTGGGGGAGAAGAGAGGAAGGGTTAAGGTTCAGACTTTGAGAAAGAAAACAACCAAGCATTATTCATTATTTGTTTTTCAGCGCCAGGCCAAGACCTTTTTATTTAAAAGTTATTTTAATTGTTAATTATTGATTGTACTTATTGGGTTTTTATGCTTGTGCAGAGATGTTTCCAGTCTTTTAAGGTTAATTATATGACTGTTTATTTTGTAAGCCGCCCCGAGACTTTTTGCGAATGGGGCGGCATAGAAATGTTCTAAATAAATAAATAAATAAATTATATATAGCATCTTGTTAGAAATTTATTTATTTATTTAGGGGACTTCTATGCTGCTCCATTTGCCAAAGCCTCGGGGTGGCTCACAACCATAAATAAATAGAATCCAATAAAACAATATAAATTGATCATATAAGCATGGTAAATGTATATTAGTTTAATGTTATATTCCATATTTCTGTAATAAACTCCTCTAAACCGTGTGTCGGCTGGCCACTTGGCATAAAAACTGCACAAACACTTTGCTTCAGTATTTGATATTGTGTGCTGCCACATTAAATAGTCCAGGCTGGCACAGTGCATTCAAATGAACCTGGAGGGCATGCATCTCCAGTCATAATGGGTGATAATCAGTTGTACCATTAAGTCAGGAATTTCTGGTCATGCACTCAGGTTAAGACTCATAAGTATAATTCAATCAATCATGGTAAGATCAATGCATCAGGACGTAAGTTAGGCGTACAACCCCAGGTAAAGAACTGTATACTCCTCAGTGTTGCACAGTTAGTGGTAAGTATTGTAGTCAGGCAGAAGTATAGTAATTGTAGAAATGTTCTGGCTTGAAATGATTTGTGACAAAGAAGATCAAAGGTGTCAAACGGAACATTCTTGCAGCCTTTATTTCACCCAGGGACATGATTTCCTTTCTTCAAACAGTACAAAAAAACCTCGTGTTCCTGGCCTTTCCAAAAGGTCTGATACCACCACATATGTAGTGCATGACCAGTCTAGTATTCTTGGCTGTCTTCTGGCTCTTGCTCCCTTGCTGAACTCACTCCAAAGTAAGAGAACCCAGGGCTCTGACAGAAACCTCATCAATCCTTGCCCCCAGTGCACCTGGTTCTGGCTACACACGTCTCCCAAATACAACTTCTTCAAAATTCCTTGTCCTTAGCAACCACAGAAGTTTTCCTTCACCTGATCCCTGTCTTCAGAAAAGATTCAACAGGAACCCTAAAAAGATCTATTTCAAGCCCTGTCCTACCATACGATCTTTTTCCTACAAACTGTAACTCACCATTCCTTTAGCTGCTTTTGATATCAATTGATTAAGTGTTGTGTGTAGGAATTTGTTTTATCTTTGAACTAGCTTTTGGCCAGAAGCCTAGCCAGTTTATGGCAGCCTTTCCCTAGTAGGCCAGGAGGAAAGACTGTGGCCAGGATCCCATTCTGTGGTCCTGGCCACAATCTTGCTTCCTCCTTGGGCCCTGGGTCCATTGTGGTTGCTGAAGCCCTGCGGAAGATTTGGACAACACACATCAGAATCAGGAACCCTCAGTTGTGGGGAAAATCTTGAAGGACCTCCTTTTGAGTCTTATGTCTGAGGTAGTCATTTTGTGTTCAGTCATTTATGTTTAGAATTACTTGTAACACAGAAACTACAACATTCCTTCTGCAAATTGTTTTTATATGAATTCATTTTCAGAATTAATATGCCTTTTATCAAACAGCAAATTCCCAACATGATCATTATGTACATGTCTTGACTCTTGAATGCTAATTAAACTAACCCCTTTGGAAAAGAGGTGTACATGCAGGCATCATTACAACAAATCTGCAGAAATGCACTATAACCAACATTAAATAATGCCTGGGTGTCTCTTGGAATAAGTGTAAGCCCATGTGCATGTTTCAAGAGGGTATTTGTTAACAGCTGTTAGTTCTAAGATTTTTCTCATTGTGTCTTATATTAGTAAAATCAGAGCTAGCTGCCTACGCCAGTAGAAAGGTTATGTGCTGCTGAAGCAGAGGAAACAGACCGTCAGATAAAAATTTTGAGGTACAAACCTGAAATCTGTCACATGTTTTGACTGCTACAAGACATCTTGTTCTTTGAAGCTCAATTAGTCATTTCCTTTTAACTGGTAGTTACCCAACTGAGACTAGCTCATTGAAATACCATCTGCTCACGACAACTATATGACGACTATATCGAAGTACACTAATTTGACCAGTGAGGCTTTCCTTTTCATTTCAGAGTATAAAGTTTTGACACAGACAAATGTATCAAAACAGAGTATGTGAATAACTCAGTATCCTAGACCGTTGCTTTACTGGATAAAACTTCTAAGAGATCACCACGGCTGATCAGTTTTATTCATTGGGTAGCCTTAAAGTAAGTGAACTAATACAATGCTATTCTTATTTCAAGTTTATTCCACCAAACATCACAATGTAGGAATTTTACTCTAATCTAAAAGTGAGCCTAAAATGATGAGATCCTTGTCCTTTAACTCCACTGCTAGCTGTTCCACATCCAGTAATAACATAGAATTTGCTTTAATTTATTCTAAGACATCTAAAGTAGGAACAATATAAATCCCTACTCAGCTGTGAAGTTCATAGAATGATCTTGGGCCAGTCAGTCACCATAACTGGGCATAAACTGCCCTTCCTTGGAATGAATGGAAAATAGAAATATTGGTGATGTTGTTACTTTATTTTTCAAAACAGAGGGAAGTATGCAGTTTACCAGCACTGCGAGTTTCTTTTGAAAAGAGGCCATTAAGAGAATAATCCAAAGGCCCCTAGCCATTGCCTGATGGGTGGGCCATAGGATGCTTTGAATTCTCAGCTTCAGGGTTGGAGGCAGTGCTCTGACTAGAGAACTGGGAATCAGAGCTCTCTGACCCCTCTGAGTCAGCTGCTGAGATTGGAAAACTTAGAGAAGTGAAAAAGTACATGGTTCAGGGGAGGGGAAGAGCCAGAATATGAGCTATCCTGAAGCCACTCCAGTCTCACTTCTTCCCTCTCCAAAATATTCTTCTCCATATTGAATGCCTGTAAGTTCAGAGACTAAAGAGCATCCTGACAGGACCACACCTTTCATTTTAATATTTAATACTATTTCATCTATGTTAATCACAATCACTTGAGAGTAAGCCACAAGGAATTTAATGGTGCTTGCTTCTGAGTAATCATGTAGAAGATGCACCCTTAAACTACCTCTTTTTACTTTATTTCTTTCATCTTGCTTAAACGGTAAGCCTAAAACCAGGCTAATAATTTAAACTTTATGAATTCATACATATGAATGAATAGGATAGTTTCTGTAGTTGCTTGTGAAATATAATCAACTTTAAAAGAAAAAGGAAATACTCCATACTTAGGTGTCCTACTTTTCAGAGGATCACTCTTCATTTTGGGGAGCAGAAAGAGTATAATCCTCCACCTGATGGTATGGCAAAGAACACGGAACTTCTTGTACCTGGATAACAGATGAGCAGGCACACACAGTTCACCTGCTTGGTTTTACTCTATTATGGAGAGATGTACTGTGCTTGAATTATTATTTTCTTCATTTGCATAACTTTTATGCATATTGCCTCTCTCTCTCTCTTTGGTGATGCATTTTTGGGAGGCAATGTATAAATGGTCACCCTATTTCTACTCACTTTATATTAACCAATAGGAGAAAACAGTCCCAGAAAATGTATTTGTTTCCCTGACATATTTTGCATTAACAACACTCTGCAGAATTCTGCAGAGCTTCTGGAGGCCTAAAGGCTTGTCTATAGATACTTACTGCTTTATGAAATCTGCATCAATGATGAGAGATGGAAAAATAATCATAAAGCAGAGGGAAGCTGTATGTATTTTGATTTTTGATTAGATGCTTTAGTCCATTAACATTGTAAAAGTACTGATATATAAAAGAAATTATTGCATTACAGAAGCGTATGACTACGAAACTCCTTTAAGCTGACTGTGACATTTATTCTTACAAAACAATGGAAAAAATAATTCATTTGCCTCATGTCACTGTCAACTACAGCTACACAGATTTGAAATCTGTCAGATTCAAGCCTATTGCTCCTGTTACTAAATAACTTTGTATCTGTCTTAAAACCAAGAAGATACAAAGTTAAAACAATGTTGTTGCAGTGTTTATAAAATCACCTTGCAATTTAGTATAGACAACATTCAGCTGCTGTTCTGCACAGTGTTAAGTCCAGTTTTACTCCAAGTCAAACATATGTATAAAGGGACTTTCTAGATCTGGGCATTATCCTAATTACACTGTTCTGTACTGGGCTTCTAACTGCAGTCAGGAAGTAATCAAGTGTTCACTGTAAACACAGTGTGCTTCATTCAGACATCCTAGCAAACTCTTCTGCCATGAATCAGGCAAGAAGGACTGCAAGACCTTTCAGAATCAGGCCTATGAAGACAGCCAACCAGCCTTTAAAGGTGCTCTTATAAACTCATGTAAAAGGATTGAAGCTTACAGTGTTTATGGATTGCAAACAAAATTAAAACCCACCCACAGCTCTTCTGCTGATGATCATTTAAGAATACATTTATTACAAATGCTTATAATTCTACTTTGCCACACTTTATCAAGGCACAATTGACCGAGTATAATATAAAGATAAGCAAAAGATGAATAAAAGCAACCAAGTTTTAGTACCAGTTTAACAAGCCTCACACAGTGTAAGAGAACATACTGTATAAAGGAAGAAGGCTGTCTCCCTTCAGTGTGGAGTTCCAGATTTTTCTAGGTTTTTTCACCCACTCATGTGAATCAGTTTTATATAACACTCCAGCATATAATTTGCATCCTACTCACAAGCCAGCACTTTAGCATTAACATTTCTCTCGTACTGGGGTTATTTAAGGAATGTGGGCCTGGTACATTTTATAAAATGTGCAAGCAACCATTTCATTTGTGTGTCATTAATCACACCAAGCAGTCCTAAATCTGTAACTAAAATGACTTGTCTTGCAAGAATTAGGGTACTTGACCAAAAATAGAGCATCAACTGACATGCACATGGAATGTTAAAACTGAATCTGGTGCCAATGAGAGATATCAGGTTGATAGCAATACAAAATACTTTGATTCACAGGAGAAGGACTGGATTGTGTCAAACATCCATCGAGGGTAAAAATATCAAATGTCAAAAAAGCAAGACCAGAAAATTTCCCCGTCACGGAACCATTAAACATTCAAAATTTTCAGACTCAGGATTAGTTCTATTATTATTGTGAAGTAAGCTGAAATTGATTTTAGATAAGCTCATTACATGCTAACTAACAAAAGTTAGAAATCACTAATGTAAAAAAGTGGTAGCCAGCTAAGAGTCAAGGGACAAAACCTTTCCTGGACGGCAACATTTCAAACTGCAGTGTGTACGCATAAGCATGGGTTGTGTGAATACACCCTCATGTGCCTTGGTTGCATATGGAGCATGAAAAAGATGAGTACACAGGAGGCAGCATGCTCGTTGCTTTATGTATACTCAGCAATACCTGCATCATGAACTAGAGCACTGACAGCTATAATACAATCAATGTTTAAGTTAATTTTACCTGCCACTTCTTTCCAATGCAAACACAACTCCTTTCTTCTGAAAAGGAAGCAGGTGCTGTTTTAGTTTTTCAGGCAGGTATGACAGTTCTTCACCAACATCAGAATCTGAAGACGTTGTTCCATATGTAGATGTCTCTTGAGTGGTAAGCGCCATATTCAGGCTAACAGAAGTTATGGGGAAAAGATCTTATTTAAAGATACTCAACATGCTCAAACACTTTCCAACAATGTTGAATGCTGAAAACAATTTTGGCTTCTTTACACTATGAAAATGGCTATGCCTGCTCTTCCAGAAGTTTAGTAATCACATGGCATGGCGGTGGGGGAACAATGTCATTTAAATAAGTGCCTGCATATATCTATGAACATGTTAGACTGATTAGCAGAGTGTTTTAATCGGAGAAAGTCATTTAGATGAAAGAAAGGACACCCGGCCTCTGCATACAGTTGATACAAAATGTGGTGATAAGCACCACAAATGTTAATGAAGCTTGTTATTTATAAATTATTTTATAATTAGATTATTATTATTCAGCCTTTTGACACACATGACCCATTGCAGAATCACATAAGCAAATACAGCAGGCTCTTAAACCCATGGAATTTATATTCTAATAACAGATCACAGAAGGAAACGAAAATGCAAGGATCATGACCTTTTCATACATTCTCTTTTGTGTGTCAACTGAATGCATACAGAGGCAGGAAAGGTGATCACAACTCTAACCTCCACAAATCCACGGAAGTTCTGAAAAAGGGATTTAAACTGGTTGCAGATAGAACTTTTCAGAACTCATTGTGAAGCTCTGGGATAGGCTCAATCCATTTCCACTCCATGCATTGTGTTTATACACATTGCTTTCCCTGATCCCCTCTCCCTCTAGCAGCTTCTAGCTCTCAGGAGAAGCACAGGAAGTGAGGAAAGACATGTGTTTTTAATGTGGCCCTCACTTCAGTTTTCCAACATACATTGTCCAGTCTAAGAAATTATTTAAAAGGCTCTTTCTGGGATCCGTTTTTTAAAAAAATCTTGAGGTTTTTATCTGGCTCTTCACAAATACTCAATTCTCCTATTTCAGGCTTGGGGTTAGAGTCTAGTCCTCCAAGCCAACTACAATCCAGCCAGTTCAGTCTGACTTATGAGTTTGTTTTCCTTCTGTAACTGCATAAAAGCTCAAAGTCAGTTCACCCCATCTTTGTTACCACTGTTGTGTTTCTGTGTTCCATTAATAACGTCTGCACATAGCATAGTAGCATATGCTTCTTTATTAGGCATACAAGTTGCTTGCTAAGTTATTGCTTGCTAACCAATACACAACCAGCAGAAGTCTGTTAGAGACTTGACATGAAACACACACAGCAAGGAACTTCCCTTGTGTAAGCATCTCGGCATGAATACTGCACGGGATAAAACCTAGTACATATTTTTAGTTGGTACTGCATTAATATGTAATTTTAACCTACGCTAAAGGAATGTTCTCATCCTAAATTCCTTGCATGCACTTTTTCTGCAACAGCTTTTGGAAAGTCGAGACCCTGGCAAGGTAGAGAAGTTACACACTAGGTTAGGGTCTGCCTTTTTCTTCTTCATCTACTACTGTATGATTGCAAGTCTCATGATTTCCGCCATACCACAGGATTGCTAGTAAGGAAAGTGGAGTTGCATTTATTTTAGTTCATATGTTTCCATACAGGAAACAGAAAAAGAAAGCTATTCTCACTCTATTATGGAGCTGATGTTTGTAGAAGTAAAACTAGCACAACATGGTTTTAATTGACAATGAGAGGCAGAAGGCTTAGACACCATAAGCACCCTTAGCCTTCAGGAATCATCACTAAATAAAACCTGATTCATTCATCAACTGTGATTTCTTGCAGGATTTACAACACACTGGCCTGAGTTTGCAGGTCACTTCTCAGGGTGATGGAAGATGATTTATCTGGAAGTGGGTGGAGGGCACAAGTTGGAGAAGTCTAGGCTAGTGTGAAAGCACAACCATTATATTCTGGTTTCCTAGGTCTGGTGAAGTTTTACCCAATGTGGTACCCTCCAAATGTTTTGGACTAAGGCTGCCACTTGACCATTGATGGTATTTGCCGAAGCTGATAGGAACTGTAGTCTAAAAATCTAGTGAGAACCATGTGGGGGAAGATTGCTTTAAGTTGCAGCAATCTAGTTTCTGAAATAATTCCTGGACTCAGCAACACACACTTAATTAAAATTATACTGCTTGCTACACAGAGTACATTTACATATATACCAGGCAGAATAAGGTAGAATAGGTCCACAAGCAACTAAATGGCCAGTACTAGTTCAGACTGCACATGGAGGGCAAGAGGCAGGGGAAGAATTGTAATTCTCAAAGCTTTAATTCCTTGCAAGTATAAAATTAGTTCAGCGAGGAATAAACTGGGGCAGAGCTTTTATCCTTCCTTGGTACTCTTGCTCTGACCTTACAAGAAGCGGGGCGGGGGGGTTATCGTCCGGTCACCCACCACTTCACAGACGAGGCGACAACCCGTATCCTTCGTCTACTACTAGGGAAGAAACATCCACCTTGACTGTTCACTTGCCACGGCGTCGGCGGAAGGCAGAGCGCCGCCTCGTTATTAACCTCCGGTACTACAGCGATCCTATACATTTTTTTTTTAATCAGAAGTAAATCCCACTGCGCTCAAAGGACTCCTAACTGCAGGGGATTTGCAGCCAAAGGGACCTCGAGTGGCAGCCGCAAACACCCCAACCCAGTGATGGGGAAGCGGTTTTAGCCTGCAATAGGAAGAGCGCATCGTAGCTGCGACCCAGTTTGACCCCGCGGCGGGACCCAGTTTAACTTCTCACCGAGACTGACTGACTCGCTCGCTCACCAGCGCGGAAAACCAGCCGCTCCTCCTCCAGCGACTGCCGTCACCAGCATTTTCGCGCTCAAACACACCGGAAGTGGCTCCGCTAAAGGGAGGCCGACTGCAAAAATGACCGCCTGCAGAGAAACACATTAAGACAAGGAAAATGGTGGGGCTCCTACGCGCTTAAACGCATTCTCCCTCCTTCCCCCGCCACACCTGTTATGGCGACGCTCCCGGCCGGTGGGAAGAGATATTCGTATGCCAATCGACCTTATCTCTTTCTAAAAGGAAAACGGGGCAGTAGTTCCCACGATCATTAATACCCCACCTTCCAACGAAACATGCACGTGCGCACACACTTGCAGCTGCTGCTTCTCAGCCTTCACGGGTTTGAAACGGAATCTGTGGCTCCGGAAACTGAGCCGAAGGAGAAACGGGCAGTTTATGTCTTGGGCTAGTGGCCGTGGGCGTAGCGATAGGCTCCTGAGCCAGGGAGCTGCGGAGCAGAGGCACAGAGTACTCTGATCAGAGAGGAGATGCGGGGTCCTGGGATCATGTAGGTACTGCTCAGTGTTGGTGCGTTCCTCACCGCCATTGGCATCACCAGCAGCTGTTGCTCCTTATCCCCGTGCTCACTATTTTATCACCCAGATGCCTTGCAGGAAGAGAGAAGCCAGTGAAAAAGTAGCAAGAGGTATCTGTTGCTCTCCTTCGGACCATCACCTGTGTCTGGCCCAAGGCAGGTTCCAAGGGTGGAGAAGCAGCTCCTGTGGGCTCTTAGTGGATGCTGCTGGGATGTGGCCTTTCAACAGGTACCGCACCATACTTGTCTTGGACATCAGCCCTCTGCAATTATATCCTAGGAATAAGTGACTGGTACATTCTGCTTCTGTGTAGTTATGCATAAAAGCACATTGCTAAAGCAGATTACTTGCCCTTTAAATGGAAAATCGTATGCATTTATACTCAGAGGTCAGCCAAATGGGGTATATTCCCACATTATTGCATATAGGCTGCAATACAGCAACATGTTATAAGATTATAGTGGATAAGAAAATTCAGTTAGCTATCTTTTCAAGCACATAGGTGAAGTGGCTAGTCTAATCTTTATTAGTCACTGCAATGCATACAGTAGTTAATTTCAGAATCGGGAATTATGGATCTTGGTAATTCTCTATTTAGAAAGCATATTACTTTAAAATGTGGCAATCCATTGCTGTTGCACTGGGGGAGGGGCAAGGTGACTTCTACCCATTCTGAGTCAAACCAAGGACTTCTACTGGCACCACTGATTGCAAGTAATAAAAGCCAGGGGTGGCAATAAATCCTGGGAATAATGTAGAGGAAGAGTGAGCAATTGTGGGTTTTGTATGTACTGCAAATGTGATGAATTGTGGCTACCTCCATGTCTCACATGAAGTACTAGTTGCAGCATGTATAGAAGAGTTCCTGGTGGAGCAAGAGTACATGGCTCACGTGAAAACAAGATGGTGATTTCAGCAGCACAGGATAAACATTTTGCATTTGTTGACTTCGAAACAAGCAAATGCATAGTAACATGGTTGGGCAATGCCAAAGAATGTTCAAATTACTGCACCATTGCACTCATTTCACATGCTAGCAAAGTGATGCTCAAAATCCTACAAGCTAGGCTCCAGCAGTATGTGGACTGAGAACTACCAGAAGTACAGGAAGGATTTTGAAGAGGCAGGGGAACTAGAGATCAAATTGCCAACATACGCTGGATCATGGAGAAAGCTAGGGAGTTCCAGGAAAACATCTACCTCTGCTTCATTGGCTATGCTAAAGCCTTTGATTGTGTGGATCACAACAAATTGTGGCAAGTTCTTAAAGAAATGGGAGTACCAGACCATCTTATTTGTCTCTTGGGAAACCTATATGTGGGTCAGGAAGCAACAGTGAGAACTGGACACTGAACCATTGATTGGTTCAAAATTGAGAAAGGAATTCGGCAAGGCTGTATACTGTTGCCCTGCCTATTTAACTTATATGCAGAGCACATCATGAGAAAGGCAGGGCTAGATGAATCACCAGTTGGAATTAAGATTGCTGGGAGAAATAACCTCAGATATGCAAATAATACCACTCTAATGGCAGAAAGTGAAGAGGAACTAAAGAGCCTCTTGATGCAGGTGGAGGAGGAGAGCGCAAAAGTTAGCTTGAAACTCAACATTAAGAAAACTAAGATCATGGCATCCGGTCCTATCACTTTCTGGCAAATAGATGAGGAAGAAATGGAGGTAGTGATAGATCTTATTTTCCTGGGCTCCAAGATCACCACAGACAGGGACTGCAGCCAAGAAATTAAAAGGTGCTTGCTTCTGGGGAGGAAAGCTATGGCAAACCTAGACAGCATACTAAAAAGCAGAGACATCATCCTACCGACAAAGTGCGTATAGTCAAGGCTATGGTTTTCCCAGATGCAATGTATGGCTGTGAAAGCTGGACCGTAAGGAAGGCTGAATGCCGAAGGATTGAGGCCTTTGAATTGTGGTGCTGGAGGAGACTCTTGCGAGTCCGTTGAACCGCAAGGCAATCAAACCAGTCAGTCCTAGAGGAGATCAACCCTGACTGCACTTTAGAAGGCCAGATACTGAAGATGAAACTCAAATACTTTGGCCACCTAATGAGAAGGAAGGACTCCCTGGAGAAGAGCCTAATGCTGGGAACAATAGATGGCAAAAGAAGGGGACGGTAGAGGATGAGGTGGCTAGATGGAGTCACTGAAGCAGTTGGTGTGAGCTTAAGTGGACTCCGGGGGATGGTGGAGGACAGGAAGGCCTGGAGGAATGTTGTCCATGGGGTCGCGGTGGGTCAGACACGACTTTGCGACTAACAACAGAGCAACATGGTTGTGGAGCAGACATAAGGTATCTGATTAGGTTTCAGGTGCTACAGCAGACCAACACATCTATCTCACCAGAACTAATAAACAGTAGAAAATTATGCAGTGGCACAAGGAGGTCAGAATCAAAAATGGCAATAGGTTATATTTCAGGGACTGAGTGAAAGTTTTCCTGGATTTTAAGGCATAGATGTGTAAGGCGGTCCTACATGCATTTATTTGGAAGTAAGCCATAGTTTGCAGCCTCTTAAAAGGAATTGTATATAGCACAATGCAAGGAACATGTTGCTAAGTTTCTAGAAAAGTAGACCGTGAGACAGGAGGAGCTACATGTGCACATCTACCTTAAAATTTTATAGTAGTGACTGCAAGACAGGCCTACAGCTTGCCAACTCGCCCCACCATAACGACAGGCTGGTGCAAACGAAAGGAGTCTTGTACTGAAAGAGTGCAAGAGCAGAGCTACGGCGAAGGTTCTAAACAAAGTATTACAGGTCCCCGCATGCCCTCGTTTCATTCACCACTTGTAGGAGCAGAGGTAGTTTTCAAATGTTTTTCTGAGGATTTGGAGATCTACTCTCCGTTATTTTACAGGATTTTTAGAATTAGAATGTTAATCAAGCATATCTACCGGAATTGCCCATAGCACATTCCTTTTTAAGCGCCCTCGGAGGTAAGCTAATGGTGAACCGTGCCATTTCGGAGCACACCAGAAAGCCTACCTACGTTAGGGCTTAGCGCCGTCAGTCACTTCAAAGCGATGACACCGGTGGTCACAGGCACGTCAATAGGTGGGACTAGCGCATGCCGGTCTTTTAAGTCCCATTCACCTTTCCGATTGGTAATTCCGAGCTGTCGCTCAACTAAGAGGTGGCTTCTCATAGGTTCGCAGTGCCTCACCGGGGCGTTTTCTGCGTGGGCCGAATATTAGACCACTCAGCGGACGGCTTCAGGGGAGAGAAGGACCGGGGAAGCGTGTTTTAGACGCTGAATGGCTCGGTGAGATGTCAGTCACCGGTATAGAGTGTCGCGGTTGGCTGACTGTGCCAGTAGGGGGTGGCTCTTTATGGCACCCGCGGCAGGAGCAGGAGGAGCCGGAGCCGCTGTTGGGGGCCGGTGATGGGGTTAATTCCCCCTCGTGCGTGAAGCCCCCTTGGGGAGCCGGCCTTGCCGTCGTCTCCTTCCCCCCTTCCCCGCCCCCGTCTGCCCGTTCGTCAGGCTCGCGCCACTGCGGTAAGTTGCCTCCATGCCCTGTTCCATTATAAATAACCCCTTTTCTTTCCTCTTCTCCTTTCCCTCCCTCGCTCTGCAAAAGGCTTGGAACCCGGAGCGGCCGCGGCGGACAGGCTGGCGCTTGGCCCGGTCCAGGCAGGGGGTGCCCTGTGTTTTGCAGCGCCGCCGCCGCCGCCGCCGCTCCAGCCTCCCCAGGGCCTGCATCGGACGGAAGTGGGCGCCAACCTCGTGGATGCAATTGGTGCAGTTACGCCCCCGGGCCTTGCGGTGATGGGGGAAGTGACCGCCCCGGGGCAGAGGATGCGGCTGCTCATTAGCCTTGGGCTTGCCATGTGGTGACTTCCTATCTCAAGCCAGATTCTTATGTCTGAAGCATGGATGTGTGCAGCTGTGTGCGTGTGTGTATCGTGTGCATGCATACGTGTGTGCAGATGTGTATGTCTACACACAACACAGTGTGAATGTATTTTAAATCTGGTGACTGCTCGCCAGGATGGCAAGCACTTGTTATATACCCAAAACAGGAATGATAACCTCAGGGCCTTTCATGGGACAAATGTTGCTTGCCTTGCCCTCGTGGTTGTAGTTCCTTCTGTTTAGCCTCCTAAGACCATGTGTCTTGCCAGAATCTGTCAAAAAGGAAGGCATACCTATCTGCTACTACACAGCAATGTATGTAGTGGCATGTACTCTAGGAATGATTGACCAATTTTCTTTCCCTTGGAAGTGTTGTTTTCTCCCAAAAAAGGTAAACGAAGTAGTTAAGGGTAGTTTATGTTTTAAGTTTCATGATGAAGGCAGTGATCCTGGTCTATGGATGCTGCTACATTTGCAGATTTCTGCCTGTTCCAAAGAACACTTTGTGGCCTAATAGTATATTTGAGGTCCATAGTGAGAATATCCCCAAGATCTCTTAGGAGTAGGATGTTTTTATACCACTGATTGGTGAGTGGCACTTGACTTGGAGTATGTCTGCAGGATGTTTTATCTCTAAAGTGTGTATGTAAAATGTGACAGCAGGTTGTATGCATGTCAGGAAAGGTTGTTAAATGTAGAATTCCAAAGACTGCAATGAGGGGCCACATTTACATCTTAGTTTTACTTTTTTCTATCCACTAGCATGATCCTAATGGACGGTATGGTGAGGAGAGTCTGCCTGTTTTAACTAAACACTAAGATTGAGTTCAGCAGTGTCAGGCAGTGTTACTTCCCCTGATCTACTCAAAGACATACTCCTCTATTTTTAAGGACCATAAGTGCAGCTGGGCAACCAGAACCACAATAGTGCACAATAGTTGTTTCATACAAAGAAGCATGCATTCACATGCTTAGCATGTATCACGATGTAAATGTTTTCTTTATCTCTGGATGGCAAATATGAGTCTGTTCACTCTCCAAATCCATATGGCATATAGTTGGCTGTGTGTAAGAAATACAAACATGGAAAAGAGTTGCTTCCATCAGTTGTGGAACATGGATATAAACCTAATATATCTTTGCACTTTCAGTTCTGCACTGGTTTTTGGTTTTGTCTCTTCACATAAAAACTGAAACAAAATAGTCTAGTTGACCTGTCTAGTCAAGTAGATGATATTGGCCTTCTTATTTTTGTATCTAGAATACGTTTTGGATATTTTTAATATAGAAATTCCTTTATAAGTAAGGAGAAGGAAGGTTTTCAAGTTCTCAATGCTATCCTAAGGGCTTGGAAATAGGAAGTGCTGACATGGCCTATGCAAGAGTAGGAAAAGTTGCAATTCTAAAACTGCATTGTTTCATAAAGTGAATTAATAACACCATAATTGATGCAATGCTAGTTAAATTGAGAAATTTCAAAGTTGTAATTAACTTTGTTTTATTATGTTGTAAGCTGCTTAGGAGGCACTGTAGAAGGCCATAAAATTACATGTCTGGATTTATATACACTTTTTTGGTTGACTAAGAAGCATATATTATGCACATATCAGTTTTTGATTCAAAACTTTCCAGAAAATCCACATCACTGCCCCCATGAACCTGGAGTCAGTATTCTATATTCTCTAGAGCAGCTTTGTACAAAGTGTGTGTAGGTGTGTGTGTGTGTGGGGGGGTGAACACTTGAAAAATTGCTTGCAGTTGCTGGTTTTTTTTCTCAACAGGTCACTTAGTAACCTGTTTTTTCAACAAATTGAAGCACCTAATTCCTATTTTAATAACTATAGTCTTGTCTATCCATACAATGGAGTTTCTGTGAGTAAAGTTCTGTGGAATCTAATGTAATCTTTGTTAGCTTTAGCCTCCAGTCATGTTCAGCACTGCTGTTCTGCATTTTGTACGGATGGGGTGCCCAACCTTTCCACAGGCTCCTGAATGGGTTTCTGTACTACAGTTCACAATTCTAAACACAATCCTGTACATGTTTAGGCAAAAATAAGCCCTACGTTTCCTACATGCGACCAATACTGATATTTCCAATGTCGTTTACCCTCAGTTTAAACACTTTGTCCATGGCATAGTCCTACAACCCACAGCATTCCCCAGCCAACAATGCTGGCAATTGCAGGATTGCACTCTACATGGAAGAAGCACCTGTATTGACCATGTTGGAAACCTCAGGAATGAGAGCATGTCAGCTGCTTGCAAGGATATTTAAGGGTTGATGTATCTTAGAATACTTAATTTGTGAGGTGGGGTGGGGGGAGTATTTTGTGATGCTTTCTGTCCTCAGAGGGTTTGCTCAAAAGCAAGAAGGGTGGCATGAGTTAAAAATATTCAAATATTCATAAATTCTTCCATCTTAAGTATTACAGTGATCATATAGTGAATTTATTTATTTTGAATTTTAGCAGCATAAACTTTTTAAAGGGATTTGCAGTACAATCCTGTGCATATTTAGATGGAAGAAGTCCTACAGTTCCCAGAATGCCCCTGCTAACCATGTTTGGGAAACACAGGGAATGGTAGGGCTTCTGTTTGAACAGGCATAGGATTATGCCTGTTTATGCCACATGTTTTCTTGTTTGCAAAAAATTAATTCTGCATTTGCATTATTTCACATTAATGTTACCTTAAGTACTTTTGTAGTCCATCTTGACACTTGGTTTGAATGGAGTTTAAATTCTGTAAAATGTACAAAAAAAGTTGTATTTTACTAAGCTAATTTTTCTTAAGTACTTTTGCAATTCTGGCTGATTAAAACAATGCATGGTGGTTATAGGGTTGAATTATACTCCGTGTGTGTGTGTAAGGGAGAGAGAAACAGAATATAACTGTTGTAAACTTCATTATTAGTACCTACTATGATTCTGTTCAAGTTGAGTTTGAATCATGTTTAAAATATTCTCAGAGCTATTGCATTGCATTAGTTTTGTTTGGGCTTTATTTTTTTCTTGGTTCCAAAGGTACTTGTGACATTTCTGTTACTTGTGGCATTATTGCAAAAGAGCTGGCCAGCATGGTTTTGCTTTTGCCAGAATGTTACTTTTCCCAGTCATGGTTGAATCTGGCACCATGTGAGTTGAAATCCAGATGGAAGGGGGCCTAAGCTACATAACTGTCTGCTTTTAGCAGCCCTTCTATTTGACATTTAACTTAAAATGCAGTTAAGTATAATAGCCAGCAATGAAGAACTCTTTAATTTTGTTTAGAAGGGGAAACAAGCAGCACTAAAATAGTTAGATATGCTAAGAACTTGAGGGTTCTTGGGTTTATTTTTTTTAGAGGGAAGGGAGAAGTTTGACTTCATTGTGGTGGAGCCAGTTGAAGCTGTTAAGTATGTCCTGTGGGTTTTTTCTGTCCATAGTTCTAATTAAATGTGTTTGCCTGGCAGACGGATCCATGTGATGCATTCAGTCTGCTTCAAGTATTGTATGAAGCGGTCATAATTGGGAGAACATACGTTATGGTGCAGTCTTTTTCCCCCTTGCAGAATGTAGGGTGAGGGGCAAAGATGAAAAATATCTAGATCAAGCAAAATGATTTGGTGCTAGTAGAAGGTAAATTGGAATGAGCCATCCTTGACTGTTTCCCCAGTGCCACATGCAGCAATAACACCAAGTGGTTTCCACTGGTTATGGGAAAGGGAGGGTGCAAAGTATGGATGAGAGGACAGTCCTTCATGTGCATGGCCCTTCTCTCAATCTGCCCGCTCATCCATGAGCTGCAGTTGTGCTCACCATCAGATCCTTAGTGGGATTGGGGGATGGGGAAATCTGCCAAACTGAATTTGCTTAGTGTATAGGACCATGCTGAGGATGCCTGTCACTTGCCCTCAGGGAAACTTTTTTACCCTTATTTGTGTGTACAAATTATATTTGCTGTTGGAAACCTTGCTTGGGGCGCTGTTAGGAGTGGTTTTCAGTTCAATTATTTTATTTAATCTGATGGACAGCAGCAAGCCAACTGTCACATGGCTTATACCCCAGTAACTTTTGCCATAAGAACTGTGGGAAATTTCTGAATGGGAACTGCTAAGAGCCCCCTTATAATTTCAAGCATGTGTTTTAAAGCAGCCATGTTAGAAGAAATACAAAAGCTTGATTAAATTGCATTGGTCTCCCCAAATCAGCCTGTATCTA